TGATCGACGATGTCTCCCGTGTGCTTTACAGCAGGCACGGCTATTTGCGCGAACTTGCGCAGCATCTACCGCACTCTATTCTATCTCGCACCTGGATCCACTGTCGGGACGCAGTTTATAGTGATAGTAGTCTATATGTGAAGAAAAAGAAGAGGAAGAAGAAGAAGAAAAAGAAGAAGAAAGATGGTCGAGCATCGGAACATTTTGTTAGTTGTGCTGAGTTTTCGAACCCGTGCAGGAGTCCATCGTCGGTCGTCAGTCCATCAGTCAATCGATTCATCGATCTGGCACCGGCGTACAGAGCCCTGCGCGGTCGCCTCCAGTTATACGCAGCCGGTCGAGGATTGGTTTGCATGCCCTATAACTGTCGTTTGTTCTGCTGCTGCTACTAGCTCTGATGATGGACTCCTGCACAAGTTAAAAAGTTCAGGTGCTCGATCACTCTTTATCTTCACTTTTTCATACACCTGGAACTCGAAATTTCGAGTTCATTTGTGATAGTAGTCTTGCGCAGCGTCTACCGCTCTCTCTCTCTCTCTCTCTCTCGCGCACCTGATCCCGCTGCCAAGACAGTGTCTAGAAGACTGCAGATGGCTGGTACGGCGGATTCTGCACCTAGACGCACGTTCTAACGCTGCGGCAAGGCTTGGTTCTCGCCTTTATGCCCCCTTTTTTGATGGCGTTCCTCGCCAAATCTTCCGATGTATCCGTTGGTTGTAAGGAGCCATCGGATATAAAGTAATTTTTTAAAAGAACGAAACACGGTTAGCTTCTTTGCAGCGATTCCCGAAAGTGTGAAGTGCTCTGAGATAAGCAAAAACATTGCGGTGGTACAGACAGAGTAAAGAATGTTCGACCCAGACATCCGAGTCGCTGTGTTGAGCGGATAGCCTTTGTGAATCAGGAGACTCGAACACTAGAACAAAAGTTCAATAAGATGTATTTACGAGGCCCCGACTGATGGACACACTACTGTTGGGGTTAGGGTCAGGGGTAAGGATTGCAGTTAGGGTTAGGTGTTATGGTTATGAGTTCGGGTTAGGGGCTCGGGCAACTATCTCCCAAACACTCAGAGTACAACCGCGCGTTCCCAATAGCTCTCCTTTTGCATCCAACTACTTGATCTCGTCGCCTGTGCACTCCCCGGCCCCAGCTGTAAAAACCCCTATTATCACCGGTCCCGGCGTTTAGGATACATCCTCGGACACATCGACAGAGCCAACAGCAAATAAGGATGGTACACTGGTTAAACAGCCGCGTCCCTATCAAAACTAGCGGCTGCCCTACTCCCCCCCCCGATGCTCGTGCATAGTGCGAGGGTTGCGTAGTCGTTCACACCAGTGTTTCGTTAGAAGGTCTTATTGGTTGGGGTGATAAGGACCCTGTCACCAGAACCAGTACTCGCGCGCGTCCCGATCTGACTGATAATTCTTTCTCTAGGAAGATGGCGGGAGAGAGAGAGGGGAATTCGCTTTATTTTGAAATCGTGTGTTCAAAATTTTCAGCAAAAAATTGGCTCCATTCATTATGGGCAGTAAATAAGTTAAGAGATTATTCAAGAGTCAAAGTTTAACACAAAGAAAAGATTATTATAGGGGTAGTTTAAGTCTTAGCTTCTGTATTTCTGTCTCTTCGCACGTAAGATAGCGCGCTAGAAATGGCAATACAGAAGCTCAATAAGCCGATGTACGACATGGCATAAGTCGGAAGCTGCGGCGCATCGGGCGGGAAGACTTTGCAGACATAAGATCGGAATGTAAGGGATGGGCAACGTCATCTAGAATTCGACCAGCAAATTGCTTGACAGCATTGAAGTGTCGTTGTAAGATAGTGTCAGCTAAAAAAGGTAAGAAACATCAGCAGCGGAAGAGAGCATGCGGAGGACTTGTTTCAAAATTAAAAGATCCTTTTTTATCAAAGCAGGAAAAACGACAGGAGAACAGTATAGGATAAGAGGAAGAATGCAGGCGTCAATGAATCGCCAGAATAAGGGTTGAGGTGTATGGTAGGAACGTAAACGACGTATGTAGTAAAGACGTTTATGAACTTTAATAAATTAGATTTGAGGACAAAGTAACGCCGAGGTACCTGAAAGAGGATACTTAGTTAGGAAGAATGTCAGAGGAATCAGGGTTAGGAGAAGGCCGCAGTCGAAAAATACGCTGAACGGATTGTTGGTTGTTAATTAGGGGACGTGGGTGACCAGTACTCACAGGCACGCATTCCACTTGAATGATCGTTCATCCTAGGCAAGGTCTAAGCCCTTCAGATGGTTGGGGGTGGCGGGGGGGGGTGATCCTCGTGCCTGTGATGCAGTGTGAACTTGGGGAACCACTTCTGAAACAGTTCACGGGTCAAAAGTTTGGCAGGTGTGTGACCTGTGACTACTGAAGCCCAATGGCTGACTCTGATTACAGACTGAAGAGTTCATATTGACCCTACTGTGAAAGACTCGGCGCCTCAGTGGGATTCGAACCCAGGCAGTAAGGGGAAGGCTTTAGTACAGCCAACGCTCTAACCAATTGAGCCACGAGGCCCCGCCGAACAACGCGAGTTTAATCACATTTGGGTCAAGTTACCCGCCCAACCTACTGCAACGTCTGAAATCCACCAAATCTGATACAGTAAGTTGACTGCCCAAGCAGGATTTCCTAAGCAGTTCACCTATAATCTACCAGATGACTACCAGGCTCAGGTGATTCATAGATGTTTTGGCAGATTTTGAATAATTCCTATTGATCCAACTGTGACTGAAGAGTGTAGCTGAAACGTCAGATAAACAAAATATTTGCTTCATTCAACTGTTTTATGGAGCTCACTATTTCCTGTGTATGTTTAACCTGTTTAGACTTCCTCTTATTATTTTTGGGTGCACAAGAGACTTGTAACGGGCGTTAGTAGTAGTAGTAGTAGTAGTAGTAGTAGTAGTATAGCCAGTGTGTAGCCGCGACTGCTTAGAATAGTGCCTACCTGATAATTTTGAGCCACATTGCTAGATGAAAGCCAGAATCCCATTGGCTGGCCTCGACAGTCGTAGGACGCAGGCTGACTCTGCATATGTTGTACGAAAGATGGCGGAAAAGGTGACAAGGCGTCGAAGTCCCGCGACGACATCGTGCTCATATCCGCCATTTAGTCAGTGATCATCGTCATAGGACTTTGAGAGAGAGAGGGAGAGGGGCGGACGGGATTCGCTGCGATTTGAAAATATAAAGTCAAAATTTTCAGCAAAAAATGGGCTCCATTCACCGTGGACAGGAAATAAGTTAATAAATTACTAAAAAGGAACGAGTATCCTGAGAACAGTTCGAGTTTTGACTCTTCATATGTGAGATATCGCGTCGGGAATGACAACTCAGAATGTTGATACGCCTATGTAACGCGCATTTCAGAATTTTGACATACACATCATGAGATAGCATTTGGCAGAGAGAGAGAGGGAGGGAAGAAATTTGATTTATTTTGAGATTATGAATTCAGCAAAAAATGCGCTCCATTCACTGTGGACAGTAAATAAGTTACTAAAACGCTTTACGCAAAAAATGGACGATTATCATGGGAACAGTTGCATTCTGAGCTTCTGTATTTCTGCTTTTTCACGCGTAAGATAGAGCACCAGGAATGACAATATAGAAGCTCGATAAGCCGATGTGCGACAGGATATAAGTCGAAAGCCGCAATGCATGGGGCGGGAAGACTTCGCAGTGATTAGTTCAAAGTGCAGGGGATGCGCACCGTCATCCGAAATTCGATGAGCAAACTGCTCGACTATTTTGAAATATCGTTGTATAATAATATTGACGAACAATACGTACGAATCCCGGCAGCAGAAAAAGGTATTCAGAGGACAAGTTTCAAAATAAACAGATCTTTTTGGGCAAAGCAGGAAAAATGACAGGAGGACAATAAATAATAAGAGAAGTAATGCAGGCATCTATGAATCGTCCGACTAAGGGTTCAGGTGTATTTGGTAGGGGCGTAAACGAAGAATGTAATAAAGAAGTTTTCGAACTTTAGTGGAAAGAGACTCAACATGTAAGGAAAATGAAACATTTCATGACAAAGTAACGCCAATGTACCTGAAAGAGGATATCTCTTTTGGGAGGATGTCGAAGGATTCACGAATAGGAGATACACTGAACTGATTTTTGATTGTTCATTAGGAGATCAGTTTTCAGCGAACATACTGAGGCATAGGCAAGGCCATCCTTTAGAGATTGGAGATGTTTCTGATTTTTGAAAGAGTGGCTAACAACCACATGGTCAAAATGCTTAACTAAGAAACAGTCGTCGGGGATCTTAGATCATCAGTGTGGAGGAAGAAGAGGTGCGGGGGTAAAATGAAACTTGAAAAACTCCCCAGTCATTGTGAAGGACCGTTGATGTCCGCTTACCGGATTAGACAAATTGGGTGTCTGAAGTAATCACCGAGCCAAGAGGTTGACGAGGATGGTAATGTTCTCACATATTAACGAGTTATATCTCACGAGTCCCTAGACTTAAAGGCAGCAAGTTAACTCGACCGGTGAATAATATAAGGATTCTGAACGTTAAATAACCTGCCAACAGAGCGCAACAGCAAAGCGGGCCAGCAAGGCGGATTGTAAAGGTGTGTCATTTCTCGTCACATTCAAACAAGCAATGCAGTCACAGAAAATGGGACTAAATTGTCAAAGACAAATTGGTCCGGTACATCGCCACAAGGTAACCCAGCCTGGAGAGCTGAATGCGGATGTTTTGGTAAGGAGGAGAGGTCGCGGGACGGTATTAAAGGCAAAGAAGTAATGAAGAAGAGCACATGCGTACCCGCGGCGACCCTTACCCGATTCTCTTAAGGCAGAGTCGACCACAAGAGCAACAGCATCTAAGCCCCTGCGCCTGGTCCTATATGCAAAGTGTAAAGGGTCGGAAAAAGTGGAAGTGAATGGCTTTAAAATACCTCAAGGCAACTCGCTAAGTGGTTGTTGCTGCTGGTGCCGAATACGGAGGGGTGCTTAACGATGACAGTGATCTGTGTAAGCTGGATTAGAAGCCGCCGGAATCCACAGAGACAGCAACCTGAGCCATCTCCCGCCTCCGGTCTTCTTGACTGTCTTGACACTGGGCGCCGGCGGCAGCAGCAGCAGCAGCAGCAGCAGCAGCAGCAGCAGCAGCAGGGGAGCACTAGGAGGTGAGGTAGATGCTTCGAAAGTCGAATATCACGATAAGCGTATTCGGGCGCAAGTCGCCGGCGCTGCCCCCCACTCAGTGCGGCCTCGCGCTCGAAGTCGCCGCTTTTAGGACGACGTATAAGATACAATTTTCCTGATATAGTCGGCTAGCAGGCAAATTACATGCGTCTACTAAACTCAGCACAGCTTCCCCGACGGGACACGGGTTGTATTACTGTGTTGGGCAGTCTTGTTGGTTGTTAAAATTAACACAAGTACAGCCGGATCGCGAACGCGGTGTGCTGAATAAATAGCCGCAATGAACATGTCCATTTTAATTACCGCATTTTTGGTTACGGGAAGCGTGATAAGTAGGCATCATTGTTTGACGAAGCACTGAGCTGTCATCTGAAAGCCCGGAAATATTCGACAGCGACTGCGCATTTAGGCAATGGCGATGTCTGTATAGACACGCAGAAATTTCTGACAATTGCTTTTGAAGTCTCTGTTTGCCGAGTGGTCGCGAACATACGACGGAATACGGACACGCCGTCGTGCTTTGAGGCATATTGGTCCCGAGGTCAGGCATGGTGATAGACAGTCGAGAATGGAGAATCGCAGCAGAAAATGAAGCAGGGGAGACCGCGATGTCAACATTCGGTAGCAACTTGCATCCGGACTGAGGAACCCGGCGGTCCGCCAAACACATTTACTCGACTGCTCTAGACGCCATAGACAGGTCTCTTGTCCCCAAGACAGTGACGCACTTCCGGTTTCACGTCAAGGCACAGTTTGCCTACACGCACGCACGCACGCACACGCTGGCTATCCGCCCACGCATGGCTCGCTCACTAGGTCGGATTCCTCTGTCTGTCACTTCCGTCTGTCATTCATAGTCTACGTCTTCAGAGGACCAGTCTGGCTCGCTTAATTGTGGGACGCCTGATCACCCCCACCATCTCCCCACACGAACCAATCAACACTTCTAGATAGGCTTTGAGCCTGCTTGAACAGGCACAGAGAGACTGCAGCTTAGGCCGCTTCAGCTCCGGGTGTCTTCTACACCTGTGGCCCACTGTTCGTTCGGCTGAACCCTACAGCAGCAGCAGCAGCAGCAGCAGCAGCAGCAGCAGCAGCAGCAGCAGCAGCAGCAGCAGCAGCAGCAGCAGCAGCAGCAGCAGCAGCAGCAGCAGCAGCAGCAGCAGCAGCAGCAGCAGCAGCAGCAGCAGCAGCAGCAGCAGCAGCAGCAGCAGCAGCGGTGAGGCGGAAGAGATATGATATTTCGGAAGAAGGTGGGCTAACTCATGAAATGCCAACCGCAATTCCGAAATGCGTTTCAGTTTCGAAAAGATTAATTAAGGAGGGCTGTAAAACTAATCAGCCTGCACTACCATTCCATGATATTTCAGTTACCTCAGGATACCGGCTTTCGAATGAACTTCCTTCCGGCTGCATGCAAAACCCACACTCAGTAAAAAATGACTACCTACGTAGCATGAATTCTTGTCATTGATTTTAGATGCCACTAAAAGTCCAACTATATTTCATGGAAAACATGCATAAAAATATTCATTCCTTCGCTCATTCGGTAGACAATTACGTTTTCTTCCAATCTTATACTTGAAGCAGAGGCACGATTCGGTTTTAAAAAGGTTCTAATTGTGGGACTTTTAAATACCGTGAAATGGCCGTTCATAAATGGACATATCTCTGTATTTACCAATGCGACCTGTAAAGTTAACAACATGGATCGAATTCACGGCTTAACTTTATGAACCCCGTATGGTCCCCCTTTATCACCGTAGATAAATGTGTGGCTTTCATACGCGGTAAATATACAGCTTGTAGTTTTAAAACTCTGAATCCAAGCTTAACGGTAGAGCAGGCTCAAAATTATTCGGGAAGTGGAAATGTTTTTGAAAACCGTATTATACCCTTTATTCGAGTATAAGATTGGAAGGAGACGTAACTGTCTACCGAATGCGAAAATAGTGAATATTTTTATGCGTGTTTTGCATGAACTATAATTGGACTTTTAGGAGCATCGAAAGTCAATGAGAAAAATTCACGTTAATTAAGTAGTCGTTTTTTACAGAGTGTAGTTTTTGCATGCAGCCGGGAGGAGGAAGTTCATTCGAAAGCCGGTATCCTAAGGCAACTTATTTATTATAGAATTATTCTACAAGCTGACTAGTTTTACAACCCTTCGTAGTTAATCTTTTCGAAAGGAAAACGCATTTCTGAATTTCGGTTGACATTTCATGAGTTAGCCCACCTACTGTGCTACTCCGCAGACCGTCCTTGAGAAGCACTGCTGGACTTTTGAAAATACCTCGCGAATTTGCATTATCTGATGTATTCTGGTTGCAGTTCTGAAATGGAGATTCCCATTTCTCCCTGGATTTCCAGGTTTATAACCTTCGTTGGGCCGCGTTATAGCCAACTGGTAAACCGCTGCAGGCAAAATCCGTCCAGCTCAACCTATCCTTGTGATTATCAATTCTGGCGACGGTTACGTGCAGTGAATGCTTACAAGGCTCCACCGGAGTTCACGGCCCGCATGGGGAGTATTTCGGAGTGGCGTCGGGCTTCCACGTTCCCGTGGCGTCTCAGTCACCTGATGCGCGTGGTGTGGGCCAGGCGGCGTGTGTGTAGCACGCGTAGACGTCCCGTTTGGCTACAATCTCTGATTTTTCAGCAGGCAACCTTCAGAAACTTCTATTTCAGTGACCTCCCTATTGGAGAACTCCGAGAAAATCGCTTTTGCTTCAAAAACCTCATGCCGAAGAAAAACAAGGGGGAAAAATTACGCCACGTTCGCTTAGAACCATTTTTGTTAATAAAACCAAACGCGTTGAATACTTTGTGAATTAGTGGATGCTGGAGGGCATTTGTTTAACTGCAGGTCAAGAGGACTTCTCTAAACGCTATTCTGCTGTTCTGTTCTATTTACCATGTAATTTGCTTAAACAGACTCCATGGATTTGTGAAAATGAATTTGCTCTTTCTACAAGAGCTTTCGGGTTTTCATATTTGCGTTTGTCTTAAGGAAATAATTGTTTCTTCGTAATTTACCACTTCTTTTGATATTTGTTTCGTGATCTCAGTTAACTGGAAGTCTTTTCACGTTAATTTATGCTTTGTTCGATGCATGTGGACTGCACTGTGGACTGCATGCAGCCGAAAAGAATTGTAAGAATACGGCATTGCTTACTGAATGAGCAAAAGATTAAATATTTTTATGCATGCTTTCCAGAAAATACAATAAGATTTTTAAGGGCGTCAAAACTCAATGAGAAAAATTCAAGATACCTAAGTGGCCATTTTTGCTGGGTGTGTTTTTTGCATGCAACCGATGAGACGTTCGTTCGAAAGCCGGCATCCTGAGACATTAGCATAGATTTATTATTTACTATTATTGGGTCGTCTGAGCACTGTCTTGCGTTCAGAGCAAAGTGGCTGATGGAGGAGAGGAAGAGAATACGGTAAGTGCTACGCAAGTCCGCTCCACTGTAAACTGATCGATGTGCAGATTACTGGTGCCGCATCCACTCTGTCCGTCACGCGATGGACGTAGTCGCTTGCGATGGTCGAAAAAATAACAAAAAAAACTTAGCTACGTGTAATCGCCAATCATTTTGCTTCTTTCATGGTTCTTTTTTCCCTGTCCAGTGTTTTTCCACACTGTCCGACCAAGCTGCCGTTGTGTAATTCTGGACTTTGTCATCGTTTGAGGTTTCCGCTTAGATTTGGTTTTACGTCCTTGAAGGTTTTTTTCTGAAATTTCCGGACAGACAGCGGACACCGGAGCTTATGGAAGACTGCAGACGCCGCAGAATAGGAAAGGTACAGAGTGGGCGTTTCAAAAGTAGTAGGGAACATCCTCCCACAATAATTAATATTCGTTTGTGTACAAGCGCTTGATTGGTCACCTTCACGACGAAGTTTGTAGCGCGTACTCTCAAAAAATGCTCATTTCAGTCGTCTGCCTATTTTCTATCAACCACCGACTATCGCAGCTGCGTCAGGCAGCGGCACAAGATCGGCGAAACACGCGTGTCTGGGCTTTAATTTCTACCTGAGTTGTCAGTACGGCAAATAATTGAACAACTCTATACTACTGGCTGCTTATTGGCGGTTTGTGAGTATTACGCGGTTTTTCCGCAGTGGATGATGGATTTCGGCTGAAGTATTCATAGCAAATTTTGGACCGTGCCTGAAAAGGTCTGTCCCGAAGAATTTACTCCAAGTTCGCGCATTAATTTCCTTGGAAATTAAACAAGGCTGAGTGAAACTGGAGCTCATATACCAGAAAACACACGGGGAAGGCTGTGGACCTACTGATGAGCCAAGCCGATCGCAGCTGCGTCAGGCAGCGGCACAAGATCGGCGAAACACGCGTGTCTGGGCTTTTATTTTCTACCTGTGTTTTAAGTACGGTAGGCAATTGTCCAATCGTATAAATTCTTTCAGATGTCCCAGCAAAATGTACAAAAGTACTGTGATTTCTCATTTCACAGGAAGTTTTTTTGGTCTTTGTTGGAGTTCCCATTCCTGAAGTCTTTTTGTGGCGTTCACATAATTACAGAACGTGACCTATCTCATGAAATCTGATAACTGAAATTGATGCGGGAATTTCTAGACGTCTTTAATTTTACGCACTTTGTTCGCTCATCCACATCCTTCAATGAAATGTCCTTTTCTTGTACATAAATTGTGTTTACATAGTTATATCAAATAAAATATCAGTAAATTTTAGCGAAAATGGACGTTGGAATATGTTTGTGCAATTTCCTATTCTAATACATGTCCTAGATTCCAGTTACGCATCTGGGCGACTTTTTCACTGAACGGATAGTAATTTAACCCCGAAAGTGTTAATAAACAGATTTAGCCGGACTATAAACCTTATTTCATGCCCGATGTTGACCATGGTTATCAGTCTCCTAACAAAAAGGTTATTTAAAAAAAACCGGACGTTTTATCAATTCGAAATGTCAAATAAGCAGATCTGTGCGATCTGGTGCCCTAAATTGCAATAATAACGCAGATAGAGATTCCTTCGTTTAAGTGGGCGGAAATGTTTTTGCCGTATGGAAAATTCTACCTGATATCACATAGATGACCACCACGGAATGGTCATTTCCAGCTTCATACATATGACACACTACTTTTCTAGTATTTTAGCTTCTGTGCACACTATTTTTGAGAAACAGAACGGACAAAACACTTTTAGTTTCATCAAAATATCGGTATTTATATGGGCGCTCTGCCGTGCATTCATAATCGAAGAACGGAGTCTAAAAGCGAGCAAAAACAGTTGAAATGGCCTCAATGTATAGAGAAAGGCATGTTCTTGCGTTTACGGTAAAAAAATATTAGTATTGTTTAGGAACGTGAAAAAAACCGTCAAAAGTGTCGAATTTTTACTTGGCCTCGCCGTGCAGAAATGCAAAATACACAGAGATCCGTCAACGTAGTGCAGTAATAAAGCCCCTCCTAAAGAGGTAACTTATTAGGGAAGGTTTTCTTATTGATGCAAGGCATATTCGCAGGTGACTTTCATTGTGGACAGTCATTTTTCTCGAAAATGAAGTTTGATGTTTGAATGAATATATAAATGTGACCCAAACGGCCATCTTCGTAAAAAGGAGTGCACGAACACTCGCTAGTTCAGTAACTGCCTTCAAGAATAATCTTATTTTAAAGTTCTCAACAGACAGGTAATTTAAAATCTGTCTTTATGGACGATCTGGGGAAAACACTGAAAATCATGAGGTATTCAGCAATATTTTGAGGCCGATCTGAAACTCGCGTAGTCCAGAACGAAAGAAGAGTATAAATTACTTTAACCGAATAAAAGTTCTCTCTATAAACACAAAATGGTATGCTTACGATCAAGCCTGTCAGTTCTATTTAAACTTATTAGGCACCGACCGGTCTCATGGCATGTCACCTTATGAAAACGTTTGATCCTACGACGTCCCCATCGGCGAGATCAAGCAAAATCCAGCTTTTCTCGTTGAACTCCATCTCATTTAACTTGAAACCGTTAATAAAATTATGAAACACTGGAAAACTGTTTTGGAATCTACACTCGGAATGTAGACAATTGACAAACCGTCATGTATGTCTTAGACTCCGGTTACGCATCTGAACGACATTTTCATTGAAGGGATAGTAATTTAACCGCGGGAGTTTTGATAAATGGATTTAGTCGAACTTGAAAACTTATTTTACCTCCGATGTTAACCATGGAAATCAACATGCTAATACAAAGGCTATTTTAAGAAGACGAAAGGTTTTATTAATTTCTAAATGTCAGATAAGCAGATCTGTGCGATCTGATGCCCTAAATTGCAATAATAACGCAGATAGAGATTCCTTCGTTTAAGTGGGCTGAAATGTTTTTGCCGTGTGGAAAATTCTACCTGATTTCACATATATGACCACCACGGAATGGTCATTTCCAACTTAATACATATGACACATGACACACTACTTTTCTAGTATTTTAGCTTCTGTGCTTACTTTTCAAGAAATGGAACGAGCAAAACCATTTTAGTTTCATCAAAATATCAGTATTTGTATGGACGCTCTGCCATGCATTCATAATCGAAGAACGAAGTCTAAAAGCGAGCAAAAACAGTGGAAATGGCCTCAATGTATAGAGAAAGGCATATTCTTGCGTTTACGGTAGAAAAATATTAGTGTTGCTTATGAACGTGAAAAAACCGTCAAAAGTGTCGAATTTTTACCTGGCCTCGCCGTGCAAAAATGCAAAGTACACAGAGATCCATCAACGGAGTGCAGTAATAAAGCACTTCTTAAAGAGATAACTTGTTAATCAAAGTTTTCTTATTGATCAAAGGCAGATTCCTTGTTGTGGACAACAATGTCACGTTCGTTGTGTACAACAATGTTTCTCGAAAATGAAGTTTGATGTTTGAATGAATATAAAAATGTGACCCAAACGGCCATCTTCGTAAAAAGGAGTGCACGAACACTCGCTAGCTCAGTAACTGCCTTCAAGAATAATCTTATTTTAAAGTTCTCCACAGACAGTTAATTCGCAATCTGTCTTGATGGACGATCGGGTGAAAGCACTGAAAATCATCAGGTATTCAGCAATATTTCGAGGCCCATCTGAAACTCGACCTAATCCGAAACGAACGAAAAGTGTAGATTAATTTAGTGGAAGAAAGATTCTCTCCGTAAACAAAGAATGGTGTGTTTACGATTGGACCTCATTAATGAAGATGCGCAGTCTTCTCTAAGATGCATATTTGTACAGACTGCGGTACAATAGGTGAAATAGTCACTTAATCAGTTATTTCACAGATAAACACTTCAGAAACATTATAAGTATCGCCCCATATTTATTCATATACATCGATATGGGCTCCAATGTTCAGACAGTCTAAATTACCATGTATTACCCTAGAAAGATCGCTTTCGTCATCAGAGCGAGTGATATGCGTGGGAGTTTTTGTCACGCATTGATAGTCTACGACAGTGTCTCGAAACAATTTGCCTCTCAGGGCCCAAATGCAGCGTTCGTCCGTCTAGAAGTCCCGTTCCGCGATTAAATACAAAGGTTGAGCGAGCACCTGAACCCTGATGGCTTATGTGCCACTTTCATGAGTTAGGTCACTAACTGTATTTGCCTAACCCCGCATGTCCTCGCAAACGGGCTTGTCGTCTGCAGACACGGTTTAGAAAGGCGTGCCCTGCCAGGCGGTGGACCTTCCAAAAACTGCTTAGAACTGGGTGATTCCTTTCGGTCAAGTAGGTCAGCCGTTGTTAGCCAATAGCACCCCAGCCCCCCCGATTGCATCGCTGCCCTGATCTCGGGACAGATCGTACGCACCACACTCTTGTGAGGTGCGTACAGATTGACTCGCTGCTTCGCTCTATAAAGCCACGGACGCTCTGCATACTGATGATCAGAGAGCGATAACAACCCGCTTTTTGCGGGCGAGGATGCGGGACGTCCGATGCACTTGGCCTGACAGCGAACGGCTTGATTAATAACGAGAGCTCCTGGAACTTTCTCTCTCTCTCTCTCTGTGTGCGCGCAAGGCGCCGAAACTGTTGACAAAGCGAGAGTTAGTTTCGCCAGAGTGTGCACAAGCGGAGCGCCAACACAAATTCTCCGAACCAGATCTCTCTCTCGCTCTCTCCGTGTGTGTATGTGTACGTCTGGCGCAGAGAATGTTGACGACCGGACTGCGGAAGTGCGTCTCCTGAGCCGCTGCATACTCCCCGCGAACCGATGGTGAACCTTGGAGCCAGCTGTGCCGTATGTCACGGGGTGTGTCGACATCTGAGATGATGAAATCCGTTTCATCAGACGCTGGAAACGCCTCCTGAATAGTGAAACATCTAGAAAGAAGCTCTGTTCATGTGAATGTGCACATTCTGTTGTAGGGTAGGCGTCGAGGTTCTGTCCCCTGAAATCGGACGCCAAGTGTGGAGGCCGAAAGACCCAAGGCAGTCGGGGCGTCAGTAGGGTGAAGAACCCCGCTTAAGTGACCGTAGGCTGTGGATCGTGTCATAGGGGAATGATGAAATTGGGGGGTTTTACGGATGGAACAATACGCCACACAGAAGAATCAAGGAATGCAAAAGGACACAGAAATTGTTTGGATTTCTGCCAAAAGCCTTTTTTTACGCTTTCATATGACAACGGAAATGGGCGCGGTAATTAAAATATTAGCAAAGAGCAAATGTCGAAAATATCAGAGTCTGAGTAATGGTCTTGGGCATAAGAAGTGCAGTAGATGTGCTAACTCATGAAATGTTAACCGAAATTCTGAAATGGATTTTCCACTCAAGAAAAGATTACTCAGATAGGGTTGTAATATTAATCACCGTGCAACATAATCCCATCATAATTCAGGTACTTCAGGATGCCGGCTTTTATGCCCATCTCTTTCTGACCGCCTGCAAAAACCATACTCTATAAAAAATAAATATTTATGTAGTAAGAATTTTTCTCATTGATTTTCGATGCACTTGAAAATTCAAATATATCACATCGAAAACATGCATAAAATATTCATTCTTTTGCCTATTCGGTAGAAAATTACGTCTGCTTCAAATTTCATGCTTGAGAGAAGGGTACAATTCTGTTTTAAAAAGACTTTCTAATTCTTGAATTATTTTGAAGCCGACCTGCCGTTACATTTACATCCAGGGTTTCGAAACTACAAGCTACATTTTTTATTGTACCGAAGATCATACATTTCTATACTCTGTTGAGAGGAGGCCACGTTGGGTTCATACAGTTTCGCTGTGGATTTGAGCCACACTGTAAACTTCGCCAGAAATATTAGTAACTGCAGATACAAGATGTTTTATGGGCGGACATTTCACGCTCTATAAAATCCCATATTTATCAACTATTTTAAATCCGAATGAAGCGCTTCCTTCAAGCTTAAAATTTGAAGATGTAATTGTCTACCAAATGAGTAAAGTACTGAAAACATTTATAGGTGATTTCAACGAGATATATTTGAATTTATAAGGGCATCTAAAATCAAAAGGAACAATTGTACAAGGTGAGTAATTTTTTGCAGAGTGGGGTTTTTACAGGCGGCTGGAAAGAATTTCGTATTAAAGTCGACATCCTGAAGTAACTGAATTATCATGATACTATGCTGCACACTGCTCACTATCACAACCTTTTGAGAGGAAAACTCATTTCAAAATTTCGGCCGACACTTCCTGAGTTAGCCCATCTACTGTAATTGTTGTTGGCAGTGTAATGTCTGCTACGGCCTGCTAGATGCCAAGATAAAACCCTACATGACCCGATCCACGGTCTACTAACAGTTAAGTAGGGTCCTTTATCCTTCCGTCGTCTGGAGTCGTTTAGCAGATCTGGGGAATTTGCGGACAAAGCAAATATGTCGGCGAAAATGAGAGATTTCCTCAGAGGTGGATTTCCGAACAAGCAGCAGCAGCAGCAGCAGCAGCAGCAGCAGCAGCAGCAGCAGCAGCAGCAGAAGGCAGGACGCTAGCTTTCGGATCGCAGCTCACTTGGCAGGACCCGATCAAACCCACAAGTTTGACGGGGTCCCAAGTGGTGACAATCGCGTGAGCCGCATGCTGTTTGAGACATACTTCGTCGGCCCAGAGTCAATTCGCAAGCGCAAGGACTTTCGCACTTTGTGCTGAGACGTTGCCTTGGGGGAGAGTTTATGATCACGTGGAGAGTGCGCGTTTTGGTGGTGACCTAAAAAGCCCTGTCGCTAAGTAACACCAATGGTGTTGAAACTACGACAGTTAACGACAGCGGCGCGGACTAATGAGCATTTGTCAATCCAATAGGAGCCCCCGGCGACGAATACAGGAGTTGCTATTTAAAGCAGGTGTTATTGTTATTGTTGTTATTAATGAAAAAAAACCTGGTCATTTGTTGTGTGTACCAGGGAGTGTGGGGTGGAACGTCAAAGTACGGGTTCGACCGTGCTATCCACCTGCGCCCTCCCCCTCGTCCGGCCTTCATGACGCTGTCTGGACACCTGGTCCAGGCGGGAGGAAGAGAGAGTGCGGTAGATGCTGAGCAAGTCTATTGCCTCGATAAACTAATTCTCGCGGAAGTCACCGTCCCTGCTCTCACCCTGTTAAGAAGTTCATGGTGGACCTCATCGGATACGATGGGCGAACTATTGGTGCTATGGAGTGTCCTCACAATGGCTTGAACAGAGGACTTCTAGAATGCGCTTTCGATTAGAAAGGATTACTTAGGTAGGGTTGTTATTCTGGCTAGCATGCAGCATAACCCCATAGCGTTTCGGATTCGCCGGAATGCCGGCTTTTGAATTAATTTCATTTTGGCTTCCTACTGAGACCACACTCGGTAAAAAATGACTGCTTAATTAGCACGCATTTTTTATTGATTTTTAATGGCCTTGTAAATTCATAAATATTTTATAGAAAAAGTGCACAAAATATGCCTTCTTTTACTCGTTTGATAGAAAATCATAATATCTTCATATTTAATACCCAAAGAAAGTGTATATTTAGGTTTATAAAAGTTTCCTAGTTCCCGAATAATTTATAGTTTGACCTGCCATTGCATAAACGTTTAGCAATTTAAGTCTACGAGGTGCATGCTTTCCGCATAAGAAAGATCATACATTCCCCTATGCCTTTAAGAAGACATTAGACAGATTTCATAAAATTTCGTAATGGATCCGGACTGTGGTGTACATTACATTAGGAGCATTGGCAAACGGACATGTGCGGTCCCGTATACATGGACACATCGCACGGCCTTAAAAAATTACATAATAAGAAACATTTTTAAAACCGCAAGACAACTTTCCCCGGGGTATAAACTATGAAGACAGTGTGATTTTCTACCAAACGAGGAAAAGGATGCATATTTGTTTGCATGTTTTTATGAAATATATTTGAATTTAAAGGAGCCTCGAAAATCAGTGAGAAAAATGCTTTCTAATTAAGCAGTCATTTTTTGCCGAAAGCGGTTTCCGTAGGAGGCCAAAAAAGTACACTTAAAAGCCGACATCCCGACGGGTCAAAAGTGCTATAGGATTATGCTGCATGCTAATCAGTATAACACCCCCACTTAAGTAATCCTTCGAAATCGAGAACGCATTGCGGAATTTTGGCTAACATTTCATGAGGTCGTTCACACGCTGTAGGTGCGGGTTTTCGTCGAGGAAGACACCTGAGTCCTCCCCCATCCGTTTTTCTTGTCTCCATCTAGACACCGGGTTCAGGTGGAGTGCCGTAAATTCACGCGAGATTCGCCGTGCCTGCTGCACCTTGCTGTCATCGTCGGACTGGATGGTCGAACTGTCGTGCGCATGCCGTCGCCCAATACCCAACTGGTGCGTAAAATTTTGAGTTCGAATCTTATTAGGACATTCTTAATAATCACACAGCTCGCACACGGAGAACAATTTATCCACTGACGCTTAATCCTTAGTGAACTGATATACAGTATATGACATAATTCATGAAAAGTGTCAAAAGTTGCGAGTGATTGCCAATCCCTCGCAAACCGATGCCAATGCATGCATCCAATATCTATAATGATATATAGCAACTTTGAGGAGATTAAAAGCATAAAATAAATGCCACTGGTAATGTTTATAAATACGAAGATTTTTTGGAAAAGCGAAAGATCTAGAAAACGTCAAAAATAGCTGTAATTGTGATAACGTCATTTGTCGATTTAAGGACAGTCTGTCCGCGCAAAACACTAAGCACTTATGAAATTACACATAGAACAGCCTTTGAAAATAATTGGATAATGAAGTTTACATCCAAATATCTTTTAATAATTAGTGTAATTTCAGGCATGACGGCCTGCCAACAGCCTATATCCTGAGTTAAGATTACAAAACGGTTTTACCAGGGTTCGTGGTATTATTTACGCTTTTGAATTGATTGAGATGCGGTCCAATAAGGCAAACAGGATTTTGCTTGAGTTCGTCGATCAGAACATCATACGAGCAATGTCTTCGCAACAGCACGTGTTGTTAGGCGGGTCAGTGGCTAATACATTAAAATAAAATTGACTGGTGTAACCATAAACATGCCATTTCGTGTATACAACGAGGCCTTTTCATCCGTGGAATAAATTTGCGCTTGCCATTTATTTTGGATTACGTTGGGTTCCAGATCCCTCTTCAAATACTACTGAACAGTCCATGATTTTCAAAGTTTAAAAATGATTGCCCATCGAGAGATGCTGCATTATGTGTCAGTCAAAACATTAAAATAAGATACTTATTGAAGGAATTTACAGAGGTAGCAAGTGTCTAGGCGTTCCTTTTCATGTAGATGGTCGTTTGGGTTGCATTTAATGACTCGCCCAGACATGAAGCATCATCATCATCATCATCATCATCATCATCATCATCATCATCATCATCATCATCATCATCATCATCATCATCATCATCATCATCATCATCATCATCATCATCATCATCATCATCATCATCATCATCATCATCATCATCATCATCATCATCATCATCATTATCGTCGTCGTCATCATCGTCGTCGTCGTCGTCGTCATCATCATCATCATCAAAAAATACGCTTCCACTATAATAGTCAGCAACGAATACGACTTTGATCAGTTAGAAAATTTTATCCGATCATTTACCTCTCTCAAGAGTGCTTAATTACAGAACTTTTTGACGGATGTCGGTGTGTTTAACACTAACACTTTAAAGCTAGAAAAGATTTTACGTTTTTGGCCGTTTCTTTTAGGTTTATGAAAAAACACTAACATTTTCCTATCGCAAATGTAAGAATACGCTTTTCTCTCTATACCGTGTCCATTTTTAATACCTTTGCTAACTTGTAAGCTACGTTCTACGATTGTGAATCCATTGCGTAGTGGCCACATAAATACTGGTACTTCGCTGAAACTGTTAAGGTTTTGCTCGTTGCATTTCCAAACTGCGTATGTACCGAAGCTTGACCGCGCGAAAAATAATGTTCCAGTCGTCTAAAACTGAAAATGACTCTTCGGTGGCTGTCACTTTGGCGAATTTGCAGAATTTTCCTAAACGGCAAGACGATTCCAGGTAATCTGAACAAAAGACTGCCTGTGTGCATTAGTATTGCACTTTCGCACCCAAATCGCACATATTTGCTAATCCGACCTTTAAAAATCGACAAAACATCTGGTTTTCTTAAAATAAACTGCGCGCCAACAAGTTAGCGTCGGACGAAAAATCAAATACCGAGTGAAGTAAGCTCTGTCCGGTAAAACTCTCATGAGCAAATTACTTTCCTTTTACAAAAACACGTTCAGATGTGCATCCGAAGTCTAGGAAAGGTATTCGCATCGGAAATCGCCCGGTCTATCGCGAAGTCCATTTCCCCTCACATTTGTGAACATTTTGCTTAACAAAATTACATGAACACATTTTCAGCACAAGAATAGGACATGTCCTTGAAGGAGTTGGACAAGCGAGCAAGATGCGCAATGTTTAAGACATCCGAAAATTCTCATACCAGTAACTGTCATCAGGTTTTATGAGATATGTCACGTACTGTAGCTTTCCGAATGGGTCAGAGTTTTAAAAAGCGAAAACGCGATCAGAATACAAATAAATATAGGTATACAAATAATGACCTTCGATAACCAACGTGAAAGATGTTCGCTACTTAAGTAGTCATTTTTTACTAAATACGGTTCCTACAGGAGGTTGAAAAGAGGTGCGCTCAAAAGCCGACATCATGCCGAGTCCGAAATATTGAAGGATTATTCCATAAGGTAACCAGCATTATAACCCCACCTAAGTAATCCTTCCTAATCGAAAATGTCTTTCAGAAGTCCCGCAAACATTTCATGAGACCGATTACCTGCGGAGTCCTTCAAAACCTCATCTTATCCCGCCATATCTTCTGATTTCACACTACTAACTTGAGATCGTCCGGCCACTGCCTGTTCATTAAGTCTACTAATAAGTTGGTTGTTGGATATCGTATTAAAAATCAAACCCATCTCCAGTTTTTGAGGAATAATTTGCATTATGTCTGTGCATGCTCATTGAAAAGTGGTCTTCTACTTAACGATCGGAAGTAAGTTCCGAGTGTTTATCGATTGCATTTCTGAGTCACCTGGCATCCTTCCAAATGAAGTATTATCCTTACGGTACCTCGGTGTTACGTTGTTCTCAGATTTCACCTCCTCCCCCATGTTGAAATGTCTTTCACTGCAGTTCTCAAGCTTGTTTATTGCCTTCGACGTCTACTTACCTGACACACATCTCAACCCCTGCTCTGGCGATTTATCGATGCTTGCGTTTTTCTTCTCACTCTTTGCTTTTCTTCTGTTATGTTGTCCACTTTGGTTGAGAAGTATGTGCTTATTTTAGAGCGCGTTTAGTAAAACTAATCAATATATGGGCCATGGAGAAGGATACTGTTATGGAGAGTGAAAGCGGCGTAGAGCCACGGCCTAAGGCGCCAAACACGGGATCACGTAGGCGACGTGAGTCAAGCGTGAAGTTAGACGACCGACCGGCGCGCACTGCAGTGCCGAGCACGCGTGGTGGCTTTGCTCAGGTGTGCGGCCCAATCAATGGATGGCCGAACATTCCAGACGTTTCCGCGGGGGCTATCGCGCACGCGGTGGCCAATCAGCGACCAGCACGCTCGTAGCAGGAACATTCTAGAACGCCCTCAACAGCTGGCACGTAATTGGATGGAATGTTCCAGAACGCAGGGGAGCCAATATAAATAGCACACCTTTCTTACGAGTTGTAACCCCCTCGTGTCCGCAAGTCACCAATAAAGGGCTTGTCGTCGGAACCGGCTCTCTTCTGTCTTATCTTCCGGATCATAAAAGATATACGATCAATGGAATAAGAGCTTCATTTGCCTGACGTTTCGGATTCCTGCTCGAACCCATCATCGGAGACGAAAGCAGATACGGGTGGTTAATGGGCAAGCGGCTGCAGTATTTATAGGATAAAGTCGCCAGGCCAGCGTATACTTATGAATATTCACAGCTCCCCCCTTCATCCGGGATCGTTGCGCTTGGTATGTTGACTCTTTGATGGCCGACGTTCACGTTGTAAATTGCTGCAGTTTCATCACGTGCATTGGATGTTGATGTGGTGATGGCTCGACCATCTGACGCACCGACCCTGGCGTCGGGAAATGTGTTTACTTGTGCGCTCCCCACTTTGATAATTACTCCGCCTAGGCGAAGTTTCAGCACAGAGTATGGAAAAGGGAAGCTCATTGCACTTGTTAATGGACAGGGGGCCAGTAAACCATGATGCGAGTAGCTCCCGGCTCACGTGGTTGTCATCTCTTGCGAGAATTTCCGGCCTCATCAAATTTAAGTGTGTGGCCGGATCTCGTCGATTGAGCCGTAACTTAATAACCGGCGTCATTTCTCCACATTGCGTCAGCATGTTCAACCATTTGCGTTCGGAGCTGTCTTCCGATTTTTCCGACGTAGTTGCTTTGTCCGCAACTGCACCAGATCCGATAAATGAATTCAGACGTTTCGTGCAGTGGCGGTGGGTCTTTCGGTTTCATTAACTGACGCCTGATTGTTGCCTCTGGTCTGTGTGCAACTCCAAACCCAATTGGTGCCAGAAGGCAGCCAACAGCTACCGAGACGTTCTTAACATACGGAAGCGCTCGCCAAAATTTGGGGTCCGTGTGGCTAGGCCTTACGTCTCTTTTGCGTATGCCCTATTCACTCTAAATCGATGACACCACGTACACCATGCTGCTGCCATATCTCCCGCCGGACATCAGCCCACCGGAATTTCGTATTGCCATCCCTTGGATGATACCTGACGTGTAAGGAGAACGATTTACAGAAGCCGATACCCGTACCGCCACTTACATTGTCCCTTGCCCTTGTCCGCAACTGTACTCCGCTTTGTCACCAGCCGCTGTGCGGCTGCTAGCGGAGCTGTACTTTGTAAAAAATGACTATTTAATTAGCATGCATTTTGAAGGCCTATAAATGTCTAATCATGTTTCTTGGAAAAACGACATAAAAATATTAATTCTTTCCCTCGTTCGGTAGAAAATTACGCCTTCATCCAATTTTATACTCGAAGGAGGGACATAATTCGGTTTTAAAAAGTTTCTAATTGTGAGACTTTTTAATACCGTGGAATGGCCGTTCACAAAACGTCATGTTTCTGCATTTACTAATGTGGCTTGTAAAGTTAACAATATAAATCAAATCTGTGGCGGTCAAGGATGTGAGCTCAACTTAAACCACGCACAATAAGTTCGTTTCGTCTAATGACAGAAGTCAGGGAGCTGGGAGGACTAGTTTATTCTGTACACTGAGCAGGTTGCCGTAAGTTGGCTGTTTGCTTGCTACAGAGATAAACGTCCGTTCGGGGAGAGCGTCAGTCACGGTGTGTAGTTTACGCGGGAGTTAAAGTCTGTGTCAGTAGGTGGGGGTGACTGGTTGGATGCTGATCATGTGATTGGACGGATAAGGGGAGGATTAGGGGGAAGCATAATTACAGGGGCTTACGGGTATCAAGCCAGGTCATCCGACGCGCATGAGGTGATAATTGTTTGTGGGGGCAGCCGGGGGTCACTGCAGCTGGACAGGAGGGGGGGCCCAGTTATAATCGGCGGGGGTGGTTGTGTGTCAGCGGCCTGGCAACGATTGTCGCGGCCATCGACCGACAAAACGGAGCCGGAGAAAAGGAGAACTGGAGCGGCTGCTTCAAATCCACCTCTTAATTTTATGAACCCTGTATGGCCCCCCTTTAGTACCATAGAGAAATGTGTTGTTTTCCATATGCGCAAAATATATGGCTTGTAGTTTGGAAACCCTGAATGCAAGTGTGACGGTAGGGCGGGTTCAAGATTAATTAGGAATTGGAAGAAAACCTAAGTGTCTGCCGAATGAGCAAAAGAATGACTAGTTTTATGCATGATTTTCATGAAATATAATTGGACTTTTTGGGGCATCGAAAATCAATGGGAAATAATCCTGCTGCGTAGGTAGTCATTTTTACAGAGTGAAGTTTTCGCATGCAGCCGAAAGGAAGTTCATTCGAAAGCCGGCATCCTGAGGTTACTGAATTATTATAGAATTATTCTGCATGATGGTCGGACTTAGAACCCTACTTATGCAATCTTTTCGAAACGAAAACTCATTTCAGAATCTCGGCCAACATTTCATGACTTAGCCCACCTACAGTACCTAATCCTGATTAGTACAACCATCTCCGGCACCGGAATATGGATAGTGAGACTGACTCGAACTGTTTGATAATCGTCCTGCAACTTCATGCATAGCCATGGACTCTCTCCTCATCTATCAGTTTGTATGCTGACCAGGATACTGATACTTTTGCAAGGATATTTTCCAAACAAACGGGTATTTCCCCCTCCTTACTAAACACGCCGCACGGAAGCTTGGGCCTGCAATTGAGTACTACTCAACTGAAGAAAATAGGTTTTATTTTTGTAGGCATGTTTATGTTACAAATTAAAAAAAGTCACTGTATTTAAAATTTGGCTCAGATAACTGTAGAACGTTTGTCCGAAATCCCAAGCAGAAAATAATGTCTCATTATACAACAAAGATAAGTGTCAAGGCGGCGCGCAGTCTTGATGGTACAAGGCAAACTCTGCTTCTCACGGGCCCTCTTCCAACAGACTATCAGTCACAGTGTTCTTCCTGTGAAGAATACTGCTCCGCATGTAGCCGGGTAACACGACAGTGGAATTCTTGGGACACATGACGAGGATAGGCGAGTTTGTCCATTTGTCGCCCTGAAAAAGTAAACCAGAAGATCACAGTGAGGCTTGAAGACGGGAGGTTTGCGAACCAGTAAATTGCTAAATTAGCTAATACCTGTGTTGGCGGTACGGTAAATCATCGCACAGTTCTATACTACTAGCTGCCTGTTGGCGCTCTGTGAATATTAAGCGGTTATTCCGCAGTAGCTGATCGATTACATCTCAAATATTCGCATCAAAATTTGTAGCGTGCCTGAAAAGGCCCGTTCCGAAAGACTTACTCCAAGTTCGCGCATTAATTTCCTCGGAAATTAAACAAGGTAAATTGCAGTCTGTTAAAAAGGTCAACTCACGCCCTTGATGACTAGTGACCACCTGAGGACAGCGTCATCTTCAGAGGCCTTTTCGGAGAAGGAGATGACAGACACACCCTTCTTTGTGCTGCAAGCAAAAACACACACACAATACGGATTGATTAGGCTTCGAAGAAACAGACTTTTTAGTTCAATTGGCACAAGTGTGTGTGTGTGTGCGTGTGTGTGGGCAATGTTGGGTGGGGGTGACAGTGATTAGGGTGACCGAAACCCGCAGGCGCAACGAAGGTGACTTGCGAAGCGTCCTTCGCACCCATTCTTACAGTAGATGTGCTTACTCATGAAATGTCAAAAAAAATTTCGAAATGCGTTCTCGTTTCGAAAAGATAACTTAAGTAGTTTTGTAAAACTAATCATTATGCAGCATTAACCTATAATGATTCAGTTACCTCAGGGTGTCGGCTTTCAAAAACACTCCTTTTTGGCTGCATGCAAGATCTATACTCTGCAAAAAATGACTACATAAGTAAAATGCAATTTTCTTATTGATTTCCGATGCCCCTAAAAGCTTAATTATATTTCATGGGAAACATGCACAAAAATATTTATTCTTTTACGTATTCGGTAGAAAATCACGTCTTCTTCCAATTTCATATTCAAAAGAAGAGTATAATTCGGTTTTAAAAAAACTTTTCTAATTGGGAGATTCTTTAATACCGTCAAATGGCGGTTCATGAAACGTCATGTATCTGCATTTACGAGTGTGACTTGTAAAGTTAACAACATTGATCAAATCCACTGCTTAATTTCATGAACCTCATATGGTCTCCTCTTAACACCGTAGAAAAATGCATGGTTTTCCGTAAACGGAAAATATACAGCTTGTAGTTTTGAAACCCTGAATGCAAGCGTAACAGCAGGTCGGGTTCAAAATAATTCAGGAATTAGAAAATTTTTTTAAAACCGACTTATGCTCTTCTTTTGCGCATGAAATTGGCAGAAGACGTAATTTTCTACCGAATAAGTAAAAGAATGAGTGTGTTTATGCATGTTTTCCATGAAATATAATTGAATTGTCAAGGGCATCGAAAATCAATGAGAAAATTGCATACCAATTAAGTAGTCATTTCTTGCAGAGTATAGATCTTGCATGCAGCCGAAAATAAGCTCTTTCGTAAGCCGACACCCTGAGGTAACTGGATCATTATAGATTTATGCTGCGCCATGATTAGTTTTACAACACTACTTAATTTATCTTTTTGAAACGAGAAGGCATTTCGAAATTTTGGTTGACATTTCATGAGTTAGCATATCTACTGTATTTCGCTCCAATGGATATGTAGAGTGAGCGACCGATCTCATGAAATGTGGACTGAAATTCCAAAATGCGTTTTCTGTTAGAGAGGATTACTTGGTCGCCGTTCTTATAGTACTTATCTGGCTGTATAATCCTGCAACATTTCGGACTCGGCAGGATGTCAGCTTTCGAATACACTGCTTTTCAATCTCCTGTAGAAAACGCATTCGATGAAAACGACTACTTTAGTAGCATGCATTTTCCCATTGATTTTCGATGGTCTTGAAAATTCGAATATATCTTATAGAAACTATACACAAAGATATGCTTTCTTTCAGTTAAATAATAGATAATCACGTCTTCTTTATATTTTATACCCAAGGAAGGAGTATAATTAGGTTTTAAAAAGTTCCTTATTGGAGATTTTTTAGACCGCGCAATGTCCATTCAAACGACTACTATACTAGTGCTCGTACAATGAACACTTGAGAAAGTTCTTTAATCTGCACAGAGTTGATGCTTCAGTTAAGTTCAGTTTATTTGAGGGAAATATAGGTGTTGAACCTTTGAACTCCCTATTTGTTACGAGGAAGCGAAATATATCAAAAAGTTGAAATGGAAACATCAAACAGCTACAGTGTCTTCAGATTGGTAAAGTTTTCGAACCAGACAGATAAACGAATTGTTCCAAGAGTTAAAAACATTAACGTTACTAAGTGTGCTGTACAGTAGTCTGTCTATGGATAGTTGGTGCTATCTCAGTTTCTGAGGGAGACGAATTAGATGCCAACACACATTCAACAGACATTGGACAATAATAAAAAACAAACGTTACTGAAATACAGGCAGTAATATAACAACATTAACAAACTGCCCGAACGAAATGCTAGACGTTGTCGGTCAGGTGGCATTATGACGTTTGGTGGTGCACTGGTCCAACTTGCGTTTAAAAGCCTGGAACAGTTTACCACCAAACGTCATAATGCCGCCTGACCGACAACGTCTAGCATTTCGTTCGAGCAGTTTGCTAGTGTTGTTTTATTACGCTTGTCCGATTATTTGTTACTTTTACGATACCTTCAGTTGCTTGTAAACAAATAGGGAGTTAAAAGGTAAAAACCTACATTTCCCTCAATAAAACTAAACTGAACGAAGCCTGGGCGTCAGTGAGAACCCAGTCGATCGATTTATCGATTTTGAGTTGCCCTTATAATTGTCGCCTGTTTTGTCGCTGTTTTTAGTTCCGACAATGGGCTCCTTTATGAGTTCGAACGCACAGACAAGACAAACAAGTCGCTCCGATGATCAGCCTGTCTTACCTTGCCTTATTCACAACAGCAGATTACGGAAACAGACAATCTGTGAAAGCGCTCTGCTGAATATTTAAAAATAATTCCAATGCATTTCAAAGGTGAAGACCTACACTTCCCTCAAATAAACTAAGGGCCCTTCTTCCGGTGGCTTTAGCCGAGGTGATGACTCTGAAGTCAAGTGGGCCACTGGACCTAGATTTGGCGGTGGGGACAGGGGTCGCGGCACCCCTGGTGGACGCCCAAATTATCGTGGAAGTAGACTCCCAGTGTCGTCTTGCAGAGAATCTTACCGAAACTATGAAACACCCGACATTTACCCTGCGGGCTGTGTGGTCCATGGCGATGTCAAGTCCGCAAACTTTGGTCAGGCTCCAAATGCATCACCTCAAACTAGCGATGCTTGAGATTCAACACTGCTCCATCCAAAAGAGGCATAGAGTCCTATTCAAGGTATTAAACCGCAAGCTGGCCAAGACACTGGATTTCGCAGTAATCCTGGAGACCTAGCCCGTTTCTCAGTCCTGAGGGGAAGGCCGGACCGTCCTGTAAGCCGGCGACTTTCTAAGCCACGACTGGTATCGACAGAAAGGCGCTGATTTAGTCGAAGGAGAGTCAGACAACCGCAGTTTGATTTGTCAAGGAAGGCGAAAGAAATGAGCGAAGCTATAGACTCAAAGAAGGTGATGGAATACTGCCGAACAGGTGGACTGCTACCTTATGCGGCAAAATGCCGATCCGGACGCCAAACGCATCGATATTAAAACTTTAAACTCAGTCACACCAAGCCTTTTAAGGAAAGCACACCAATGCGATTACGTTCTACTAACGCAGAGTAAAACAGTAGCTCCACGAAAAAGGACCGATGTCAGGTCGTACAATATCGATCCATGCAGACGAAGTTCGATATCTTCTATGGTTTGGCACAGACAGCGTTGGACTAAAACAGGTGTGAGAAATATTCCTGTCGCATATTGCGTAAGCATATCCCATGCAACAGCTTCTTAAACAAAAACCCAAAGGAATCCTCCCTTAAAGTGATTTAATGACCATTTGTTAGTGAATTTGTTGTGCATAAAGTCGAATAATTTTAGCCGTCTCATTATCGCTTATGCGAGTGACTAGGCATAAGTATTCCTGAAGAATTGAATAACTTTCGGCGTACGCGTTCGGCAATAGAAACCGTCTGGAGATGCGATGAAGCCTAGCGTTTGTGTTTTAACGAAAACAGATTAAACTAAATCACAGCCTGCGAGCCTTACAGTATGCGTTGTATTGTGGGTAACGACACGACAAAAAGGATAAGAAGGTCTTTTCGAGAAAGTAAATAAATTACGGCGCATGTGGTTGCCAGCAAAAGAAACGCAAACACATATGAATTATGCAAAATCTGCCAAAACATCTATGAATTACGTGAGCCTGGTGGACATCTGGTGGATTCTAGGTGAATTACTGAAGAAATCCTGCTTGGGCAGTCAGCTTACTGAATCAGATTTAATGGATTTCAGACGTTGCAGTAGGTTCGACGGGTAAAATTGACCCAAATGTGATTTAACTCGCGTCGCTCGACGGGGCATCGTAGCTCAAGTGATTTGAACGTTGGCTGTACTAAGGCCTTCCCCTTACTGCGGTGGGCTCGAATCCCACCGAGGCGCCGAGTTTTTCACAGTTGGGTCATTATGAACAATACGCATTCGGCAAGGTCCGTTGTGGGTGACACACAACTGGTTGGGCACAAGCCTGTTGCTCAGTTCGTAGAGCGTCTTGTTCGGCAAGCAAGTGGATCAGGATCCAACCCGTCCCCCCCCCCCGACCCAGATCCTATGTCGTAGGGGGTGGACCTTGGCTGATTGACGATAGCTGGGATGCAGCGTCGCTATCCAATTACTAGTAAAGAGTAGGCATTTGTTTGCTAATTTAAAACTCTGTCGACAATTTAAACTGACAGGGCGCTTACTTCAGTTTGATGAAAGCCCGCACGGGAGATTCAGTGACTTTGCATCGAGAGGAAAGGAGCAGGTTCAGGGTCTTTTGCGTGCACGCCGGGGGTGTCAAGAAACTTCGCGGTGGTCTGTTTCTTGATTTAGGTGTGGTCTACAAGAAAAAAAAACAAATGCACGAGGATGCGGTCAGGGGCGATGACTGATGGTTTTTATGGAACAGGTTGGAAGATGGGGACGAAATGAAGTCGCTTCTGAATCCCCATCGCAAGCAATTTCTTACGGCCCAGCAGGCAGGCAAGGACGGCTCCTTTCTGCCTAAGTCGAATAATCAAATGACAAGCGTGGACTCTGTCGAATCAGCGAGAAGGGCCTATCGTAGGTCAGCTAAATCACGAAATGTCAACCGAAATATCGAAATGCGTTCTCGTTTCGAGACGATTAATTGATAAGGGTTGTAAAATTAATCATACTGCAACATAATTCTATAATGACCCAGTTAACTCAGGGTGCTGGCTTTAAAAATGAACTTAATTCCGACTGCACGCAAGAAATATACTATGTAATAAATAACTATTTAAGTAGCATGCAATATTCCCCTCAATTTTCGATGCCCATAAAAATTCAGTTATATTTCACAGAAAACATACTTAAAATATTCATTCTTTTACTTATTCGGTAGAAAATGACGTCTTCTCCTGATTTTATACTTGAAAGAAGGGTATAATTCGATTTCAGAAAAGTTTCTAATTGAGAGGTTATTTAATACCGTGAAATGGCCGTTCTTCAAACGTCATGTGTCTGCCTTTACGAATGTGACGTTTAAAGTTAACAATATTGATCCAATTCACTGCCTGATTTTATGAACCCCCCATAGTCTCCTCTTAATACCACAGAGAAATGCATTGTTTTCCGTACACGAAAAAACATACGGCTTGTTGTTTTGAAACCCTTAAAGCCAGTGTAACAGCAGGTCGGGTTCAAAGTTATTTACGAATTAGAAAAGTTTTTTAAAAATCGAATTTTACCCTTCTTTCGAGTATAAAATTAAAAGAAGACGTAATTATCTACTTTATGAGGAAAAGAATGAATATTTTCATGCATGTTTTCGATGAAATATAATCGCATTTTCAATGGAATCGAAAACCAATGAAAAAAATGCATGCCAATTGCGTAGTAATTTCCTGCAGAGTGTGGTTTTTGCGTGCAGCCGGACAGATATTCGTTCAAAAGCCGGCATCCGGAAGAAAGTGGATCACTAAAGAATTAGACTGCATGATGATTGGTTTGACAACCCTACTTAATTAGTCTCTTCGGAACGAGAACGTATTCGAAATTTCGGTCAGCATTTCATGAGTTAGCCCACCTACTGTATGACTGATGTTCTGCTTCAGCGTTTGAGTTCGTTTTCCTACAGCAATGTCAACAGTATGCAAGAAGTTTCCAATGCTCTTTTTACCCAGAAGTAATTTTTGAGACAATTCTGTTGCACATAATGTCTACGAATTTGGGTTATATTTACGTTGCCCCAGATTCGGACAATTCACCACATTAGTAGCAACAGTCTGAATTTCACGCACTCGCTTATTTGTCCCAAGAACTACCCTTCTTACGCAGGATATGTTTTTAGGTTCTTTTATCGCACAAATTGTTAGCAACCCAGACCAAAATCAACGCTATCTTATATTCGAACAATTTCTTAAATGAGTTCCAAGTTTGCGCAACCAAATGTTTTCCTTTGAGGGCTGAGTGATTTTTTCAAACAAAACTTGCCACGCCTAAAAATTAATTTCTTCTTCCACGCAAATCAAAAGAAGTAGAACATAAGCCATCAGACGCTATCTGTGCGGTTTCATGACTACAAGCAACAATTAGTTTAGGATAAGTGATATTTTCCAGCCATCTGCAAATACTCCATAAGTAACCGTTAAAAGGCCCATCATTAAATGGCTATGGTAACGTTTGAGCAACTAGTAAGCTACTTTTGCCTGGTGAAAACGGAGAGCCTTGGTAGTTTTAGTATTATCTTGGTTTACTCATGCAGAACGTAAAATGCCGAAAATAGCTTAAATGTAAAACGAAACGCGAATTTTTTCGCTTGGAACAGGAAAATTATTGGTGTTTTTCAGGTAAGTAAATATCCAGACAAGGGGCCAGTTTTCTTTCGGAATTCGTCTTGGAAAAAGATAAAACATTTGGACATCCGTCAGCGAAATGCCTTGTTAAGGAAGTCTTTAAAGTGGCAGCTAAATAGAGGGAGTTTTTTTAGTTGGTCTAGAGAATATTTAGTGCGGACTTTCGTTCTTCATATCCAGTTATTCCCGAGGTGAGATCTCATGCTTGGATGAGTCTACAAATATGGCCAAAACGGCCATCTGGATTAGAAAGACTGCTAAAGAATCTGCTTTTTTAGTAAATGCGTCCAATAAATATCTTATTTCGAAGTGTTTGATAAACACACAGCAAAAAAGCCTATCTTTGCGGGCAGTCAACTTGGAACACTAAAATCCATAAAGTATTCGCCGGTACTTCAAGGACCTCCTGAAACACCAAGACCTTTACCGTTACCGAAAACTAAACAGTAACTTTACAGGAGAAAGGTTCTCTCGATGCACTCAACATGATTGCGCCTGCTAATTCCATTCAGATCTCTTAATGATTGACCAGTCTGTCAGCATGGGATATTATGAAAACTATTCTTCCAATGACGACTCTGTCGGTGAAATTCAACGAAATCCTCTTGGCCATAGCCAGCCGCATCTCAGACAATGTAAAGTTTAAAAATTACAGCATATCTTCGTTAAAACCTAGACTACTGACCAAGTGTCATACCCGATATTACACATACGTCTTTGAGGATATTTGTGTACAGACTGAACTAAAATGCTATTTTCAAGTCGTATTCTGTATCTGACGATTTCTTTACTCAGTAACTTGCGTAGAGAGGCTGTTGTACTATTAAACTTAAGCGAAATCATTCGACACGATTTTTGGCGTTTTCGGCAGCGCCGCTTTTCTGACAAAAAATCGTTATTTATAAATAATATAGTAGTATGTGCAGCGATGAAGCCCATGCGAACTATTAAGAAGTCAAGTTTGGCAAGCGTACGCTTCCGATTACTCGTCATCAGGCCTGCTCAATAGTACAATGGAGGGCAGAGGGGTAAGCGTTAAACGACCAATAAAATTCGGTATGGGGGGAGAGGGTTTAGGGGCGTTCAGAGATCAGGGGTCAGATTTAAGTTCTGTCAGAGGCTTAGGCAGGGGGAGGGGAAGGTGTCTGGCCATTAGCTGCACAGCGCCGTGGTGGGTGTGAATACATACACTAGGTGGGCTAACCCATGAAATATCAACCAAAATTCCGAAATGCGTTTTCGTCTTGAAAAGATTTATTAAGTAGGGTTGTAAAAGTAGGCAGTCTGCGATACAATTCTATAATATTTCAGTTACCGCAGAAGGCCCACTTCCGAAGGAATATTCTTCGTCCTGCAAGCAAAAACTTCACTCTGGAAAAAATGACTGCTTATGAAGCATGCAGTTTTCACACTGATTTTCGACGCCCTTAAAAAGTCAATTATATTTCACAGAAAATATGCATAAAAATATTTAGTTTTCCACTCATTCGGTAGACAATTACGTCTTCGTCAAATTTCATACTCAAAGGAAGGGTATACTTCGGTTCTTGAAGACTTTTTCAGTTCCCGAATAATTGTGAACCCGCTCTACCGTCACACTTTGATACAGGGTTTGCAAACTACACGCCGCATATTTTTCGCGTACGGGAACCCACACATTTCTCTATTTAAATATAGGGCTACAATATAGGTTTCATAAAATTTAGTGGTCAATTTGGTCTATATTGTTAACTTAATAAACCACATTGGTAAATGCAGATACATGACGATTTATGAGCGGTCATCTCACAGTATTTAAAAGTCTCACTATTAGAAACTTTTTTCAAAACTGAATTATATCCCTCCTTTGAGCTTGAACTTAAAAGAAGACATACCTTTCTACCGAATGAGCAAAAGAATGAATATTTTAATGCACGTTTTCAGTGAAATATGTTTGGTCTTTTAGGGACATCGAAAATCAATGAAAAAAATGCATGCTACTTAAGTGGCTCGATTTTTGCGTGCAGCCGAAAAGACATTCATTCGAAAGCTGGCATCCTGGGAGAACTGAAATATTATAGCTTTATGCTACGCGATGACTAGTTTTACAACACAATGTAATTACTCTTTTCCAAAAGAAAACGCATTTCGGAGTTTCGGTTGACATTTCAGGATTTAGCCCACCTACTGTAAGTGGCAAAAAAAATTGAAGACACGTTGATAAGCGCACTTATGCATAATGTGTTTGTCCTCGCCTACGGGAGCCTAGCGTTGGGTCGGCTAACCGCATGACCACTACCTCTGCCGTCGCAAATATCCGCTGACTGAAGAACTTGGAGTGTCTTGCGGGCACTTTATAGAGGACCCGGAATGGCTGACTGACGTCTACCCGATGATTGCTGTCAAAAAAATGAGCCACAGCTGCGCTAGAGATGGTTTTTTCCAAATCCTTATTTAGCCGGGCAGGATGGTGCTCTCATATCCGCTTGGATTGGCGACCAATATAGCCTGCCCCGCAGGAGCAGGTGAAGGCGTAGATACGCACTGTGAAGGTCTGACAAGACAGTCCATCCTTACTTTCAAGGCAAAGACGCGAAGTGTTTCTGAAAACTAATCTTATCTTAGTAGCTGTGCACATGGGGTGCGATAGCAGCGTTTCGGCGATGACGGCTCCCCTCGAAATGGCAGTGCGAGAAATAACTTCCTCTCATGGCGAGACCCCAAGATACGGCTTTGGCCCGATTCTATGGCCTCCCTAAGGTGCACAAAGACGGCGCTCCTCTCCGACCCATCGTGTCGCTCAAAGGGACTCCAATGTACGGACTGGCGAAGTGGCTGTTCCGGCGTCTCAAGTTCCTGGCCGCTGAGTCAGACACCACGGTCTCTTCGTCAGCACAAATCCTGGAGAAACTCAAAGGGGTAAGCATCCATCCAAATGAGGTCATGGTATCTTTTGATGTTACATCCCTTTTTACTTCTATTCCCCAGGACCTGGCGATCGAGACTATCGAGCTGCATCTGCAAAGCGAATACGATGAAACGGAGAACCGTCTTGGACACGCCCAAATCCTTCAGCTCCTGAAGCTCTGTCTGAGGACGTACTTCACGTTCGACGGGACAATCTACGAACAGGTGAAGGGTACACCAATGGGTTCGCCGATTTCGGGATTCATCGCCGAGGCGGTCCTGCAACGGTTAGAGTCGCTGGTCTTCCAACACCACAGACCGAAATTCTGGGCCCGGTATGTGGATGATACCTTCGTCGTCATCGAACGGGATCAGGTGTTGACATTCCAAGAACATCTCAACGCCGTCTTCCCGGACATTCAATTTACGATGGAGGAGGAAGAGAACAACCAAAGTGTTCAGGAAAGCGAAAAATACGATGCAAGTACTGAACTTCAACAGTAACCACCCAATCAGCCACAAACGCAGTTGTGTAAGGACGCTCTATCGGCGTGTCGAAACGCACTGCAGTGAGCCGGAAGACAAAATTGCTGAACTACAATACCTCCGACGGGTCTTCAAAGCCAATGGCTACCCGCGCAACTTCGTCTACCGGTGCATACGCAAAAGGGACGAAAGGCCTAACCGCACGGACACCAAGTCTTGGCGGGCACTTCCGTATGTCAAGAACGTTTCGGAAGCTGTCGGCCGCCTTCTCGCACCACTTGGGGTTGGAGTGGCACACAGACCGGAGGCAACCATCAGGCGTCTGATCATGAAACCGAAAGACCCACTGCCACGGCTGGAAACGTCTGGAGTCGTTTATCGGATCTGGTGCAGTTGCGGACAAAGCAACTACGTCGGAGAAACCGGAAGACAGCTCCAAACGAGAATGGCCGAACACGCGGCAGCGGTGCGCAGATATGACGCCAGCTCTCAAGTTGCGGCTCATTCGACGCCATCCAGCCACACATTTAAATCCGATGAAGCCGAAATTCTCGCAAGAGGTGACAACCGAGTGAGCCGGGAGCTACTGGAATCATGGTTTACTGGCCCCCAGTCCATCAACAAGTGCAACGATTTACCCACTCCATACAGCGTGCTAAAACCTCGCCTAGGCGGAGTAACAAGCCATGCGGAGAGCGCAGAGGTGAACACTCTTCCCAACACCCGGGTCAACGCATCAGATGGTCGAGCAATCATCGCGCCAACATCCAACGCACGTGATGAAATTGCGGCAATTATCGACTCGAATGTCGGCCATCAAGCAGTGATCACACCGAGTGCGACAATCCCGGATGAAGGGGGAAGCCGTGAACGTTCATAGGCATGCGGTAGCATGGCTGCCGCATCCTATAAATACCGCAGCCCCTTGTGCAACAACCACCCGTTTCTGCTCTTTTGTCTCTGATGATGGATTCGAGTAGGAATCCGAAACGTCAGGCTAATAAAGCTCCTGTCCCGGCGATCGTGTCTCCTTCTTCAAAACTTTCTCTCAGTCATCGACAAATCAGATTTTGGAGACTGTCAGTACGTGTATTTATTGATAGTCGGTATAGCTGTTTTCTCTCAGAGTGTTCTGTATAATGGCAAGTTAATTCTCAAGCGCAACTGAAGTTCATATTTTTCTAGCTCAGTTGGTGATCGGCGCTGGACCTCCAACTAACAGGTCGCGGGATCAAGCCCCAGGTGTTTCACACTTTGGGGTTGGGTATGACTAGCTGACGACGGCTAATAAGCCAGAAATGGCCATTTCAGCCCCCCTGTCTTTGTCGGTAATACCATTCTGTCTATATCATGCACAGCTGTGCGAATGCTGGTTGGGCTCGAGAGAGAGCCCGTAAGGCACAACGGGATAGCTGAGTCCCGTAGAAACGATCGGCGAGCACCCCTCTGTCATTACTCTTAATATTTATTTTGTTCAGCGAAAATTCCCATATTACGTTTGAAGAGTCAGTTGGCGAACATATGTTTTCAGCAACTCACCATCAGGCCGGTACAATTACATAACTAATGATCATTCTAATTGTAGGCAGGATATAAATGCGTCTTAGGGGCAGGGTTAATCGGACTCCATGTTTCCACGCCGCCCGCATGACAGAGTCAGCGTGTTGAGGACGGTGGAGTTGGGTTGGTGGGAGGGGGGGGGAAGAAGAGGGGTTCCGGTTAGATTGTAAGCGCTGTGAGTGCGTGTGACTGATTTCAAGGCGTCGGGACGGCGTGCGACCATCGGCTGGAGTCAGTCAGGACAGGCAGACTGCTTGTGTCAGCGTCGTCTGACAACAGAGTGCTGGGTTCGCTAGTCGAAAGGCCACTGCTCCGGCTGCGGCCAGCACCCGTTTGCGCAGGCCTTTAGAGTAGTGTACCGGTGTCCGGTAGATAACTTTAAAAGCTTCTTTAGTGTCGGTTTGATGGTTCGTATCGATTAGATTTTCGAGAATTGAACTCGAAATCCATCGATTTTCACTTCTACCTTGCCAGGCAGGCATGTGTTTGTGTATTGTTCGCGTATTTTCACCAAATGACTTTTCTATTTATTTTGTGTTTTCACTCTGCTTAAAGTTGCTCATTATTAATTAGTAGTTTTCGTAGACACATTTTGGCCGGTTTATGTGTGATTGGAGATTGTTCGTGTTGGAATCACTGCAAAACAAAGCTTTCTCTTTGAACTCAAGGCTAGGCGGATGGTAGCCGCTGTGCAGCCGAACCTGTCGAGGCACCCAAAGTTTCTGAAAGAATTCCCTTCGAGACAAACTTCTTCCTCCAGCAGAGAAGGTCTTTTGGTGGCTTTCGGCTAGGCTAGGAATACAATCCCACTTTCTTTTGTAGAAAGAATGGCCGTGCAGGTTCCTATGCTGCTTACTTTCAAATTTACTTTTCGAAAACTCGGCTACAGACTGTACCAGCTGGTCTTTCGCCAAGTTGCAGGGCTGTGCCGTGCAGACATCGGCAAAGAAGAGATTCACGTCTGGGGTTTCATTAGGACGTCTGGGAAGCGACCCACCGATGGTGCTCAAAATCAAATTCCGAATAAGTTGATTATTATAATACTGCGGGAGTACTGTTACTGTTATTGTTACCACCATAAATTCGTTCACGTTTTAACCTACAGCAGGTGTGCTAACTCATGGAATGTTAGCCGAACTTCTGAAATGCATGTTCGTTTCAAAAATATTACTTGATTACGGTTTTAAGATTAATTATCATGCGGCATAATTCTATAATAATTCAGTTACCTCAGGATGCCGGCTTTCAAATGGACTTCTTTGCGGCTGCATACAAAACCAAACTCAGTAAAAAATAACAATAAAGTCGCATGAATTTTTCTAATTGATTTTTGATGCCCTTCAAAATGCAATTAGATTTCGCAGAAAACATATGTAAAAATATTTACTCTTTCACTCATTTGGTAAAAAATCACGTCTTCTCCCACTTTTGTACTCAAAGGAAGGCTAAAATTCCGTTTTTTAAAACCTATACAATTCCCGATTAATTTTGAACCCTACCTGCCGTTACACTTGTATTCAGAGCTTCCAAACTACAAGCTGTATATTTTCCGCGTACGGAAAACCACACATTTATTTACGGTATTAGGAGGCGACTGTATGGGGTTCGTAAAATTTAGCATTGGATTTCAGCCATATTGTCAACTTTACAAGACACGTTGATAAATACGGAGACACGAAGTTTTATGAACGGGAATTTCGCGGTAATTAGAAACTTTTCAAAAACCGGATGATGCCCTTTGTTCGAGTAATAAATTAGAAGACGTAATTTACTAACGAATGAGCGAAAAAATGAATACTTTTGTACGGTTTTTCCAAAAAAGGGCGTCAAAAATCAATGAGAAAAAGTCATGCTACTTAAGTAGTTATTTTTGCAAAGTATGGTTTTGCATGCGGCCGCAAAGAGGTCCGTTTAAAAGCAGGCATCCCGAGGTAACTGAATCATCATAGAGTTATGCTGTACGGTGATTAACTTTAGAACCCTACTTAAGTAATCTTTTCGAGGCAAAAACGAATTTGAGTATTTCGGTTAACATTTCCTGAGTTCGGGTTAGCAAACGTAAGAGATCCGGGTCGATAATCTGAGAAAAGTGAAATCCTCACCCTTACTGAGGTGACGACACACAATACAGGGGGCCACTAATACTCACAAACGACGGCCAGTGGGCTAAGGCAGCAAAAGAAGAGAAAAAAATCGATCAGCCCAAGGTCAACCAATTCGGCTGCCTGGCCGATCTTTTGCAATAAACGTTTTGATAATAGAGAGCCGGTCAGCTCTCCGATCCGGTGATCACTTCTTTTCCCTCCGATTTCATGCGTTAGCACATCTACCGTAGGTTGTCTTTGTATATCTCTAAGCTCTCCCGTGCACACATACACACAGTGTGTGCCAAACGCAAAAGTTGACTTGAGCACGCACATTGAATTCGCAGAGATCGCGGCAGGCCTCGATTCGCCGTGTGTTTTCCTGAGCGTGAAACGTCTGAGACTAGAACGGCAAGCTTCCCCGCCACTGACTGATCCGGAAGCTGACTGACATCCTTCAGCCGCGAAGGGCCATCCACAAACAGACCAGATTACCAGGGTCCTTGATTACCCGCATGCAAAGGGATCACGTCTAGTCCGAAAAAGGTCTTCGTGTAGACTGCATCTTCGGGAATTCATCCAAGTGGGCATTATTGATTCTTGAAGGATAAACAGAACGAGGTAGATGACTGAAACGACTTTAAAAAGAGCTTACACTTCCAGAGAGGGCAAGCGTACCATCAGCGTCATCAATTGGCTGAGTCAGCGGAGAGCTGGCTGCGTCGACGTCGCTGTCGTAGATGCTGTTGGCTTCACCGTTCAAGGACATTGTGGAGAGCGTGGTGCTGCGTCTCAGTGAAAGGGATCGCCTCTGAGGATGAGCTTAATGCAAAAAATGTGGCAGTGGTACAGTACGAACATGGCTTTTCAGACCACAAACCATGATATAGGCGTACTGATAATACTACTTACAAAACATAAGTAAGGAACAGAGAAAAGGATAGTACAGATGGGCTTGAAAGCGACGTCCTGCTGGCCTAACGAGATTGACGCAAATCTGCGCGGATCTCGTAACCTGAATACAGTGCGTACCGATCTCATGAAATGCTCGTCAAAATTCTGAAATGCGTTTTCCATTAGGAAGGATTACCTAGCTGGGGTTGTAACATTGATTAGAATGCGACATAATCTTATAGTATTTATGACTCAACAGGATGTTGGCTATTAAATGCGCTGTTTTTCGACCTCCTACCAAAACTACACTCGATAAAAAATGACTAGTTACGTGGCACACATTTTCACACTTATTTTCGATGATCTTGTAAATTCAAATATATTTACGGAAAACATGCATAAAAACATGTTTTCTTTCACTCATCTGGTAGAAAATCAAACTGCATTTACATTTTATGCCCTAAGGAAGTGTATACTTTGGGTTTAAAAAGTTTCTGATTGTGAAATTTTTAGGACCGTGCGATGTCCATATATACAGCTTTACATCTCTACGCTAGCGGACCCTGTTGTCGGCATTCGTCCCACAACTGGACCACTGCCTCCACCCCATTGTTTAGTGGTCAAAATCCTGGTCTTGGTGTGTGGACCAGGGGTGCGGAGTGGAGCGCCAAGGCGAAGATCCGTCCGAGCCATCCACCTGCGGCCTCCCCCGGTCTCCGGTCTTCATGACTCTGTCTTGACACCGGGCCCAGGCGGGGGAGGAGGAGAGAGTGTAGGTTGATGCTACGCAAGTCTACTGGCACTATAAACCCCTGCGTAAGTCACCGTCCCTGCTCCCACAATGCAGTCTGTGGGGCACACGGTGGTCATCGTCGAAATCGACGGACGAACTGTCGGTACATCTCTACGTTTACCAATGCTTCTTATGAAATGTACAACATAGTCCGCGTTCATTGCCAAGTTTTATGAACTCTATATGATATCTTCTTAAAGGCACAGAGAAATATATAACTTTTCTTACGTGTTAAGGATTCACCTTACAAACTGAAATCGCTAAGTGCTACTGCGACGGCTGATCTGGCTCAAAATTATTCGGGAATTGAAAAAGTTCTTTAAAACCTAAATACACACTTTCTTAGGGTATAAATTGTAACGAAATGTGATCTCCTACTAGATGAGTAGAAGAAAGCATATTTATATGCATGTTTTCTATAAAATATATTCAAATGAATAAGGCCATCGAAAGTCAGTGTGAAAAATGCATGCTACTTAAGTAGTTATTTCTTTTACCAAGTTTGGTTTCTGCAGGAGGTCGAAAAGAAGTGCATTTAATAACCGACATCCTCACGAGTCAGAAATACTATAAGATTATGTCGCATGATAATCAGCGTTACAACACCACCTCGAAAATCCTTCCTAATCGAAAACGCACTTCAGAATTTCCGCCAACATTTCATGAGATCGGTCACGCCCTGTAGTAGGATCACAGGCTGATCTAGCATCAGCTCGTCTAAGGCAGTCTTGCTCTTCCTACTTCTTTGTGCAAGATGGTAGGTCATTAAAGAAATCCACGAATAGAATTAGAGCTTTGCGAATTCGGCTTGCATTTTATGAACACCACTCCTATGTGTGCTGAGGGAATGAAAGTAGAATGAAGTCACGAGTTAAAACAAAGGGGAGAGGCAAGTCCGGCCGTTTCGGCCGGGCAATGTATCTGCGACGAAGTCAATCAACCAATCAGCACAGTCAGTTCCATCGAGCTAGCGCGACGTCTTAGTGCACGCGTGCGGCCCAATTAATGTCTGCTAACAGAGGGATTCTTGCGTCCAAAATAGGCATGTAAACGTCCAGGTTGTCCTAAAACCACTCAGAGTCATAAATTAGTTGCGTTTTGACGTGTTCGACACCGTCTTAGGCAGCGGTAGAAGAGCGCTCACCGATCGCGCTGCGATCGTCCCGTTGGGCCTTGGGACTCTCTCCCGAGCCTCGTCAACAGCCGCACAGCGGCGTGTAATATAGGCAGTGTTATAGCCGACAAAGACAAGGGAGACTGGGATGGCCATTTTTGGCTCACGTGCCGTCGTCAGCCAGTCATACGCAACCCCGAAGTGTGGAACATCTGGGGCTCGGTCCCGCGACTTGTTGGTTAGAAGTCCAACACCTCTAACCACTGAACCAGGGACTCGTTGCCCTTTCGGATGCGATCTGGTTAAAGGGCGCCCCTACTAGGAGTTTCACACCTCAATGTCGAATATGCCTGGCTGAAAACAGCCAATGAGCCAGAAGCGACCATTCCAGTCTCCCTTGTCTTTTTCGGTGATGCCATTCTGCCTACATCTTAGGCAGGATGTTACCGAAACTCGCCTACCTTCCCCCCCATCCATCCGTCCGGAAACGACAATGTTGCCGAAGACCGGCGAGCGTACTATCCGCCGAGCTAGAACAACTACCGCCCCCCCCCATGTCTTCCCGCTGCCCGAACGGTGGAAGCAAAAGACCTACCATTTGCCGATCACTAAAGCGTGAAAAATACCAAGTACTCAGGCACAATAAGTAGCAAACTAAGAACTCATAATTTTTCCGCCAGCATGGTAACAGCAGTTTCTAAACCAAAATTACTGCATACATAGAAGAGTGAATCTGCTAAAGTTCGGTCAGGACTTGATAAGAGTGAACTTCGACGAAGCTGACGGATAGACGGTAAATGTTTACCATACCCACGCACATAAATGTCTGCAGCTGACACTCCTCCCATGAAGTAGAACAGAAAATAACTTGACCACGCTGAAATCCTTGACAAATCATTCTTGTCGGGAGTTTAACGCCTGTTATGTCATGACCCTGCCTGGTACTTGAAAGCACGTGGGAGCGTATGCGTACCCGACTCCTATCCCCAATACTAACGCGGCAGAGAAGGAGAACGCGACCGGCCACGAAAATGTGTATTACGAAATTGCAAATCAAGATTATTTGGAGTTAACGCATATTTATAACGCCCTACTGTGGTTCGCCGGCATTTGGCCCAATGCCCTTCAGAAAGAACATTCCAGACGAGCTGGTCGATAATTCGAATACGCAGGTCGATCAGGCCCAAGGGGAAAAGCCAATGGAGAGGCGCCACGAGTACAATGACAGCGCTGTAGAGACAACGCACGTGGCCTAAAGTGATTGGCTGGCTCCCGTTTTTGGGAGTGTAGGCACTCCCAACATGTTTTAACTCAAAATTGCCAGGGCAGTTGGAAAAATAGATGACAAAAATGGTCAAACGGAGTGAATTCGTACGCCTCAAAGACTGCCATGTGAGCATTTTGTAGATGAAAACGGTTCCAGAACCAGTGCCGATAAAGAGATGCTGGTCGGAGGCCAGAACAGCTGTTATTCGATCAGGATTCTCCTCATCCTCATCGAACTCCTAAAATGAGTAAAATGTTTAAGAAAGCAACTAGCCATGGCAGCATATAAAGTGGATTTTATGTATCAAAAGGTACATGGAGGACGTTGGAGGCTTAATGAGGGACAGAGACCGGTCCCGAGGTTGGTGCCTTCCGCCAAGTCTAATGCATCCTGTGACCCGCCTATTTGCTCCAATCTCTAAAATATCCATGCATGTGACATTACCTAAATTTGATTAAAACGTTGAAAGTTTTTTCCACCGCTACGAAGTTAAAACAAGCGTACAAAGCAGAATTTATTTATATCAAAGAATCGGATGACGGCTTATCAACTGAGTCATGTCGCTTCATAACAGAAATGACGTGGCAACCCATAGCTCCTTAATTTTCACATTCCTCCTTCCTTTTAGTTTGTTAGCGTTCTTCCAGTAGCCTTCTCATACTGTTTTCAAATTACTAATATTATTTATTAGCCTACATTACCTTAAATCATGATCTTACTGTTTTGGACTGATCTTCTGCATGCATTCAAACTGCTGTATACTTCTCGCTCAGTATTTATGCTGTGAAGCTGCAGGACACAGCTGATGAGCCGTCACGCATGTTGGCTGATTTCAATAAATCCTGCTTTGTCTAAGTTCCGCAAATATTCCCATGTTAAAATTGAAAAGTCAAGTTGGCGAACGCACGTTTTCGGTAATTCTTCCTCAGGCCAATACAATTACATGAACGAATGAAAATGTACAAAATGAACAGTGTTTATAGATGCCTCAAGGGCTATTAAGTCACTAACACTCTTCATCCCACGCCGCCCGCATGAGAAGGTCGGCGGGTGTTATTCGTCAGGGCTAGGGGAGGGGGGTAAGAGAGTCTTTGAGTAATGATCTTGGGTTGAGTACACGGAGTACCCATCATCGTGATTAGGGATTTGAGGCGGCATGGCTTCATCACTTGGGGTTGGCGTTGGCCACGGCAGCGAAAGCGCTTGTGTCAGAGTTTTCTGACAGCATAACACCGGATTTACTAACCGTATAGCTACTGCCTCTGCCGTTGCTTGTATCCGTTGGCGTAGGCCTTTAGAGAAGCATGTTGGTGTCCGGTAGACAACCTGAAATGCTTTCTTGGCATCGACTCGGTGGTTCATATCGATTAAATGCGCGAGAATAGAACTCGAAATCGACCGGGTCTCACCTCTGTCTAGCCAGGCGGGCATATGTTCACGTACCCTCTTTACCAGGCGTCTCGTTGTGCGGCCGATGTATCCTGCTCCACAGGAGCAAGTGAATGAATAAATGCACATTGATGTGGCCTCCAACGGTAGTCTGTCTTTACCTCCCAAACGTAAGAGGGGAGAGTTTGTGAAGCATACGCGTAAATTCGCCGCAGGGAATGCCCTCGTGATAGCTGTAGTTAAGCGCCGTCGGACTAGTTCGCTCTCTGCGTCTCCTCTAAAAGGCAATCTTATGAATACATTCTTCTTTTCCGCATTCGCAACAGTGGGCTTTTCAACGCGTTCCCCAATATTTCGGAGGATAAATCTATCTGGGTATCCGTTCTACCGAAGTGTGTTCCGCAGCTGTTGAAGTTCTTCTTCAATAGCTGCAGATAGTGAGCAGATGCGTCTCACTCTAACCGCCAATCCCTGGACTAAATTCCGTTTGATGTTAAGGGGGACAAAACTGTGGAAATTAACGTATTGTCCCGTCCAGGTTTTCTTTCGGAACACCCTGCGCTGGATAGACCCATCCTCTTGCCTGTGCAGAAGGACATCGAGAAAGGCAAGTTCGTTATCTGCCTCGGTCTCTGCAGTGAACTTTAGCGAGGGGTGCGCACTGTTGAACTCCTCGGTATCGGTGGTACCATCCGTCAGGCAGAAGATATCGTCCACGTACCGACGGTAGAAGACGAGGCCATTAATGGTCTCATGTAAACTTGTTTTCTCGACTTTGCCCATAAAAACATTTGCAAGGAACGGTCCAAGCGGTGATCCCATTGCCACACCATCTACCTGCCTGTATAATTAACCATTGCACAGAAATCGGACATTTTGTGTGCAAAGCGTCAGTAGTTCTTTTGGCGTTTTCACAGGCATGTCTATGGCGTAGTTCGTATCACGAATAACATCACAAAGATAGTTTATTGTTTCTGCCACGGGTACGTTGGTAAACAGCGATGATACATCCAGTGATAACATCCTCCGTCCGTCAACGTTCATATTTTTGATAGCTTCGACGAACTCAAAGGAGTCTTTTAAACTTCGAGGGTATAGGTAACTTTGCAATGGCTTTAGTTTTTCCACTAGCCATTTTGCAAAGGTATGATAGGGCGAATTCCTCATATCCAAGATTGGACGTAGAGGCAGCTCTTGTTTGTGAATTTTAGGAAGGCCGTACATTCTTGGTATTGTCGAGCCCACCGGTCTCAGTCGTTCATACTCTTTGCTAGACAAATGGCCTTCTTTGCAGAGATCTTTGAGAATAGTCGTCAGCTGACCCTCGACAGCCTCCGTGCGATCCTTATCTTTCTCAGATTTTAAGAACTTGGAACGATCCGACAGTGTTTCCTCTAGTTTCGCCACATAATCTGTCCTATCCATCAGTACTACTCCTGAACCTTTATCCGGTCTAGTAAGCACAATGTTTTTGTTTTTACGAAGCTCGCTAAGGCTATCGATATGGGCCCTTGTCAAGGGACCCTTGTTTCTCGGGGACTTCCTTAGATACTGTTGGCAGCAGTTAACCAGAGTCGACTTAAGACAATCAACTTCTCTAGCTTCGGTTGGTTTTAGATCTGCAGTCTGGCTAAAGAGACTCTCAAATTGGATTTCTTGCTCTAACTGTTTCGGCATCCGCCATGCAATACAAAACTTAGGGCCAAGAGCTAGTACCTCTACGAGATCTTTATCAAGACGTACTGAAGAATAGTTATGCACGTACCGTTCCGGATCGTTCGGAAGGACGGTCTGAGGTTTTACTGACTGGACGCTTCGTAGGAGCTTAGTCCACCTGGCCTCCATTCTTTTAATTCTGACTGTATCCACACTTTGCACACTTGGTTTTACTTACAATACCAAACTCAAAAATTCTGAAAACTTCAATGGAGAAACACTCTTTTCTGGACTTTGGCTTGTCTAACCCATCATCAACTTAAGTGGTCTTTTCAGCATGAATACACACTTCACGGCTTCTCTAAATGTATCAGGAGTTCCGGTGAAAAAGATAGTAACACGTTATTTAAAAAAATTACCGGTTTCCGGTTGACGGTAATGTGCTTTTTGATGTCACATAACGAGGTGCGCACGAACTCTGTTGTGCTCCAAAGTTGGAGTTCCGTATTTCCGCATTTGGAGATCCAAACGCCGTATCGGCTGGGGGCGAGGCAGAGTACGGTGTCCAGTGGATTCTCCGAGGTACTGAATTGGTTAATATGATCCAGCGTGCTAGCCAATAAAAATCGAATAACAGGGCTTTATGACATTGGCTTTTAGGGCCTTGAGGATGACATAGAGCATAGATACAAGCGTCGCTATACCGATTTCCTCAGTTTGACGAATAAGTTAGCAGCCGTCCTTGTAAACGTCTCTCTCATGGTTGTAATGCGATATTCCGCCCATGAGATTCAGTGAGGACTGTTAGTGCTTTGGGGAGGGGGGGGGGTGGAGGGAAGGAGACAGCTGTCGATTTCATACAAATTCAAGAAGTTATGGAGGTTTACACGACACTGAGTGCTCTGTCTCTATACTTAACCAATGCCAAAATTATGGCAGGCCACCTATAGGTGGGATGGGCGCATTGATTAACCGACCACTCATCTCGAATCTGGCGTACAACACTTCTGCCCTCCCCACGATTACCAAAAACCAGACTTTACTGGGACAAAGTAGGTGTAAGTGTAGTCTATGGGGTAAGTAATTTTGCGTCAACCAATAATCTATACACTCTAAGTTGGCAAGTGCATCTCGATTGGGCGCACTAATTACACAAAGAATAGGCAACAGCAATTACACCTACTTAAATAAAACAAGTAAAGAAAATGTAAGAGAAATTGCGAGGTACAGTTAAACTCAGCCCGATCCACTCCACTACATTTCGACGCATTAGTTAGCTGTGATGGTGCGGAATATGACAAATACGACACCACAAGGTTAAAAAAGCTTTTGAAATCAAACAAGCGCCAACAGGTGATTCTTCGAATTTTGTTTGAGTGTCTTAATTACCTGAACGATCACGTGGGAAATTCGATATAAACATATTTCTGGTCGCAGGAGTGAGTGTGCTTAAGTCTGAGTTACGATTCCGCTGGCTTACAAAGCGAAAGATGAAAATTTAAGTGGGGGACATCTGTTGAGTTCCGTAATTCGAATCAAAAATTTCTCGAAGACGGAAGCTAAGAAACCACGCGGGAGCCTCTGTTGGCAGAACGGTCCCCCGGCAATCGAGGTCTGACTCCATTTAAGAGTAACCGTATCCGGACTTCGTGATTCCGTATCTGTGGAGGCCACATAGGCAAAAAAGTAAGTTCCAGGGTTTGGAGGGTTTTTGCTTCACTTGAAGTCAGCTGTCTCAGAGAACACGATCCAACAAACTGCACTGACATCAGTGCCAGTTATAATCTCTCCTTGAGCAAGACGGAAGTAGATATGGAAGATGTATACAAATTTCTTTACCTGACATCAAAAACTTCCACAACTGAGCCGCAGGCGCACCAAACATGTTCTTCAACGACAGCGATGGAGGAGACTGCCAGAACACCCAGAAACAGCATGAAGTGGTCTCGCGGTTGTGTTGCCATGGAGACATTCTAAGGGAAGAAAAATCGAAACAGGTCGAGGCGTAAATATTGGTGCATATAACCGGAGTCATTGTTGGTGGTGATGATGATGATGATGGTGTTGGTTATGACAATTTGAACGTCGCCAACGACTATGTTCGACGCTCGTCCTGAAGCTTGACGGACACAGGTACGGGGAATTGCGCGCGAATCAGTTTGTAGTGATAGTGGACTTGCGCTGCTGGTTTCACCGAGGACAGATTGGGAAAGTTGAGAGATCCGGGTTAATTATTTGAAGAAGGAGAAGATAGGCTCTCCAAAACAGGTTTATGTAAATACAGCAACCCGAAGTCTGGAAGGCCATTCCCTACGGTCTCGGAAGCGGTCTCGCGACTGTTACAATTCACCAGAGTAGGCATAGCCCATCGATCCCAGGCAACAATTCAACGTCGTCCGGTGCAACCTAAGGACCCATTGCCACCAGCTGAAACCTCAGCAATCATCTACAAAGTAAATTGCAATGAGGGCGACTGCAACTATGTGGGTGAAACCGGGCGAAATTGCAAATTCGCCTACAAGAGCAGAAATCGCCCACTCGGAGGTTAGACCCTGACTCTCAACTAGCAACACACGTTTGAGAACCTGGGCATACTTTCGATCTCCAGATGACTATCATCCTAAGCCGGAACAACACAAAAGCAGAACGGCTGACTCTCGAGGCGTGGTTCTCCGATACCAACTCTATCAACAGGCATCTGGACCTTTCTGCAGCTTTCAAAGTCTTACGTCATCACAATCATAGAGCTCAGGACCAAAAAACTACACCGGACTTAAGAAGGCCGTACGGAGAGAGCCAGAGGGTGAGTGTTGGGAGTGCCTACACTCCCAAAATCAAGAGCCAACCAATCACTGGAGACAACGTGCGTTTACTCCCTCTACCACGCTGTCATCGTAATTGGGCGTCTCTTCATTGGCTACTCCCCTCTGCCCGAAGGTCATTGGGCCGAATGCCGGCGAACCACAGGAGGGTGTTATAAATATGCGTCACCTATCAGCTAGTCGCGACTTGCAGTGTACTTTCTAATACACTTCCCGTGGCTTATCGTTTTTTTTCTTGTCTGCTGCTTTGGTACTGGGGACAAGGGTCGAGTGCGCATACGCTCCACGGGATTTCAAGTACCAGGCGGGTCATAACAGTGAGTTTACGCGGTGAGGCCGAATAAGGACCGTCCGACAACGGTTTGATCAGCTCTCCCCGGCGGAGTGGTCACTCAAAAGGTCCGCGCGCAAAACGCCCGTCAACCATCTCCCGAGGGGCCGAGGAAGCGAGAGGAGAAAAAAATCGATCAGCATAAGGCCGACCAACAGGACATGCCACTTGAAATTTCTGATCGATTAAGTGCATTTTACACTTTGACAATGGAGAGCCGACCAAGCTCTTTGAAACGTCAAGAGTTGAATAAACCTGTTCCGAAAAGCCCATCTGCTTTTTCTCTTTCTTTTTCTTCATCATCAAACACCGGGGACATTTATGTCTCTGTGGCAATATCGTCCCATATGGTTGCGAGCTTCTGAGGCGCGCGACTGCCGTTAACGCGCTTAGACGAGCGTGAGGCCCCGATTGATTGATCATGAGCTTTAGTCAGCGCTGCCTACCAGTTGCATATACACTCTAGCCCAGTAAAGAATTACATGTCAGATTTGCCACCCAAGTTCTGATTTGGAAATGTAGGGAGTGACCATCCATCAGGCGAGTTCCAGGAAGCGATTAGGAAAAAGAAGATGCGACCACTAAGACAAAAAGTTTTTTTGCCTGACATTTCGGAACAGGGGCGTTCCACGGTCGTACTGGACAAGAGACATTATATTCGAGAGGACAAAAGCTTGTTTGATGATCGTCATTATTATGTCTCATGCGTACCCATCCCCACAGCGATACTGAGACGCAAGATCAACGCGAAGCTGTTGACACTGGAGAACTCAGGTGCAATATTGCCGATCGACGGGCACACGACGAGAGCGCAAGAAAAGACCCTCGTCCTGTTTTAGGGTCTTCGAAAAGGGCGTAATGAGGGTGCCCCTCTCTGGTACTCCAACTTAGGGAGTGGTACTTTTGACGTCTCAGGTTTCTGACCACTTGTCCAAACGCCACAGTCAGCTCGTCCATGCAGTCCTTGGGGAAACTTGGAGGAGTAAGTCTTCCATCGAACGATACGGTATCTTTTGATGTCACGTCCCTATTTACTTCGATTCCGCGGGACCAGGCAGTCGAGATCATCGAACTACCCCCACGATAAGGATATGGTGAAACGGGGAATCACCTAAGACACACCCAGATCCTCCAAATCCTAAAGTTCTGTCTGATGACGTACATTACTTTGGGAAGAACAATCTACGAGCGGATGAAGGGCACGCCAATGGGTTCGCCGATTTCGGGACTCATAGCTGAGACAGTCTTACAACGGTTGGAGTCGCAAGGACTTATGACACTACAGACGCAATTCTGGGGTCGGTATGCAGATGATACCGTCATCGTCGTCATCGAACGGGATCAGGTCTTGACACACAACTGACGTCTCAACGCCCTCTTCCCCGACATTCAGTTTACGGCGGGGGAGGAAGGAAGCAACCAGCAGGCCTTTCTGGATGTTTTCTTTTGCCGAAAAGATTCTGGTGGCCTGAAAACCGAGGTGCTCAGTAAGGCGACAAATACGATGCAAGCACCGAGCTTCAACAGCAACCACCCAGCCAGCCACAAAAGCAGTTACGTCAGGACGCTACACTAACGCGTTGATGTGCATTGCAATGAAATGAAAGACACAGTCACTGAATCACAATATCTTAGACAGTACTGAAAACCAATGGCTACCTGCGCAAATTTCTCAACCAGTGCATACACAAACAACGCCAGAAGCCAAATACGACCTGCTCCAAATTCATTCGGGTTCTTCCATACTTGAAGAACGTCTCGGAGGCCGTCAGCCGCCTTCTCACTCCACTCGGGGATGGAATAGCACACAGGACGGTGGCAGCCATCAGGCGCCAGGTCATGAGGCCGCAAGACCCTCTGCCATGGCAGGAATCGTCTAGAGTCGTTTACCGGATCTGGTGTAGTTGCGGACAAAGCAACTATGTCGGAGAGACTGGGAAATTACTCCGTACGCGAATTGCCGAGCACGCAGCAGCAGTGAGGCGGGGAGACGCTAACTCTCAGGTGGCGGCACACTCGATGGGATCCGGCCATATTTAAAAATTTCAAGAGGCCGAAATCCTCGTAAGTGGCGAAAAAGCGTGAGCCGCGAAGTGCCCGAGTCATGGTTCTCAGGCTCGCAATCCATCAACAAGCACAATGACCTCCCGTTACCATATTCCGTGCTGAGATTTTCCCTGAGCAGAGGAATCAGTCATGTGGGGAGGGCGTGGGCGAGCAATTATCCCAGTGACAGTGAGCCAGTTTGCCGAGCAATCGTCACACCAGCATCTAGCAAGGATGACAAAATCACGGTCATTAACAACTCGGACTCGGACTGACGAGCCATCACCGCGGTTGCGGGCTGAGCAACTACGCTAAAAATACTGAGAGATTACTCCGGACGCGAATGGCCAAACATCCAGCAAGAGTGAGGAGGAAAGACGCTAACGCTCATTCGACGGGGTCCACTAAAATTTCAAATTTCAGAAGGCCGCAATCCCTAGCAGTGTTGGCTATCGCGTGAGCCGCAAGCTACTCAAGCCATGGTTTTGAGTCCCGCAGTCCATAAAAAACACAATGACAGAATAGTATTACCGACAAAGTGAAAGGAGAAAGGAATGGCCATTTCTGGCTTATTAGCCGTCGTCAGCCAGTCATACCCATCCCCGAAGTGTTGAACATTCATGGCTCGAACTCGCGACGTGTTGGATTGAAGTCCAGGCCTTTAACCGTTGTGCCACGTGCCCGTTGCCCTGTCGGATTCGATCGGGAATATACAATGATAGGGTGCGTTCATCGATCGTTCTTACGGAACTTACTCGTTTCGTTGTTCTTTACGGGCTCTCTCTCTCGAGCCCAACCAGCAGCTGCACTCCTTGTGCCTACACTAGCCCCTCATCTACAACGCTCTCCGGTGATGGGTCCGGGTGAGTATCGGCAACGTCAGGCTAATAAGCTTCTTGTTCCAGCGGTGGCCAGAAGTGAGGGAGGAAGAGAGGGGACAGAAGGGGTGGAATAAGGACCTCACCTCAATGAAACAGAGAGCGCCGTTGGCCATACCGACAAATGCGTGTCGGTATTCACCGCTGCGGCTGACAGCAATAGCCGTCACACTGCTGGACAACTTGATCTCCCAGTTTTTGATCCTGCAAACAGACAGACATGTTAGATCGATAAGGGCAAGATCAAAAAGGCACAGAAGGGTTCCGAGACTGAGTTTGGACTCTCAAAGCACACAAATACTGATACCGGAGAGGGAGAGAGAAATTGCTACCACTGTTTAATGGGTATTGTATATTACTTCTTTGCTATGGACGTCGTTCTGTGTTTTCTGCCCTCCCCGTCCTTTTCTCTAGTAAAACCCACAGTTTGACATTCTGTGGCCGCGGCAGTTGGGTAGGATCCTTCCCCTATCGAATCGAGGCAGGAACTCTAGAAGAGCAACTCAACTCTACCCAAAACCCTGCCAACTGACTGCACAGTCAACAAAGGCACACTGTAGCGCCACCAACCCTCCCAGAGGATCCGTGGCCCTGGCGTAAGTCCCGACGAGCTCTCTCTGCCTTTTAACGCCAACGAATTTGGCAATTAAGGACACACCTCAATGCTGACAGGGCCATCCTACACGCATTCTAACGCACATAAAGTTATGCTAACTCATAAAATTATTTTAGACGGACAGCCTACTGTGAATGGACGTACACAGGCGTGAAACTTAGGCAACCGCAAAATCTTTCGCTGGGCATGGCATGGTCGGAAGATGAGCTGGAAAGTTAGGCTAACAGCCCTATCAGAGAGCCTCCGGTTAACTGAATTACTCGGAGGGGGGGGCGGTGATGATTGGGAGGACTGAGGGGTCGCTTCTGGCTTGTTAGTCCTCATCAGCCAATCATATCCGACTCCTAGGTTGGTTTAGCGTGGACTCGGAGCCCAGTCGTAGATCGTTGGACTACTGAATGTTCAGTGCCCCAGATCCGAGGTTAGTCAAATCTGGGGTATGGCTGGTGGATGATGTCTAGCCTGTCGAAAATGGCCATCTCCGTCTCCCCTGTCCTAGCCCTTGCTACCTTCTGTCTGTATTACTGACCGCTATACGAGTGTCTGTGAAGGCTCGAAATTATGATCCTCAAGTTGTAACGGAACCCGCTGATCTCTGAACGCCCTCTCTTCGATAAGCGCACTGTTGAAACAAATTGAACGACTGGTCTGTAGGTCATTTACAACAGCATGTCTACACTCGCCTTCTCACCTTGTTGCAAGTTTTTACTTGCCGTAGTTCGGTAATACGGTCATTAAAACTGACCGAGTAGCTGATATCGTGTGAGATTTAAGACCCCTTTTGATTTTTTGACAATTGCTGGGCCCAGCCGATAAAGGTATCTTACGTTACAATTGAAAAGTCAATTTGACAAACACGTGTTTTCGGCAACTCGTCATCAGGCTAAAACAGTAACAAGCATTTCATGTGATCTATAAGGTCCCGTCGAGCTATCCTAAACCACTGGGACGGCGCCTGTTAGCAGAAGCAGAGGCGCCCGCCATCAGGTTGCGAAAACCGATCTTGTGCGCACAGAAGAACCACGTTCAGGCTTCGCGCCTACAGTGGTCGAAGGTGGACTAGTGCTACAACTCTCCCGCGCCCTTCTGCTCTCACCCCGCCCCTGACACTGACTGCCATTACCCCGCCCCCGCCCCCCGCCCACATTCCCACACTTGGCCTCTGTTTTAAGGCGAACTTAAATCGATTTATCTTATCACTGACGTGTTTGTACTTCCACCCCTTCCCATAGAATTATACTGGACCAACGAGAAGTTATCGAAAGTTACGTATGCTCGCCACCTCGTCCTCTAGTTACATGGAAGTTGAAAGTATGCGAAGCCACAGCGGCTATTAAAAATCATTTTCCCCACGCCACTAATCTGTTTTGGCCTGATGACGAGTTACCGAAAGGACGTGTTTTCCAAATTGACATTTCAAAGGTACCTCAACCAGAAATATGGATCCCGACATTTAGGGTCCGACGCCTTGTTTGAATCGTGGTCTTTATTATAAAGACGTAGTAAGCGATCTGGATGGCTGTTGGAACTTAGACGTTGGGGTTACTAAAACAGCTCCTAAACTTCAACTCAGCGACTTGAGGAGGATGCTGTGGACAGAATGAGGGACTTACTTCTGCTCCGAGTCAAATGCATAGAGGTAGCTGTCTGCTGAGCCCAAGAGAACGTGCTTTTCCTCCAGTAGGGCGGCACACAAGATGGGTGAGTCAAACTGTATGAACAGAATGTTATAAAGAAAGACAGTATTTTTTCCTATCTAAAAAACTTCATAATTATTGCAGATGTTACCTATTTCGCATTTGGAAGACCGACCTCATGATATGTTAGTCGAAGGTCTGAAGTGCATTTTCGATTAGAAAGGATTACTTGCAGTGAGTGCGACATAATCCTATAATACTTTGGACTTGGCAGCATATCACTTTTTAAATGTACTCCTTTATAATCCTGTGTAGAAAACGATCTCGTTAAAAAATGGCTGCTTAAGTAGCATGTATTTTCACATAGATTTTCGATGTCTTGCAAGTTCCAATATACTTTAAAGAAATCGAAAATATAAAATATGCTTTCTTTTAGTCGTTTAATAGAGAATCCCGTCATCCTTATATTTTATGCTCGAAGGAGGAGTATAAATAGGTTTTTAAAAAGTTTCTAATTATGCATTTTTTAAGGCCGTACAATGTCCATTCATATAACATCGCACCTGTAAGTTTAACACCGTTGCTCATGAAACGCCGAAAATATTCCCCAACCATTGCGAAATTTTATGGATTCTATCTGATATCCTTTTAAAGGCATAGGAGAATATGTGATTTTCTTTACTGAAATCACTTAGCACTAATGCTGCGACTGATCAAGCGCCAAGTTATTTGGGAATTAGGGGACTTTTAAAAACCTAATTATACTCCTTCGTCTAGTGTAAAATATAAAGTTGACGTGATTCTCTATTAGATCAGCAAAAGAAATCATTTTTTTATCCATGTCTTTATGAAATACATTTGAATTTATAAGATTATCAAAAATATATGTGAAAAATGCATGCTACTTAAGTGGTCATTTTTTATTGAGTGTGGTTTCCAAAGGGGATTAACAAGGAATGCATTCGAAAGCTGACATCCTGCCAAGTCCGAAGTATTATAGGATTATGTCGCAAGGTGATTAAAGTTGCAACTGCGCCTAAGTAATCCTTCCCAAATGAAAACACATTTTTGAATATCAGCCAACATTTCATGAGATCGGGCACTCACTGTAGGCGAAGTTGAAACATTAATTATTACGCCGAATGATACCATGATATTTCGAACCTCCTGCAAAGATCGCAGTTGGCAAGAATAACTACTTGAGTAGTATGGGTTCTTCCGTTGCTTTATGATGCCTTTATAAATTCAAATATATTGTTATAAAAACTATGCACAGAATATGCTCTCATTTACCCATTTATTAGCAAATCAAGTTGTCTTTAAGTTTTGTGCTTCAAGAAAGATGGACATCCATTTTTAAAAAGTCTCTGATTGTGAGATTTTTTAAGACCGTGCAGTGTCCTATTAATGCAGTATTGTACCTGTCCATCTATTTGAGCTGTTCATGAATTCTTAAAGACACAGGGAATAAAGGATCTTCCTTGCGCGGAACGTACACACCTTGTCGACCGAAATCATAAGACTCCGATGCAACGGCTGATCTGGCTCAAAATTATTCGCGAATCGGAAAACTTTTTCACAATCTAAGTATACATTTTCTTCCAGTATAAAATGTGAAGACAATATGATTTTCCACCAAACGAGGAGAAGAAGGCATATCTTGTGCATGTTTTCTATGAAATATTTTTCGATTTACAAAGCCATAGGAAATTAGTGTTAAAAAATACATACTATTTAGGTAGCAATTTTTTGCCAACATTCTGGCCTGTCCAAAATATAATGGGATTATGCTTTGCATTACTTAATTTTGCAGCCCCAATCGAAAACGCACTTCAGAATTTCGGCTTCCATTTCATGAGATCGGTTGCCCACCGTAAGAGCTGACGGACAGAAGGCGAAGATGCGATCACTGGAGCAAGAAATTTAGCAGTCCAACGTTTCGAATTCCCACTCGAACCCATCATCAGAGACAGCAGCGAATGATGGGTTCGAGTGTGAATCCGAAACTTTAGGCCAATAAATTTCTTGTTACAGTGATCGTATCTTCGTCGTCTGAACTCATTTGCTCTATGTAGCGACATATAAATCTTGTCTATTCATGACCGCATGGTCCTCGTTGGGGCGTGCATTATTTTAGATTCGTGTTGGTGTGGTGTAGAGAAAACAGGTTCGGTAATTTGTCAAAAAGCTTGCACTTGCTGTAACGTGTTCAAATCCCACTGAACCCGCAAAAGTTTTCACACCTACATTGCCGGAGTCGCCACAATCTACCCTTTTTTTACACCGGTAAACGGAGATCTAATGTAACTGAGGACAGAGCAGTTAGTAAGGCCATACAGTTTGAAGCTGATGGCATATAATAGTTAGCTTAACGTATATTTCGATGCATACCCAACATAATTCGAAGGTGTTCACTCATTATTGTGGAATGCGAAAGCCACTTGAAGAGTAGTTGTTGTCTCCTAGTTGAAAGTCTAGCGAATGACTATCGTTATCAACCAAATGCCTTCACCGATTTTTAGACGACGATACGTAAGATGTGCAATGTGAAAAAGGTCAAAAGATATATACGCAAAAACAGTTTATGCAAAATTTGACTTGAGTGCTGTCCTAATGCATTTCCTCACACGGGTTTCGATGCGTCTTTTGCATCACAAAGCATCGCGGCACACTATATGAACTAAACGGCGGAACGACTCATATCGATCTTGAGGCGGATGCAATTCGGACAAGTTTTTACCTGAATGTCAATGTGGTAGAGCTTGTCATCCTCAGCGCTGCCCATCTTGACACCGCATTTGTCCCCTTCTTCGATAAAGATGAGGAAATTTTCGGAGGCTGTCAAAAAGACAATAGAGGGAGGAAACTTCAGAATGAATCTCAGAGAAGACTGTGGGGCAAGATATTTTCTACCCCACAATGCAGACCGTCCGGCCTTATGTTTGTTGTGAGGGATTTAAATTCACAATATTGAGCAGACAGGAGTACCCGGCCGGAAATGCGCGTGGGCGAGACCTACTCTTCATAGCGTTTATTTATGAACATGTCTTCGCTACTGAACCAGTTTAAGTAGGTTGAGACATGATATTATTTAGTATTGCGTCCACATAATATCTGTTTATAACATGTGCCCTTTGGATCGCGCTACAAAAGGCCAAACTAGCCATGATAGGTTTATGCGACTTTCGATCTTTTCCACACTCTACCGCTCTTGTGCCAATAATTGTCAAGTGGTCGAATGGCCTAAAAGTCATTCAGATAATAAACACACGCCAAACGATGTAGTGGAAGGAGAGATGAGATTGGAAAACTCTTCTCACTGACCGTTATGAACCGAAAAAAATACTTACTTGCGGTTTTTGTGCCATTACTCGGTCTAAAGTTTCCTGGCAATTTCGGAGAAAAAAGTACACTGTGGGCAGATTCAGCTGGCAACGTCGATAAAACACTTGTTTTACCTTTCATTTCGGCTAACAAGCCTAATCTTAGTGCATAAATCCCCAAAGTAAGATCATCAGATGAGCGTCCTCGGTGGAGAAGATATTCGACTGCTGGGGAGTATAAAGTGCGCTACAAGTTTCCTGCGTTTTATTTCACAATCTTTTAGCATTCAGTAGGTGGGCTAACTCATGAAATGTCAACTGAAATTCCGAAATGCGTTGTCGTATCGAAAAGATTAGTTAAGTAGGGTTGTAAAACTAATCAGCCTGCAGTATAATTCTATAATATTTCAATTACCTCAGGATTCCGGTTTTAGAAAGAACTTCCTACCGACTAAATTCCAAAGGAACACTCTTCCTCTAAAAGTCCAATTATACTCCGTGGAAAGCATGCATAAAAATATTAATTCGTTTGCTCATTCGGTAAATAATAAGGTCTTCTTCCAATCTTATATTCAAAGAAAGGCTATTATTTAGTTTTTAAAAACTTTTCCAATTCCCGAATAATGTTGAAGTCGCTCTACCGTCACACATGCATTCAGGGCTTCCAAACCACAGACCATGCATTTTCCGCGCACGGAAAACCACACATTTCTCTACGGTAATAAAGAGGAGACCATATGAGGTCCATAACATTTAGCATTATATTTGACCCATTTTGTGAACTTTACAAGCTCAATTGGTAAATGTAAAGACATGACGTTTTGCGAACGGCCATTTTACGGTATTAAAAAGTCTCGCAATAAGAAACCTTTTTAAAACCGAAGTATGTCCATCCTTCGAGTATTAAATTGAAAGAAGACGTGAGTTCCCACCGAATGAGCGAAAGAATGAATACTTTCACACATGTTTTCTATGAACTACAATTAGACTTTTAGAGACATCGAAAAGCAATAAGAAAAATGCATGCTGCATAAGTAGTCATTTTTTGCAGAGCATCGTTTTTGCATTTAGCCAGGGGGAAGTTCTTTCGAAAGCCGGCATCCTGTGGTAACTGAACTATTATGGAATTAGGCTTTAGGCTGACTACTTTTACAACCCTACTTAAATTATCTTTTCGAAACGAAAACGCATTTTGGAATTTCAGTTGACATTTCATGAGTTTGCTCACCTACTGTATCTGTGAAAATTAACTTGCCTGAACCCCACTTAATCGAGAACATTTACGATTACAGCAGGCGATACGGTTGTTTTTATATCCGACGCCCGGCGTTTTGCAAGCCGTTGGAGGAGGAGGAGGAGGAGGAGTTCACTGATCCCTTCACAGAACAGAGCGCAATCATGTAAAACTGCCATGAAGGCCATAAACGGTCTGGTGGGACTGCGAGCAGCGCCAGAAGAGTAGTACTCAGCGGAGACTTAACGGCACGCATGAAAGGGAGGCTAGAAGACCAGCGAGAAACATGATCGTTCATTTGAACTCTATTTAATCGTTTTACCTTATTTAATTTCCGAGGAAATTAATGCGCGAACTTGGAGTTAACCCTTTGCATGCAGACCCTTTCAAACACGGTCCGAAATTTGAGCTGAGTTAAATTAGCTACTGCAGAATAACCGCGGAATATTCACAAACCACCACAGGTAGCCACTGTTGAGCAGCCGCGTCAGAAAGCGGTTTGTACTTGTGCCATCGGTACGGTAAATAATTACAAAACTCTATATTAATTTGCATGAATAGTCTAATAAACGCACAGTTTCAGGAAGTGTGAAGAGCTTGTTTGAGGTTGGCTGTTCATTTAAATGTTGCCAAACGACTTGCCTAATTTGGCTAATGCATAAAGGAATAAAGACTTTACCCTGGGAGAATAATGAACCACTTTTGTTATCACATCACATTGTGGAATCTGCAGCCTACCCAGGCATTGCATCCAAAGCTCGTTATCTCAGCAGAGTAATAAACGAACTTTCCTTTTTAACTTATAAGAGGTGTCTACATTGGAAAATTGAACATTAGAACAAAAAACGATATGCGTCATAATCATTAACAAGGGAATTCTCACGAACACTGCCACCACCACCACCACCACCACCACCACCATCATCACCACCACCACCACCACCACCATCATCACCACCACCACCACCACCACCATCATCACCACCACCACGACCACCACCACATGCACCGGTTTGCAGCTGGAGCTAAGAATGCATAGGGATCAAAATGGCGGCCGCAGATAAATTCGAAAGGTCGATTCGACAAGCAGTAAGAAAGACCGAACAAGTCAAATGCTATACAGACCTGAGCAGGGGCACAAAGCCAGGAGTGAGGGGTGTAATTAGATTTTACTAACTTACTTTGGCCCAAGGTGGACACAGTGAGTAGACGAGACTGCGCTGGGCCGCTAACGTTGGAAGTTGGGGCGTCCTTAGATGCCTTTGAAAACCCCGTAAAGGAGGGCTGTGCAAAAATAAGGAAAATAAATTTTGCTAAGAAGTGCCTCTGTTAAAATGAAAAGTCAAGGGCTCGCCAGGAATCGAAAGGATGCGAACTTAGAGGAGGGTCTGCTCGCGGTCGTAGAGCATAAAATAGACATAGCTTTCACGAACCCAGTAGAACATATTCCCGTGGGGCGATAACTCTGCGGTTGGTCAGATAGTTTGAGCGAATCGGTGTCAATGGACACCTTTCCAAAATAACCCAAACAAGAACTAATCTCGAATTTCAACACTGGATTCTGCTCTACGGCCAATGAGCAGCCGGAAGAAATGTCTCCGCAAAATATGGAAGAGTGAATTCAATATCTGACCTGATTGTCAAAATGTTTTAGTACGCAAATTATTCGGATGACCTAACGAGGCAAACGGAACTGGTGCTTCATTCAGTTCGTTTTGCCCTAGGACTCCAAACTAAAGTTCTTGGAGGTTAAGCATAACGGAGAGCAGTGATAATATGTATATGTATATATGAGCATGTTACCGATCATCAGTACGTCATAGGCCTTATGAAGTGAGGTATATAAGCATAAGGCCTATGACGTACTGATGATCGGTAACGACCGTGAAACAGCTGTCTGCGTCTGGCCTGTTGCACTCTTAGCGAGCTGCTCATGAACATATATATATATATATAATGGTAGGGTGCGCTCACCGATCTTTCATACGGAACTCGCTCGTTCCGCTGTGCCTTAAGAGCTCTCTCTCTCGAGACAACCAGCAGCCGCACAGCGGCACTTGATATATAGGCAGAATGGTCTTACCGACAAAGACAAGGGAGACTGGAATGGCCCGTGTGATTGTCAAGTTAGCCTACGCTTGCCAGCTTCGTTTGCGGGCGTCGAATTGTGCCGATAGGACTGAGCATGCGTCTTACACTGACCATCATTGACACAAAGTGGGGATGGTTTTGACTCAGTCGTCTTTTCGACGTTCGCTACAACTTAGTTGGCTCAAAATGGAAAATTGTTAAGATGAAGCGTTGGTGAAGGGAGCTTGCACTACGTAGACCTCAATCTCTACCCAACTTTTGCCTGAGCACAGTTTAGGTGGGGCTTATGACCATAAACCAAAATGCTTCCATCAGGTCAGTGTGCTAAGGCAGTAAGAGTGTTTGATTTGTGCCACGTTTTGATGTAGTTTATGAGGAACTACCTTCCATTGTTTCTGTATTATTCACCGGTGGCGTTTCTTACGCCCCACCAGACCAGACTGCAGGGACCACTGCAGAAATGAAGCTTCATCGCTTGATTACCAGCCTCTCGGGACATAGCTCAGGCTATACGAATGAATTTTCGAATAAACGGATCGAAAATGCACAAACTGTCAACCTTCCGGGTGCTGTAATATTTATTAAAGTGCAACTTTATCACAAGATATGACATTCACGACCAGACTATGCTGCTTTCCTGTCGTTTGCAAAATTAACACTGCAAAATGTTATTGTTTTATAAGTGGGAAGTTTTATCTCCGACTTCCAATGCCCTTATACATTTAATCATATTTTACAGAAAGCACTTACAAAAATTCTGCCTTTACCCTCTTGCTAACAACTTACATTTTCTTCAAAATTCATGCCTAAATAAAGTTTATCTTTTGGCTTCAAAAATTGTACGGGTACGCTTAGTAATGCTACTTGTAAAGCAAACAACCTGACAATCAGCCTCTCGGGACATAGCCCAGGCTATCCGAATGAATTTTTGAATAAACGGACTCTGTCTCTGCATCGTCATCCCCAAAGCTCAGTAGGAAAGAAACACGATTTTTCAGAGTAACCTGCATTACGCTGCTCGGACGGTGGAATCACACATAAAAACGACTGCTGATAGAAGTCAACAGGCGAGTTCCATGTAGCAGTTCAGAAGACGAAGATGCCATCACTGGAACAAGAAATTTATTGGCATGACGTTTCGGATTCTCACTCAAATCCATCATCAGAGACAGTCGCATGGGAGTCAGACACGTGAAAAGGGCGCGGGCGAACAACAATCGCAGTGACAGTGGGCCGATTTGCCGGGCAATCGTCACACCAGCATCCAAAACGAATGAGGAAATCATGGCAATTGCTTACTCCGACGCGGACTGACAAACCACCGTCGCATCAATTATGGCCCCAGCGGTGATTGCGATAACTGTTAATTACAGCGCGCACGTGGTCCCACGGCAGCCACGTGCTATAAATACTGCACTCCTTGTGCCACCAGTACCCTTATCTGCGACTGGCTCTGATGATGGATTCGAGCGAGAATCCGAAACGACAAACCAATAAATGTCTGGTTCCAGTGATCACATCTTCGTCTTCTGAACCGCTAGCTGGTCCTCGCCTGTTCGCTTCTATCAGATCAAAGCTTGCCATATTTGACAAAATGTGGAGAGATCTGACGAGCAGTGAGGATGGATTTTCCAGTGTCGTTCCCACTCAATATTCCCTCTCCCACACTTTACTCAGCTGTGAAGCGGTTAGACCTGGATACAGCATTCGCGCATAGCCCGACTAACGCAGGCGGTGAGCAAATGTGACCCCGACATAGCAGACAGGAAGTGCATTTTGGGGCCAAATGTCCCAGACCACTTCCGACATCGATCTCGTGGGTGACGAATTAATGAATTCGGCTGGGAAGAAGTGGGTTCAGGACGCCTTAGAGCCAGAACTCCCCCGTAATTCAACTTCAGCGACCAGCGCACTAACTTGCCCCCCGTCATTGCTTTTTGTGACCCCGCTGTCAAAACTGTTCCTCTTTTTGTAGATGAACGAGGTGGAATCCGTTGGTTGTTTCCGTTTGACCCAAGTTATTGGAGTTAAAGATAATCGATTAAAATGCACGCTCTGGTTCTGCCCATAAACGGTGACACCAGATATGAAAATGTCCTTTATGCCTGTGCACTTGATAGAGGGGCATGCGGGGCTCATCTGACCGGCAGCGGCCCCGTGAAACCGGACCCCGAGATTCTCTAGAATAAATCATGAGGCAGAATGGATAAACAGTCAGACGTCGGGGTTTTAATGCCTAGCACAGTCGAAACCAGCGTTTTCAATCCGATCACGTCTCTTGTGCACTTAAAGTTGTTGAATTATGTGCCAGTTTCAGACCCTGGGGCATTTTGTGACAAGCAACTCACCCTGTTCAAATGAAGATCGGCAAGGAAAGCGTTTTGCTCCAGACGTTTCTCAAGAGCGCGTCTATTCTCCTCCCTTCGAGACTTCAGTTCACGACGCTTCATCATCTTGAAGCTCTGAAAGGCCAGCTGAAAGAGGAGCAATTAATCAGACCGGATATGGGCGTCCCAATACTATTGTTAGTAGGGTGACACAGTCAAGGGACGCACACTGAATAGGGGAAGGGCGAATAGCGTTGGAGACTACGATGGGCTTGAGGAAATGTATCCGGATGGGTTTAACACCAATCGGAATGCTGACATGCAAGCGGAAGAATGTGGGGCCAGTCCCGACCTGAGGAGTTCGTTTGGTGGGCGCATATAGAAACCAACATATCCTGGTGATATAGGCCCTCGCCAGAAGTTGCGCAGTTACCACTTGTGGGCTGGTGAGCTAAAAACAGGTCTAAAAAGCTGACGATATATTCACGTCCCCCGGACTACTGAGAAGTGCGCCACTATCTGGGACAGCCTAGTCAGCCTCGGAAACAGGTGCAAAAATCAGAGTGACTTAACCGCACGAAACCGACTCTTGCTGCCACGCACATCGCAAGAGGACGGCCCTATGATGCACAAGAAAACGAATACTGATCAAGAATAAGTTCAGCCCAGAGGTATAGGTGCCAGGGTGGATAGTCAGACGATGTCAAGAATGGGAAGTCTTTTCAATGCGACACAGGCAGGCCGGTATTGTTGCAGACTTGCTAAGCATAGGTGATATTTCAAAATATTAGTCCGCAAATAGGTATCAGAGAAGACATTTTGGCCGGATGAAAATTGTAGCAAAAATGATCGATTATGTTCCCCTTCAATCCCTGCAAACCCAATCCATGCCATCTATTCACCTTCTACAGACAACTCCCGCGATATTCAGTTCTCGAAGATCAAGAGACATTCGTTACATTACCCGCTCTTTACCGACCCTTTTCTAGCGAGAACAGGGGATCTGAGGCTATACGGAAAACACACATCTTATTTGAAGGTTTCCGAACCCCGCATGACGGTTCTACTTCTCACACGAACTGAGTGAAAGAGTTCAGATATCAATCCAGGTAAAACTTTAGGTGTTAGCAGTGAAGATCTTACCTTCATGAGGCCATCAGCATCGTAGGTGAGGCTGACAGTACTCTTCATACTCTTCCATAGAGCCAGAGTGTCATTCTGTCGCAGTAAAATGGGCTTCTGACGAATAAAGAGCGCCAGGGAGACACGGAAAAGCACTTTGATTCCCTCCAGAAGGAAGGCGTCCCAGATGCGAAGGAGCGTCTTGTAGAGGAAAGATAGAAGAGTATTTCTTTGAAATGTGAGCAGTAGGACTGAGACCTGACTGTGAAGACATTCCTTAAGAAGTCGATCAAGGCAGGCTCCGTAGTACGGTAGGACAAACCAGCAAACATCCTCCCCAAACGGCAAAGGCACTGAAGAGCCAAAATGGACGTCACTGCTATGACGGCCCGGCTCGTGTTTGGTCCGCGTAGACACGGGCCGTTTTCTCTCCCGTGCTGAGTCCGACCCAGTATGCAGTTAGGGTGACTCGCGGTGCGAAACCGTGGGACCGATTGAGTGCGATTTTTAATTGGTAAGCTAACACGACGCTTAAATAAGGTTGCTTGCAGGACTGGTCTGACACAAGACAACTTGGTGGCTTTATCGTAACCCCTCCCCTGATGTCGCATCCAAATTATTAAGGCCTGAATAATGTGAGCCGAGAGATCAGCATGGATATAGTGGCGGACACAGACAGGAATTGTATGTCATGTCAAGTCAACAACGACACAACCGGACAGTTTTAATATGCCTTGATTTCGAGGGACGAATTACAGATATACAGAATTGCATCAACGGGGACCTTATCGACATCCCCGAAACAGTGCTAGCATCACGGTCCGTAATGGCCGAAAATCGCAGGCCAGCAGTCCCCGTTATAGGCTTACATGATGATTGGTCGATCTGTGTCCTGACGGTCGTAAGTGTCTGGTCTGCGCTATTAAGGTGCACTCACACTAAATTTTTTTAGGGTGGCTTTCAGTAAATGTGCTAACTCATGAAATGTCAACCAAAATTTCGAAATGCGTTCTCGTTTCGAAAAGATAAATTAAGTAGTGTTGTAAAGCTAATGAAGATGCAGCATAAATCTATAATGATCCAGTTACCTCAGGGTTTCGGCTTATTGGAAGAACTTATTTGCAGCTGCATGCAAGATCTATAATCTGCAAAAATGACTACTTAGTTAGCATGCAATTTTCTTATTGATTTTAGATGCCACTGAAAATTCAATTGTATTTCATGGAAAAAATGAATGAAAATATTCATTCTTTTACTTATTCGGTAGAAAATCCCGTCTTCTTCTAATGTCACATTCAAAAGAAGAGTATAGTTCGGTTTTAAAAAAAGTTTCTAATTGTGAGATTTTTTAATATCGTAAAATGGCCGTTTCATGAAACGTCATGCATGTGCATTAACGAATGGGGCTTGTAAAGTTAACAATATTGCTCAACTCCACTGCTTAATTTTATGAATTTCATATGGTCTCCTCTTAACACCGTAGAGAAATGCATGGTTTTCTGTACACGGAAAATATACAGCTTGTAGTTTTGAAACCCTGGATGCAAGTGTAACATCAGGTCGGGTTCAAAATTATTCGGGAATTAGAAACGTTTTTTAAAACCGAATAATACTCTTCTTTGGAATATGAAATTGGAAGAAGAGGTGATTTTCTACCGAATAAGTAGAAAAATGAATACTTTTATGCATTTTTTCCATGAAATATAATTGAATTTTCAGTGGCATCGAAAATCAATCAGAACATTGCATGCTACTGAAGTGGACATTTTTTGCAGAGTATAGATCTTGCGTGCAGCCGAAAATAAGTTCTTCCAATAAGCCGACACCCTGACGTAACTAGATCAGTATAGATTTATGCTGCATCTTTATTACCTTGACAACACTACTTAATTTATCTTTTCGAAACGAGAACGCATTTCGAAATTTTGGTTGACATTTCATGAGTTAGCACATCTACTGTATGCGTCTGATCAAACAAGAGCTACACATTGAGCCTGCTTCATGATATCATTTCTCTTGTGGGCAGAAATCATCATAAAAGAGGTATACACAGTAGAATTTATTGATGCCAAGAAATTTGGCCATGCCTTTTCAACTGCCTAAAAAGCCACTTAGACAGGTGCTCATGTGTATGGGCTTTCATAAACACGATTTCAGGTGGTGCGCAATGGCAAGAAATCCGGGTCGGACCCTTATATGTGAGTTCGGCTGCATTGCATGTTTTCTCAGGGATGAATCTCAACCATAACTAGATGGTATTGTAAATGTTGTCGCACTCAAAGGGTAAGGATATCACAGCGCGCTTCTTCGGAACTGAACGTTCTGTCAGCTTTTGTTGTAATGGGTCGGTGTACTTTTGGATGAAACGTCTCAGAGAGCCACGTCTAGGCAGGATAAGTGTCTCAATAGAGCAAATGTTTATCGTCCTCTTGAAAACAGTGTACACCAGGTTTCGTTTCCGTTTCATTGGCGCAAAGCTGAAGAAATGTAAATATTGACCTTTCCGTGTACTGTTGTTGGGAATAAGGCGGTCTTCGGCTTAAGCGTTGTTCGCAACAATCGCAAAATGCCTTATGCATAGTGTACTCTTGTCCAATTTCAATGACACCTATACTTATAGGTGACCTATTAAAGCGTCCGGGAAGGTTTGACCTATTGGACTTTCTATTGTTAACTCGCTAGTTTGTCGGCAAAGGTGCACGCTAAACAGAAAATGAAAAATGTTCGTGCACAGTTTCAACAAGTCAAGTAGTATATCGGGAGGCAGGTGGGTTTCAGACGCTTGGGCGCATTTGACATTTATCTGATGCTCATGCATTGTACGACATGAAATCTGACAGTTGGTTCGCGTCAAAGTAATGGAGTCAGTGAGCAAGAATAATGAGAACGATAATTCTCCTCTAGGCGCCCGTTTATGCTGCGTTATTCGTTTGTCCAGTGTATTGGCGAGAGCAGTCCCGACATGAGATCTAATAAACGACACCCGATGTCTCAGGTCGCAACTCATACGAATTCAACTTCGCGAGCACGCAGATAGAAGCGCGGGCCAGCAATAAGACAGGACGAGAACTGTTGAAGGCCTTTTTGTCCGAAACCAACTCTATCAACAGACACGTTGGCATACCCCCTGCTATCACGCGCTCCGTTGCAGCGGCCAAGAGACGAGACCCAATTTCCAGCCAAGGGTTCATGCAGTCACGCCGCCGTGGGACTAAGCTTATCGCGAATACCACCCTCTACACTCATATTCCCTCCCCCATTCATGGCTTGCCTACTAAAACTGCTCATTTGATGCCGCATTCTCACAGTCACTGAATATGGCCTCCTGTACGAGACCGACAGCTCGGACCAATACACCAGAGATCTTTTGTCTATCTTCCTTACAACAAGAACCTGGGATTCGTATATTCGCTTCCATCCATCTCTCCGAGTGCTTGTCCGGACACCAACAACTGGGACACTGCGCTAGCTGAAGGCAGCTTATATACAGAGCGAGAAACAGCTAGACCACGCGGTCAAATTGAATCTTACTTGAAAATCTCCAGTCCTTCGATTAACACACCCTTTCGTGTGTTAACTTTCCTCCCTTCACTTTCCTTAATTTCGTTTCATATTTAACCTTTTAATTGTTTAGTCTGTGTGCAGTAGACAATGGCCTTGCTGTTCTGCATTAGTGGACTCAAATTGCTATGTGCCTCTTACTCGTTATTTTTGTTATGCAACAACGAGTTGCCGTTGATAAGCTGTCGCGGAAGTTTTGATATCAATAAATTCTACTGTGTTGGCCTGTTTTAAATTCATGCCGAAATACATGTTTCAGACATCAGCATGTCACTCTGGCAGTCGGAGACTTTCGACCTCAACTCACGGGATAACAAACATCTGAGAGAGGGAAAGTCTTATTTAAATATCCCATATTATGTAGTTATTTACGATAATGACAAATCAGGTACTAGCTAACAGCCCAGACACGCGTGCTTCGCCGATCGTGTGCCGCTGCCTGACGCAGCTGCGGGGTGCTCGACTCATCAGCCTTCCCGTGTGTTATCTGGTATATGAACTCCACTTTCACCTTACCTTGTATAATTTCCGGGGAAACTTACGCTCGAACATAAAGTGAGTTCTCCGAAACAAACCTCGAAAATTTAAAAAGGCATGGTAAAACTGAAGGGGACACGCGGGAAGGCTGGGGGAACACACTGATCAGCCGAACCCATCGCAGCCAAGTCAAGCAGCGGCACAAGATTATCGAAACACGCGTGTCTCGGTGTTAAGCTGGCGCCTGCGTTGTCCTAATGGTAAATAATTACACAGTTCTATATTAATGACTATCTTTTAGCGATTTGTGAATATTTCGCGGCTATTTTGCAGAAGTTGGTGGATTTTGACCCAAATATTCATACCCAATTTTGGAGCGAGCCTAAAAAGCTCTGTTCTGCGGAATTTTCTCCAACTGCATGCATCCATTTCCTCGGAAATTAAAAAAACACAGTATTTCATATCACAGCAAAGGTGGACCAAGGAATGTTCATCTACAGTTTGAAATGCATTAACGAAAGTCTCCCCCCGCCCATGGGGGGTCTGGACGTGGTTAATTAATGCAGCCCAAGACTCTTGTGTACGGCTGACTGACGAGTGCGAACAGATCGGAAATAGTTTCTGTCGGTAGTAATTCGATCTAGGAGTGCGAAAACGAACTGTTTGGAATTTACAGAGCATTCATCAGCGGGCCCAGAAGGTCGCACTTTTGTGCGTGGGCTTGAATTCATTTTCTCTTTGTTCCGTGCCGCCAGGTGAACTTTGACCCCAACGGGGGTGGGCCCTAGCATGCGAACTTAGCCGGCGCCGACGTTCTCAGTAAAGCGATTTGAATGACAGTCAAGCGGAGAGAATTTGTGCTTATGCAAATTGGGTCATCTCTGCACCCAACGCAGTTCAGAATAAACCCGTAAAGTGACTCTCAATGATGCCTACAGGCATCCATCCTCTGACAAGAGTAACCTGAAAGTGGGGTAACTCATAAGGCCTTTACTGGAATTCTGAAATTTCGTTTCATTTGGAGAGATGTTCTGGGGTGAGATTGTCATACATACAAGTCCAAAGAGACTTCAGCCACGCCAGGGCGCTGGCTTTTGAGTGCGCCCCCGGCAAAATCACTCTCGGAAAATATGACTGCTTATGTACATCGAATTCTTTTCTATTGATTTCCGATGACCATATACATCAAACGTATATTATAGAAAACGTGTACAAATATCCTCTTTTGTGCTCTTTTGGCCTTAAATTATGCCCGGCTGAAATTGAATACCTTACGAGATTAGAGTTCTCAGTTTCAAAAGACGATTTTCAGTACCCGGAGAATTATTGACCGACCTGCCATTGCACATGCGTTGACAGCTTTTAAACCGAGAAGTTTCCACCTTTCTACTCTTTGTCAATTTACTAAGAAATCTCCAGGGAAAATGCAATCCAGGCTAGGTTTGAATGCTGGACTGGAATCCGTCAGCTTATGCAGAATAATGGCGTAATATCCACCAATTGTCAACAGGGAGTCTGCAATACACAAGGGTTTCCATAATAGAAAACACAACGGGAACACTGGGGCCCACTGGTATGTCGAATTCTACGTAAATGTGTTATGTAAGAATACATGATTGACAAAATAAGCGCTTACGGGTCTTCGCCAAGCGCCGGTTTGGCAATTCCTTCGGTATTCGTAAAGATTTCCTTTACGGAGAACCACACATTTCTCTATGGTAGTGCTAGGGATCGCTCAACTTTGCCGTGGCTATCAACCACACTGCATAATTCACAAAGATCATTGATAAAGGAATCTACGTCATGTGACCTGACTGACAAAAAGTAATGAGGGGAACGGATGTGATAATTAGTTCGCACCAAAAAAGGTTTCGCATTGAGCTAATCGGCTCCGCCTCGTCCGAGGAATGCCCTTTTTTGTGCAAACTACATGTCTGAATGATTGGATGAAGCGACATGTCTATAAATTTGGGCGGAAATCCACTTTACCCTATATTCCGACAGCTTTCTATGTTAACATCAGTCCAAAACAAAGTTTGCACATCTGAGCGTGTAGCCTTGATAGGAGAGCAATTTAACCTCAGTAGTTTGACCAAACAGACTTTGTTACCTTTAAAAATCGATTTTTTCTGAGACCAGCCGTGGGAGACAGGTTGCGAATAAACAGCTGATGCTTTGCAAATCAAACGTTTTATCGATTTTAAAAGACGGATTTGCATCTCTGTGTGATTTCGTGCCCTAAAGTACCGCAATAACGCCAACAAGCATTCTTTTACTTAAATGTGCCGATATCATTTTGTCATTTGCGAATACATTTTGGGTATCCGTCAAAATGTGCATCGTCGAATGATCACATTAGAGTTTGAACACAAGGGAGAATAATTTTCTGCTCGTATGTCATTCAAAGATGGAGTGGGAACGGTTTGTGCAGTATGATCACTATTCTGTGTTATTTATAAACGTAGTCAGTAAGCAAAATAGCAAAAATGGCTGCGTTATTAAGGGAAAATAAGTTCTACCGTTTGCGGAATTTAAAAGAAATAGACAAAAGTATCATTTTTCCTACTTTTACGTACAAAGGGGTAGCTTCTGCGAATATCCGTCAATAGAGTACAGCATAAAAGCGATTTTTAAATAAGTGACTTATTAGAAAAAGTCCTTCAACTGGTTGAAGGCGTATTCGTCGTTGATGTTTGCTGTGGACGTGATTTTTTTCGAAAATGGCTTTCATATTTTGCGAGTCTGCAGATCTGACCGAAAACGGTGTCTAAATAAAAAAGCACGCCCATCCCACTCGCCGCTTCGATAAATACTTTCGGAAAGTATCTTATTTTGAAGCTTTTAATCTATACATAGCCGAAAAACCAGCTTTATGGAAAAACGATTGAAAACACAGAAAGTCGTGAATTATTCACTGATATTTCAAGGACTGGATATTTAGCTACATTTCATGTGATGTATATAATGCTAATCGACCAGATCTTTCATGATCTTAAAAAATCTCTCAAGTGCGAAATTAAAAAACTAAGAATTACAACTGCGTTGCGAAAGTTTTAAAAAAGACATAATTTTCTACAAAATGAGTACAAGGAAGAATATTCTCGTGCATGCTTTCTTTACAGTAGGAGTGAATTAAAATTAACATCAAAAATCAATAACATAAATCTACCGACGTGAGTAATCTTTTTTAACGTTTGCGATTCTAACGGACGGCCTCGCATCCAAACGCCGGCATCCTGGCCTGACTGAAATCTATCTGGATCTTGCTGTTTGTTCATCAGTTAAACATCCATACTTAAGTTAATCTTGTTAACTGAAATCCCATTTCAGAATTTCAACTAATATTCGATGAAGTATGGCATGCACTGCATGCCGCAACGAACTCAGTCGAGAACTGAAAAATACTCGGTATTATTGGTCATGAATTCAATTATCTCCAGCTAATATGACGACCCATTTGGATTATGATGACGTAAATTACAAACACCGTCCCATTACGGGCAAGAAAGATATCTGGACCGGGTTTACTGAGCTGATCTCAATCGAGGAAAGGACATCCACGGTCCCACCACACATAACGGCTCATGCCCAGCGTTCAGACACGCTCGCATAAAGGAAAATAATCGATAACTTTCCGAATCTAGCTAACATCAATCAGCCCAAAAGTTGAGTCTTGAGGGGAGATCACTATTCGATAGTCTTTAAAGCCATCCCAGTCCAGCTGCTTAATCACTTAGCTATCTAAAACGATCTTTCCTTACCTGATCATTTGTTATGCGCGATAAGGGAATAAGCCTACGGTGACCATCGCTCGCTGAGACATGGAATCATATGAATTGACAACTAAAGGACATTGATTTCGGACCATTACAAGCAACTCATTTCATTTAATTTAAAAACGACTTTAGATTAGGAATATTTCAAGACGACCCATTCTGGGGTAGGGTTTTCACTTAACGGAAAACTAACTCAAAACCAACTAAAAGCGGAGTATATATCCAGGCTGAAAAAAAACTATGAGAGATTCAAAAAGTACTCTCGATCCAACTGTTTTAGACGACTGTGACTGCTCTACCGTCGCAGGTGATGATCTACATCAGATTGTCCACGGGATGGGCGCGGCGCCTTAATAAGCATACAATAAGACAAACTCGAGCCGCATCTTCAGCATTCTCCCTCCCTCACCTCATCCGCTTTGTCCTACTAGGAAGATAGTGTCAAGACGGCCGGGGTGGGCGCGAACTCAGTGGATGGCATCACTAAACAGGACGTCTTCGCGTGCCACGCACGCGATCTGGTCCCAATTTAGATGCGCCGGAAAAGAATAAGGACGACTAGGATCCTACGTATATGAGGACGCGATGAAGGCAGTTATTCCGTCAGTTGACAGCCCTCTAAGCCACTTTAAGTGTGTCATATTTAGTAAAGTGGAGAATGACGATTACGTGTCGTAGCACACCCCTATACTTGGAGTCAGCCAGACATACCCTGCTGGGAATTGAGGAGAACAATAACCTTCCCTAGCATTCGCCAGCCTAACTGCCCACTCACGAAACAAACTTCCAATATTTGTCAACAGAAGCGAACAGGCGATTTCCAGGGAGCAGTTCAGAAGCAGACGAAGATGCGATCGCTGGAACAAGGAAGTTAATTGGCCTGGCGCGCCAGATTCTCGCTCGAACCCATCATCAGGGACGGCTGCATTTAAAGGCAGTGAAGGCATAAAGACTGAAGTATTTATAGGTCGTGGATGCCGGGGGGGCGCATGTGTATCATAACTAACAGCTCCAGCGATCACCGCTGAAGGTCAAAATTCAGTCAGCGTCCGAGTCGTTAATTACCGCAATTTCATCAACCGTGTTGGATGTTGAAGTGATGATTACTCGGCCATTTGGCCCGCCGTTACCGGGATAGTTAATCGCCCGCGACTTACACAAGTGACTGATTTCCCTGCTCAGGGAGTGTTCCAGCACGGAATATGGCACCGGGAGGTCAGTGCATTTGCTAAAAGATCGTGGGCCTGAGAGTCATGAGTCAAGCAGCACGCAATTCACGCAGTTGTTAGCTCTTGCGAGGACTGCAGCCTCTTGATACTTAAAAATGTGACCGGGTGCCGTGGAATGAGCTGCCACTCGAAAACTAGCCCCTTTCCCTTTCACCGCTGCCGCGTGTTCAGTTATACGCGGCCGTAGCAATCTTCCAAATTCTCCGACGTAGTTGCTCTGTCTGCAACTGCATAAGATCCGGTAATCGACTCCAACGTTTGAATGCCTGTTAGACATTGCCTGCATAGGACTGCAGAAAGCTGTTAACTAACGGCAGTTTGGGTGTAGATTTCAGTATCACTAAATGCTTAATGTGCGATTAGCCACACAACCTCACCAGTCTAACACTGGAGGAGGGGGGGGGGAAGGTGAGTGTGGATAAGTTTTTGGCGTGCACAAACGACGGGTTGTTGGCCGAGAACGACGATGTCTAGCATGTGTCTCACAAAGAGGTTGACGCAGGACGGTGATCTGAGCGCAGCATCTGAGTCACAATCTTTTCCCATACCGATCTGGGATGGACGACCGGGATCAGACTCGGACGCAATAAGTAGGAAAGTCAAACGACCCGTTTACATGTGCCAAACACTAATTGTCCTCATCCCAAGAGAAAGGGCGCGGCTCAGGTCTCATTGGAGTTAGAGTGTCATGAAGATCACATTCAGAAGGAGACAGTGAATCTTGACTCTTCCATTTGAGAGTCCAGTCAGCTGGCAGTCTGCCAATTCACGACTTTTAGCGCGTTGTGCTAGGTTTAAGCACGCAAGATTTTTTGTGGTGAAGAACGCTCCGAATAGCCGTAGGAATAGTTTTATCGATGTCGGCTCGATTCTCTCATTCCTCTCTAGCGCATCGATAGGCCGTTCGAGCTTGTCAGTCATCAAGTGTTGGGATTGGGAGCAATGGCCGGCGCCGCGGGAGGCCCGTGTCTAGGGCAGCTACCACAGCTCACACGTGGCACTACACACGAAGCCGACGTACATGCTGTTGCAATGACTGCAAGCAATGCCGTCAAATGCCAGGGGGTACAATGTAGATATCTGACTCACTATTATCAGCCGTCGACGGCCTTAGCGACACATCCTCTCGGGTGTCTACAAGATTTCATAACTAGGCCATTAAAATCTATGTCGACATGCCGAGTAGCACTTCCAATCAGCATTTCCTGTGACGACCCTGGTCTCTAATCTAGGGCAAAACGGTGTACGTGGGAACTAAGATCTGATTGGCACCCTCAGTATTAAATGATCAGTCCCGAACGCAACCAATCGACGTGAGCTCGGCTCTCCTAGCTTTAAAAAAACTGACTTGAAATGAACGTCAGATCTACCAAACAATGGCTTTGCGCTTGATTAACTGACAAAGGCAGCTAAGCCAGTGACGATCAGTCCAGTCACCTTTGGTTCGTGAATTTGTCTCACTTACTAATTATGTTGATTTTTCGCTATGAGAAATTAGTGGCTTTTTTGTCACTTTTTCGGGGTCGAAATGCAGACTTGATCATGGACCTTTTTTTCCACGTGATCCAGAATAGATCCGATCGCGTTCGACAGAGGCAGATAATGGCCCAAGCGAATCAGGATCCAAACCCCCTTAGTTTGTGGCATAACTGACTGATGATGACACTGCAGCCTTCATTCAACACTGTGAGATGGTCAGCATTTCAGAGCTCCCCTCCATGAAAAGGACAGTTTGTCTCCTCAAGCACTGTTGTCCCTCGTTGATGTCCGAAGTGTAAAAGTTCCCCTATTCGCTATTTTGCATGAAAGTCTTACTCAGACACCCTTTTTTGCAGAATTCGCGCAATCGGTCACAAGACTGGACCTGGCCCTTCGATATTTGCATCCGTGACCGCCGCTCTCGAACCGGCAATTGCGAGTCTGTGCGTGGCTGTCCGACCGAGTGTGGAGGTGGCGCGGACATGTGCGTGTGTGTGTGCGGGCCAGAAACAGGTTTTCGATACAAGTTGTTGACCATGCCGGTGTACTCGTGCCTACCCCTGCCCTGACCCCATCACCTTTCAACCCCCCCCCCCACCCCGCCTCCGCCCACCCGGACCACAATGTCAGCATGCAAGCACGCGGACCTCGTGTGTATGCTAAGTTAGCGAATGTTGCGCATTTTTGCATGTGCGTGTGTGTGTGATTGTTTGTGAGGCAAGCGTGAGCAATTGGGCTCTGTGTATGCACAAAACACGAGTGTGCACACATATATATGAGCAGCCGGGCCGGTCGCCTTGCACAGTTTGTCCACAACTATGGCACGAACAAGGGTTCCCTTGCTGTTTCTGGCGAGCACTCTACTCGCAATTTGCTGCACTCCTATTTCGACCTACAGGACCACGGATTATGCTCATCAGTAAGTTCCTGCGCAGGTGTAAATTTAATGTGTAATGTGCTTTATATGTATAATAGTTGATGGCTTCGGTCAAAGGGTCTGTAAGCGTGTGCTATGCCAGTATCGGCAAACCATGGCCCTCGCAACTTGGTATGCGCTGGCAGTTCCCTAACACCTGATTTCCTGCCGGTAGATGCACTTGCGCTCCCGCTAAGTACACAGGTGGTAAGCATGGCTTCCCAGTCATCCTTGTCGCTACGGCCCCTGCTAGGGTATTGTTGTTGTTGTTGACGGAAAATCCTGGTCATTTGCTGTATGGACAAGAGGGGTTTGGTGGCACGCCTAGGTGCGGCTTTGGCCGTGCCAGCTACCTGCGCCCTCTTCGCACCTCCGGTCTTCTAGACTCTGTCTTGACACCGGGTCCAGGTGGGGAGTGGGGTATACTGCGTGCGATAGACGCTGTGCAAGTCTACTACCATTATAAACTCACGCACAAGTCACCGTCCATTTTCTGTCTTGCTGTGGAGCACCAAGATGGACATCGTCGAAACCGACGGCCGAACTCTCGGCTGACAGTTTTACTTTAGTGGATTCCAGACGTTGCAGCAGGTTTGGCGGGTTACACTCACGGTTCGATAGAGCCTTGTAGCTCAGGTGACTAGAACATTGGGTGTACTCAAGCTTTTCCCTTTCTGTGATGGGTTTAAATCCCACTGACTTCGCGGAGGTTTTCATTCTAGAATTAAACTATATTATCCGAAGTCTGCCGAAATACCTGTTAATTACTTGAGCCGGTAGTCATCTGGTAAGTTTCAGATGAATTATTTTGGAAATCTTGCTTAGGCAGTTAGCGTGCTGTATCAGATATTGTAGATTCTATACGTTGTAGTAGATTGGACGGGTAACTTAAAATATATTCCTTACGGTAAAACGCGTATTACATAACAGACATGAAGTAAACAAAAATTACGCACTATATTTTTGTAGGATATCGTTGGTTTAAATCCTACCGAGGTCGCAAAGTATTTCACGGTCACAGTCAGCCAAAACACTTTTCAGTTAAATGAGCCTGGTAGTCTTCTTTTGGATTCAAGATTGTTTACCTAGAAAGTCCTGTTTGAACAGTTAGCTTACTCTAGCACATTTGGGATGTGTGTCACAGTGCCCTGAGTGAGAGCAAGTCCGATTCGGCCTTGAAGATGATTGGCCAATCGGAAATCTGTGAGTGGGTAAAAACTAGCCTGTCTCTGCAGGCGCCCAGAGTAACGTCACTACAACGTTTCACGCACGCCCTTCGGAGTGGGTATTACACCCATAATTTGCTCGTGAATTTGTTTATAGGGAGACGGACTTGCGCGCTATCGACCGCACTTCCTCCTGTCGCACCCATCTTGTTACCAAAACGACTGGGTCCAGACGAGGGGGCAGCGGGTGACAAGACCCAACAGACCATACGACCTGATCTTCTCTCAGAATGCAAGGGTTACTCCGAATCCACATGCTTGGAATTCCACGAAGATCACATTAAGTATGAGTAATTGCAGCCTGACTCTCAGTTCTGTGAAATATTGGGATATACAGTCAGATTTCAACCTTCCAAGCCGCTGTAATGGATTTAGGCTTGTCAGCTTGATTTTAGTTAGGAGTGTGCCGATTTGTGGTAGGGATGGGTTTCCCAGTGCTGGTCGCCCTCGATCTCCCCTCATGTACCAGAAGACGGTGAGACACGGGCATAGATACGTCCCTATGGCGGTTGGTTTTGGGCGAAGTTCCATATTTCCGTTGTCCACGGACACGCAGACACACTGATGTTACGTATGGCACGCCTATTGGCCGCAACACGATGCGTCATGCTTGCGTTGTTTGCACACTTCATCCGTGACTCATTGTTATCGATCGGGCAAATGGGACGGCGTCACGGCAACGTAGGTGCCATGATCACGTGACCAGTCCGGTGCGGTGAAAGGACTCGGGCTGTGTGGCTGTACCGGCATTAGCGCAGCCTCGAGCAGGCCAGCGGCTGCATTCGGAACTTGTGGACGTGTCATCGCATCATGCATATTCAAAAGATCGACACGCGTAGAACAACGCATGCATAAGGTCATTTGCATTAGCCAGGATGCATTGCTGAAAATGCACCAGCAAAGCGGCGTTCACTAGGTAAATGCAGCTTTTGGAGTCGATCGGACAGCCTTAACGTAAATCAGCAAGCAAATACTCGAGCTGAGAGTACAAAACGGCCTCTGTCGCATAAACATTCTGCAGGACTCTTCTGGCGACAGCATTGGGAAAAGCAGAAGCGACTCAAGGTTACTTACTCGTACTCAGGTCTGATTGGCACCCTTAAGCACGATAATAAAATCCCCAAACCGGAGACCTTAGTCATACTAGCACTGCCTAGGGAGAGCTAACACATCCTTAGTAATCACTGGCTGATTTACCATACTCCCTGCTGGGGTATTAGTTGAAGGCACGGACACGTATTCCGCTGGTTTTGTACATAACGGGACTGAGATGGGTTCGCCATGCGTCGGCACAAAAGTGATGGAACACGTGTTCTGCCGGGAGTTCGGTGAGTCATTCCGTGCTTGCGTACTACTGACTAACCGTTTGCAGCATATGAACGCTGAACAGTTATTCTGTCGCGGCTGGTGGACTTTAGTTTGAGTGTTCATATTAACTTTAGGACCAGACCTGAGATGGGCTGTGGCGCATAATTTTTATCCCAGGCTCATATATTAGTTTCGTGTGGAAGTAAAAACTTGTACACCCTCTTGGTAAGTCTTCGTCAAGGACAGCAGGTGTTGGGGGCCTGAGCAACAGGTGGGGACGATTATAAAATGAACTGTCATGTTACTGGAGACGCTTGAAACAAGTTGTAATTCCCTGCGGACACGCTTATGCAACATACTAAGGACAACGCCGCGGAGACACAAGTGACAGTTTGGGTCTCCAGCCCGTATCCTGCCCCGAAATGAGGACAGATCGGTGAACGTCACTCTCATTCGACCTTGGAACCAGGAAGTGAGCAATGCTACTATGAGCCCCATGTGGTTGCCCATCGTTGTCCAGTTGTCATAACCCTTATGTCACGAAGTACAATGAGTGACCGATCTCATGAAATGCTGGCTGAAATTCTGAAATTCGTTTTCGATTAGGAAGGAGTACTTGGTAGCGGTTGTAATAATGATTATCTTGCGGCATAATCTTATAATACTCCCGACTCGGCAGGATGTCAGTTTTTAAATAAACTGCTTTTCAATCTCCTGTAGAAACCTTACTCAGCACAAAATGACTACTTAAGTAGCGTGCATTTTTCCCATTGATTTTCGATGGTCTTGCAAATTCAAATATATCTTACAGAAACAATAGAGAATCACGTCATCTTTACATTTTGTACACAAGGAAGGAGTATAATTAGGCTTTAAAACGTTTTCTAATTGCCGAATAATATGGAAACTGAACATTCGTTGCATTAGCGCTTAGTGATTTCAGTCTACAAGGCACATGCGCTCCGCGTAAAGAAAATCAAATATTTTTCTATGCCGTTAAAAAGGTATCACACAGAGTCCATAAAAGTTTGCAATGGATGCGGACTTTGTTGTGCATTTCATGAGGAGCTGTGGTAGACGGTCAGGTACTATGATATGTGAATGGACATTGCGAGGTCTTAAAAATCTCATAATCAGAAACTTTTTTAAAACTAAATTATACCCCTTCCTTGAATATAAAATATAAAGAAGATGTGATTCTCTATTTATTGACTGAAAGTAATTATATTTTGGTTTATGGTTTCTATAAGTTTTATTTGAATTTGCCAGACCATCTAAAATCAATGAGGAAAGTGCATGCTACGTAAGTGGTCGTTTTTACCGAGTGAGGTTCCTACAGGAGATTGAAAAACAGTGTATTCAAAAGCTGACATCTTGCCGGGTCCGAAATGTTATAAGATTATGCCAGAAGATAATCAGCATTACAACCGCAACCAAGTAATCCTCCCTAATAGAAAACGCATTTAAGAATTTCAGCCAGCATTTCATGAGATCGGTCACTCACTGTACAACGATTTACAAATGGTAGAGTTGCAATATGATTACACGGATGATGGTGCACTAAAGTCCAGGGTTCGGGTCCAAGCGCCCATCTTGGCAAAAAGACGGACAGGTAAACAGAGAAGTCAGTACTTCATCTTTTGACCGACAAGGTCCATGTGACCATTGGATATCTGAAGGTTGGATTAGTCTCGAGCATCTCTTCCAAGAGCTGTTCCACATTTTTTGTTTAAAATAACCCCTTTGGATGATCAAATCAGATTTCAGCTCCCGGGAAGGCGATGAACGCACACATTTGCTGGAAGAAACATGTAGCGGTCAAATTATGGTATGCGTCAAAGTTACCGAAGCCCTAATGGCAGCCCCCGAAGGGGATTTCTGATGGAAAAGGAGCATAAGTAATGATGAGGGAAATACCACAGAAAGGTGCCGAACAAAGTTTCCAAAACAGGATTTGCCTTTGTCATTATAATAATTGAGAGCATATTTTCTGAGTTCAGTCAGGGTCTACTAGATTTTCGATTCGTTTCGCGTAGTTTACAACGGATTAGCTAACTCCACCAACTTCCACAAAACAGTTCCGCAAGCAGGCAAATTTTGCCCATAACGACAAGATGGACACGCAGATCTACGGGCTGGTTTCTAGATGACATGGTTTTAAATTGATACTGCAAACATTTAATCAGTTATATATGTATGAATAACGAAGGTGATGGCGCAATGAAAGGAGGGGTCTCGCCGGGTCCAACGGGCCTTCTCCTTTCATTAAGACAAATATGTTTGTGCACGTTTTTAATAAACTGTGTTTGAATTCATATGAGCATTGGAAAGCGATAAGAACAATTTCTACTGCACATGAACTCATTTTGTAAGAAATTCAGTTTGCACTGGCAGACGAAAACAAACTTATTCAAATGCTGACATCCTGACGTTACTGAAATATCTGGGTATTATGTTGAACGGTTATTAATATTACAAACCACCGACACGGAGTGTCGGGTGCGTTTTAGAATTTCGGCTGACATTTCATGAGATCGCATATCCATTATATATACAACCATGAAGGTCATGCACTTAAACGCCAGGAATATGGCAGAACTTAAAAAGTCTACGAAAATAGTCAGAAACCACTTTTTTACGTTCCGCAGGTTTTCTCTAAAGACAAAGGAGGATAAGCAGGAAACAGCCAAAAGAGAGGAGCAAAATGGAAATCCAATTCGGGCAGAAAGTGAACTTCCGGCTGCTGCTGTTACACCGGAAGCTACGGTAAATGACCATGCCACAGGCACTCAAATGACGACACAAATCTCAGACAAAGGAGAAGGCCTGTTGCAAAAATCGGTCGCTGCTGCGTTTCCGGGTTCGGAAAAAAATGAATCGACTAGCACGCAGGCAGAGATGCAGAGACCCAGGGAGCAAATCAGCGGACGCGGAGTGGTAAAAGCCAATTTGGATTTGAAATCAGAAAAACGAAAGGGGAAAGACAAAGAGGAAGAAAAAGAAGAAGAAAATGATGAAGAAGAGGGAAAAGAAGAGGAAAAACAGGAAGAAGAAGATGAAGAAGAAGAAGAAGAAGGAAAAGAAGAAAAAGAAGCAGAAGAAGAAAAAGAAGAAGAAGAAGAAGAAGAAAAGAAAGAGGAAGAGGTTGAAAAAGAAAAAGGGAATGGGGAAGAACAGGGAAAAAGGGCGGAACAAGACGAGAAAGAGGAGGAGAAGGAAGAAAGGAGAAAAGAAGGAAAAGAAGAAGATGAAGAAGAAGAAGAAGAAGAAGAAGAAGAAGACGAGGATGAGGGCAAAGATAAGGGAGATGAGGAGAAAACAGCAAAAAAACAAAAACCTACTAATGCTATAAAAACAGAAAAAGTAATTGAAGAAGTGAAAAAGGAAAAGTCGACAGTAAAGGAAAACATGGTGGATGTGCAAGTCGACGTAGCGCATAACACTTCGCCAAGTCAGGTGGCGGCCGCGTATCCCGTATCCACTACACCGACGATCCCTGCACGATCGACAGTACACACCTGGATTACGAGCTCGGACGACGGATCTGTCAGTACGATAGATGTGCGAACCGATAGAGTACACATTCCCACGACAGGTCCTGCCGATTTTTCTGGCCTCGTGGGGTCTTCAATTGAACCCACTAATTTGACAGCATCTGAAGACGCTGAAGAGACTTCAGCGTCCCCCGCTGTCGCGCATCGCGTGACAGCTACTCCGACAATACCAATACGATCGACAGAACAGAGGTCGAGTCTGACTTTGGATGACGGATCTGCCATGTTAACCGATGCACCAGAGCATCCAGAACTGTCAAATTTCGTGGAATCTTTAACAGAACCCACTGATTTGGCAGCATCTGAAAACAGTGAACAATCTATAACATCTTCTGCGGTCACAGATCCTGTCATAACTACACCAACAATTTCAGCAGAATTAAAAGAAAAAATTTCGAATATGGTGGTGGATGACGTATTCGCTAGTACTGCGAATGTGCAAATCGATGCATCACACATTCCTCCAACAGATTCGGCTGATTTATCGAGCATCTTAGGATCTTCGATAGAATCCACCGATTCGGCAGCAGCTGAGAACGTTGAAGAGACTTTGTCGTCTCCCACGATCTCGCATCTGATAGCAGCTACTTCGACAATCCCTTCTCAATCGACAGAACAGAGGTCGAGTTCGATGATGGACGATAGATCTGTCAGGACGTTGGAGGTGCAAACCGATGAAGTGGAGCTTCTTACAACACGTCCTGCTGATTTGACTGGCATCTTAGGATATTCAGATGAACCAACAGATTTGGCGGCACCTGAGAACGCTGAAGAAACTCCGGCGTTTCCCACGAGTTCGCATTTAGTGGCAGCTACTTTGACAATCCCCTCCCAATCGATAGAACAAAGTTCGAGGTTAACTCTGGACGGCAGATCGACCAGTACGACTGGTGTACAAACCGATGCAGCACGCATTTCCTCAACAGACTCCTCTGGTCTGTCGGACACTTTAGGATCTTCAATTGAACCTTCTGATTTGGCAGCATCTCAGAGCGCTGAAGAAGAAGCTTCGGCGTCCTCCACAATCTCGCATCTCTTGCCGACTAGACTGAAAATTCCCGATTCGTCAGGCATCGCAGGAGCTTCAATAGAACCCATTGACCTGGCAAGGTCTGAGACCACTGAACACGCTTTAACGTCTACGGTCTTAAATCCCGTTCCAGCCACTTCAGCAATATCCGCCCAGTCGACGGAACAGGGTTCGAGGTTGAAGTTGGATGACGGATCTGTCAGGACGCTAGACGTGCAGACCGATGAACCACCGATCCCCACAACAGGTCCTTTTGATTTGACTGGGATCTTAGAATCCTCAGTTGAACCCACCGATTTGGCGGCATCTGCGAATGTCGAAGAAGCTTCGGCGTCCCCCGCGATCTCACATCTCATTCCAGCTACTTTAAAAATCCCCTCCGAATCGACAGATAAGATTTCGAGTTTAATGCCGGACGGCGAATCTGCCAGTACGATAGATGTACAATCCGATGCATCAACCATCGCCTTAGCGCATCTCGTCGATTTGGCTGGCATGCTCGGATCTTCAAACGAACCCATCGATTTGGCAGAATCTGAGAACGCTAAGGAGGCTTCGGCGTCCTCCACTATCTCGCATCTAGTCACAGCTACACCGACAATTCCGGAACATCCGACAGAACACAGCTCGAGTCTAATGTCAAGTGAGAGATTTTCCAGCACTCTGGAAGTTCTACCGCGAAGTTCCCTCAGCATCAGATCAGTGATTTCGTCCGATAAGGCTGATGGGCATCATCCACTTTTACCTGCTACTGACAAAATTTCTGATGAGGCCTCCACATCTACTTTCGATGGCGGAAATTCGGTTACAACAACTGATATGCCTGTGTCCGGTGCCGATGCCTTAACCGGCGTTTCAGAATTAGGGCATCATTCTTCAAATTCAGATCGCTCAAGAGACGAACTCGTCCCTACAGATAAACCCACGGTGCTGGCCGCTTCTGAAAACTCCTGGAAACATCACGTGACTCAGTTCTATGGAGGTCACCCCGAAGTTGCATCAACAGTTTCATCTGCCGTCGGGGAAGACAGTTCAAGTGCTGATGTTGACAAAAGTTCGCAAAGCACCCAAGCAGCGTACACTGGTCAGACCCTAATTTCGGATCTGCCTGACGACATTTTGGGGGTTTATCAAGAAGGCGGATTATTGGCCAGTTCCCTGTATAGTCCAGAACCGCCGGTGTATCACAATACTAAAGTTGCTGGGTCAGTTCCGTCAACTGTTTCACCTGTCATCGGAGAGTGTACTTCGAGTACTTCACCGAGTAACTTATACGTATCCGTAGACCCAACTTTTGGAAATCTGTCCCCAATCCGCAGACAGTCGGACGCCAGCATGAAAACTCTAAAAGAAGACACCCTTGCGTCCGTTTCTGAGCGACATCAAGAGCGTCCCATGTCTCCCATGAGTGCTACAAATGACGGTTCAAACCTAAAACAAGCGGGAATTAATTCTGTAACTCCAACCGAAACCACGGAGAAAACTCAACAGCTCCCAATGTCTTCGACTGACGTTGATTCCGGAGCGGTTATGCAACATGCTTCATTGCCTACCAAAGATCTCATTTCGACTTTGGGTGTTCAAGAAGTTGCAGACAGTCCTCCTTCAACGACCGTCAGCAGCGTCAGCCCACGCTCAAATTCTGACGAAGTTTCATATAACACCGTAGTCGTGTCTGCCGAAACTCACTCTCCAAACCCGGAGCAGTCGGTAGAAAAACTGGCATCTGTTCAAGCTACAGTTCTGGCCGTATCAGAGAACGCCCAGGAGCATCGTGTTTCGACTACTGATGAGGTCTCGGTTTCAGTTGCGCCAGCCATTTCACTTGCCGTCGGAAATATCAGTTCGCTATTGAACGTAGAAAACGGCGTAGTCACGTCCTCAGACACTGCATCCAACAGTAAAGTGGGAAATATCTCGGGAAACTCAGAAGAACCCTCTGTTTTTACTACTGCCAAGGGCTATGAAGAACATTCGACATCTGTTCCCTCCATGATATCTGCATCATCTGAGTCAGTAGTCCAACAGAATTCACCTTCTGGCCCCAGCAGTTTTGAGGGTTTTCTTAGCACCACTGCCGTCCATCCAGATTCACCAATATTCGCGAATAATTGGGGGTCGGATGAGTCGAGAGATGTTAGTGGTTCGTCGCAAGAAACTGCGAGTTCTTCCGGATCTGATGATTTCCAGAACCATCCCATGTCTCTGTCTGTCACAGCGTACACAACAACTGAACCTACTCAGTCATCGGACGTTAAGAAAGACAATCACAGTTCAAACTTTGACGAAAGTGCTCGCAGTCCCCAGACAATAACCGTAGTACCCAGAGATCAGTCCTCAAACTTGGCACAGACAAGGGATGACTTTGTGACTTTAGCAGAATCGACCGCTCCGCCTACTTCTGAATACCCTCGAGAACAAAAACTATCGACTGAAGTTGCAGTTTCCATGTCAGACGAGCTAAACGACGACTCACGAGGCGAGATAAATCTTTTCTCAAGCCCAGGTTTTGACGGAGGCTTGTCGGGCACTGATGTGCCATCGGATCCCACTCTACTTGGCCCACCGCAGATGAAAACTATTGATGATTCGGCCAATCCTGGTGGCTCTCAAGTGCATTCAGTTGATTCTGGTGTTACTGATTTTACTTCTGCTCCAATACATATTTCACCTGTGGCCAGCGAAACTACCTGGATCTCAGATGGTCATGAAGGTTTCCCTGAAAGTGCCAACCTGTCAAAGACAGCCACATCAGACAGTCAGCCTCCATTCCCTGAAGCGGCGGAGGATAATTCTGAAACTCCTCTGGAACCCAAGCCTTTCACTACTTCAAAGTATGTGTCAAATGCCCCTACCGCTACAGCGGTCACTTCGAACCCGAATGCTCACGAAGGTTCACCAGGCACCACTGATGTACAGACGGATGCATCACTCAACGACCAATCTTTCGGTCCCTACCAGTATGGAACGGACATAGGCATTGCTTCCGAATCCACTGATTTTAGCGCCATGGAGGGCCATTTCACGCCTCCTAATGCTTCAACTTTTAAGAATTCGTACTCGTCCGTCGCAGATAGTAGTTCTGAGGTTATGGAAACTACTATAAACCCGCAAACTGCTTCACCACCTATTGGCCAGACTACAGGCGTTGACCTGTTTGACAAGAACGTGGGTGCCTCAGAAACACCCAGCTTTCCAGCTCACACCGGTACTCCTCAGACACATGCAGTTGAGATTTCAGCGTCAGATGTGCCAACTCCCTCACAATCCGCCGCCCACAAAAGTAAAACTGTCAGCTTCACGGGTGTCTTGGAAGACACCACAGGCGGAGCCGAAACCGTCATTTACACTGAATTTACCCCCGGTGTCGTCAGCAATGCGGATCATGTTGAACATGAGCCAATGCTTTGAGAGAGTGAATGGGAAAGATGACGTCTAATCAGACTTCTGATCGAGGATCCTTCTATCTGATTGTTAGTTTTTATTTAATGTAAAAAATATAAAACGGGCAAAAAATCGACTCTTTACTGAGGGTCTGATCGCAAATATGTAACCTGACATTCAGTTTGCGTAAAGTCCTCCATTACCATTTTGTGATAACAGGTAGATAGCTTATTATGTTCAGTGGGAGTCGCCTAAGCGAGTCCATCGTCCCTTTTCTGAAGGCGGTAGTGGTGATTATGATAAGGCAATTCTCTGCGCAATACACATGCTAATTATAGTTACGGCAGGTGTAAGGATGCAGCTTTCTACTTAATTCCATGGACTCATCTTCAGTCTTCAGATCGTAATGAGAACCAAAAATAGCAAGTTGGGTTTCGACGCTTCCGCTCCCAGCTTGCTCAGCCATTTGCTTTTGGAATAATAAATGTCCTTTTGAAAAGTGAAAGAAAAAAGCCGGAAACCGTAGTGAAAAAAGTCAAGGGGGGGGGAAGGTTCAGTGCTGAATCAAGCTCCCCAAACAGTTGGTTCATGCAAATCGATAGATTTCAATTATCACTACCGACTGCTGTCGGTAGTAAAGGCCAATTGCACGTCATGAGAAAGGCGTGATATTAACTACGCGATCTCTTCGGGCAGCCGGTGATTCACAGAAAATGTGTTGCCAGATTTTCTACTTAGATTGAACAAACTTTCGGTAGGAAGAAAAGGAAATTTGAATTTGGCAGACTTTTCGAGCAAATGCTGTGTAAATGGAAGAAAACAGCACCACTTGCCATTTCTGAGAAAAGGACTTCTTAGCCCTTATCAACCAATTTTCATTAATTTGAACACCTAACTTCCCCCTTTCCATTTCCTGTGCATTCTCCAATGCTTCGAGTTAGCGTACTGCGACCTGTCCCTCGGGCATGACCGTAAGATGGTTTAAAGGATTCATCATCTACAACTGAATGTGTTTGAGTTTCGGTCCTGCATTTTCAACGGAAAATACGATGTTAAGTATATATATTGCTGACAACATTTGAGTAGCATGTTTATTGAAAGTTACATATTGCATATACCGTTTACAATAGGGTTTCCAAAGGCATTGCCTATTACCCTTAAAATATACTGACCTATACTGACCTATCAACATCAGCCCTGGGTAGGTAGGGGGGAAGTCCCCATTCAGGCATGACTCACCTCGATAGGCACGGCACTAACGAAGACGGCCATAAACCAGTTAAGTGTCAGGGTAGACATGTCGATCTCCAGATCCTGCAAGTGCCGGGAAAGGTCTGGACTGAAGTGCTGGATGAGTTCACGCATGACGTTCTGGTCGGCTTGTGCGGCTATGAGACCAGCGTTGAAGTAATTCGGCAAGAAGTGGTGTTCGACGAATAAGACCAGCAGCCTGGGGGAAAAGAGATAGTTCAGTCAAACATATCCGTGGTGTTGCTTTTCACACAGGTTCGTTCATTGCGTTGTAGTCTACATCGGTCAAATAGAAAGTACACGTTTGAAGTAGTACTAGAAGGTGGATACAAGAAGAATCCCAGCGCTGCTTACGTTTTGGTGTCGTAATTCTGCTATCAACGGCTCCTTTTATGTTATCTCTCATAGGTTCACCTACGGGAGTTGTTGCTGGGGCTGATTTGGAAACCAATTCACCTCCACTGAATTGACCATCTTAGACAAGGAATGACAGCACCCGCTACCACCATAACCAATCTACTAGTTCTAGTAGTCTTAGCTCAACACCTTACTCCCTCTAACCGCCGGAAACCGGTGAGTGTATGTAGAGAAAGGGAGAGATTGTGCGGCTGACGCTCATTAACGTTTATCCACCCTGCTCCAAACAAAACGCGGGTGAGGGGGGGGGTATTTTCAAATCGGCTTGAGGGGTGAAATGCCCTACGAGCATTCCATATGAACAGCAGGCTCCGACACAAGAAAGACCTGAGCACACCCACGGCGCTGTTCTTGCGAGCAGAGAGTCAGCGCGTTTTTCATCCACAGCTGTCAAAGGACTACACTGACGCCGCTCGCAGACTGCTCGACCATACTGACTGGTCTTCATGCGCCTGGGGTCGCTACTGATCAGTGACTCCCGTCAGCACTTGCTGACAACCGCTTGTGCGCTAGCATTCGATGAAAATTGCTTCTTCATCTCTTTTGTTCTAAATTTATAATTTAGGTCAGATGTGGTTATGTAGCCCCACCTGAAGTAAACAAATCCCAGCCACATGTGATACGGGACCGATGGTAACAGGAGATTTTAGAGGTGGGGCCAGGGAACGCACAGGCGACGAGGTCAAGTGCTGTATGCAAAAGAAAAACTGTTGGGAATGCGCGGTCGCACTTTGAGTGGTTGAGAAAAAGTTACACTAACCCCTAACTCTACCTCCTAGCCCTAACCCTAACTCCTAACCCTAACCCCAACAGCATTGTGTCCCTCAGGTGGGGTTTACATAAACACATCTTCCCATAATTTAAGATTTAGAGATTTCCGCGTGACACCAGCATAGCAACCAATATTCTTGGCATTGAATGTTTTGGCCAAAAGTCAAGATCGGTCTTACCAGAATGTAGTCTCCTTGTCGAGGAAAAGGGAGGCATTGCCAACGATGAAATTCATGCCTTGGCAATATCCGACCTCGGGGTTATGAAGAGCGAAGGCTTGAAGCACTTCCTGCATTTGTTGTACCTTAATTTAAATAAAAAGCATGCGTGCGGACATCGACACACCAATCGGAGAAGGATATCTTAAGAATCACTTTTTCTGGGTCATCAAAACAAACCCTAAAATCTCTGACGGTAAACTTCAGATGAGGAAAAAAGTGAATTTTCAACGCTTCGTGATTTGCTCTGCAGAAGGACAAAATAAAAAAGTTGCATCATTGAAAACGCAGGATGAACGTGAAAGAATTTGTTATGACAGTCTCACGGATCACAAAAATGCTGCTTACCCGTATAAACTTAAGTCATTATGAATGAGTTTTCTACCACAAAAATAAGTCTGAATTGTCATTGTGTTACCGTATACAGTTGCCACGATTTAGTTTTCTGTGGTTTTATGGCGCACAGTATAGCAAAGCAAATAAGTAGAGTAGGCACATTTTCATTATCTAAACGTCGAATGAACCACTCTCGCACACGAAAGGCAATATGGTGGATCATTTATAAAGTCGATAGCCGAATGCGGGCGTCTGACAAATGCAGTTAAATAGCAAAAAGCCGTGGGCATGAATCGCATTGGGGGTGGGTGAGTGGTTCAATTTCGATCCTGTCAAGCCCCCTCCCCCCTTTCCCCACGAATTTGCATGTCTCTACGACAGATACCGGAGAAGGGATGACTAGAAACTACTCCACCGTTTATTCCAAGATCTCCCTGATATACTGCCTAAAGCATCACAGTCGGAGACCAACAGACAAGGCGTTAATCACATGATTGACTCAAAACGCGCTTTTATCTTCCTACATAAGGGCCGGATCATGGTTGTAAAGGGATGATGCACTCTCTGAAGTCAGTGTAATCTCTGACAGGCTTGCGGCTGCATATCATGAGGGAAATAGGGAAAAGAGTTAACTATTACATCTCATGGGGTAAATCCATGAGCGTCAGCGGTGCATACAGCGCGTGACCTATCTCATGAAATGTTGACTGAAATTCTGAAATGCGTTTTCGATTAGGAAGAATTACTTGGTCGCGGTTGTGATACTGATTATCTGAAGGCATATTCTTAAAATATTTTGGAGTCGGCAGGATGTCGGCTTTAAAAGGCATTTTCTTTACAATCTCCAGGAAAAAACGTGCTCGGTAAAAATGACTACTTATGTAGCATGCATTTTCCAATTGATTTTTGATGTTTTTGAAAATTTAAATATATTTTATGGAAACCACAAACAAAAATGTGCTTTCTTTTGGTCAATCAATAAAGAATCACGTCTTTTTATATTTTATACTTAAGGAAGGAGTATAATTAGGTTTTAAAAAAGTTCCTAATTATGAGACTTTTTAAGACCGCGATATGTCCATTCACATGGCATCGTACCTGGCCGTTTACGACTGCTCCTCATGAAATGTACAACATGGTCCGCATCCATTGCAACATTGTATGGACCCTGTATAATATATCTTTAATGACATAGAAAAATATGGAATTTTCTTTACGCGGAACGCATGCACCTTGTAGAGTGTAATCATTAAGCGCTACTGCAACGGATGTTCATGCTCCACATTTTTCGGCAATTGTAAAACTTTTTTAAAACCTAATTTTACACCTTCCTTAAGTATAAAATATAACGATGACGTGATTTTCTATTGAATAACTAAAGGAAAGCATACTTTTGTTTATGGTTTCTATAAGATATATTCGAATTTTCAAAAACATCGAAAATCAATGGGAAAAATACATGCTAATTAAGTAGTCATGTTTAACCGAGCACGCTTTCTACAGGAGATTGAAAAGGAATGCCTTTTAAAGCCAACATCCTGCCGAGTCCAAAATGTTATAAGAATATGCCTTATGATAATCAGTATTACAACCGCGACCAAGTAGTCCTTCCTAATCGAAAACGCATTTCAGAATTTCAGTCACGCACTGTAGGCTATACGCCGACCAGATGCGTTCGGACATGAAAGTCGGCCTCGTTTTGATTGGCCACTACAACATTCACTGACCCTTCCTCTATCAGGAAGCCAACTATTATACAACGTCGAGCACAACCACCTCCAGACCTCTGTAACATCATTCCAACACTCAATCTGCCAGTCTTAATGATCTATCGTCCATCATCTTGTTTTCAGTAAACATCGATTAGAAGACTACTTCATGAATTTGTCAGTATCACAGAGTGGGGACATCGACAACTGCGCCTCGTTTTTTATACCACTGTCCTGCCAGGTATTTCACCGGTGATAATTTGCCACTAACCTTTTGGAAACTCAAAACCCAATTCTCAAGTGTACGGCGCCCTGCTTAACAAGTGGTTTAAGGGACAGAAAAATAGCAGGTCTTTGCTGACAGCTTAATTCCAAGCCGAGAAGACAGCAACATTCAGCCATTTGTCATTTAAACAATGCCCAATCAATGACCGATCTCACAAAATTTTAACCGAAATTCCCAAATGTGTTTTCGACTAAAAAAGGAGTACCTAAGGGGGCATATACTATGGGGTATCGAACAGTAAAATGCGATTATATCTCAGACATGTCAGAATGTTGGCTTTCAAGTGCTCTCTCTTCCAACTGTATACAAGAACCGTGCTTGGTAGAAAATGAAAACCTAACTGGTGCGCAATGTTTAAGTTTATTTTCGATGTTTTTATAAATTCATATATCTTATAGAGAACATGCACAAAGTACAATTCCTTCAACTACTTTGGCAAACAACCACTGCTTCTCCCTTAGCGTTTGTACTTGCAGAAAGTGTGTATTTAGATTTTAAAATAGCTCAATGTTCCGAACATTTTTTGTCTTATCTAAAGCTGTCCTGGTGTTTGGGCTTAAACCCTATAAGCTAAATATTTTCTGCGTATAAAAATCATGCATTCCTCTAGGTCATGATGAAGATACAATATAGGACTTATGAACTTTGGCGATGGATGTGGACTATGCTGTATGCTTCTTGAGAAGCACTAATAGACGGACAGGTACGATGGTATTTGAATGGAGATTGCGCGGTTTTAAAAAAATCTTATATAAAGGAGCTTTTTAAGACCGGATAATATGCCCTGTTTGGTATAAAACTTTTTGCCAAGTGAATACAACACAAAATACTACTATGCATGGTTTTTTAAATGTATCTGAAAAATCACAAAGAAAGAAATAATTACTACTTTAGCGGACATTTTATATCGAGCGTCGTTCTTATACGAAACCAAAACGGAGTGCCTTCAAAAGTCGAAATCCTAGTGTGCTTGAAATATTGTGAGGGTATGTAACATGTTTGTTATTATTGTAACCTCACTTAAGTAGTTGTCACTGGTTGAGAACACACTTTAGATCTTCGGTTAACACTTCATAAGATCAGTCATGAAATGTAGGGTTATTTCATGCTAATTCATTTACGGAACTGATCCCATTTGTGAGATAAAATTTGGAGTGTCAAAAGTCTTTTTTGTTTATTGGTATTCATCTGCGGAATTGTGAGTGAGATCCGCGCATTTTTGACTAAAATTACTACACTTTCCCATTATGTCTGGCCAAGTTCCGATGGCCAACAGAAGCCAACGTCTGCATCGCAGAAAACAAAGTATGGAAGTCTCAAGAGAAATGCCGAAGAAGAGAAGAGTAACGAGGGACGTGAATAAATCAAATGAAAAAATTACCCCAGTTGCCTCGGGCCTATTAAAGGCCACATGATCAGGAAAGGTCCGCAGAACATCGAGGGTAATCTGCCTGCGATGAGCATAGTTGACCTACGGAAAAACAAGCGATGGGTTATTTAAGAATGGGACTCGCATTATAAACACGGTCCTAAATTTCACGAAATGCACTTATTCCGTGTCCTAACACTAATCCAGACCTTAACCACGAACTTGGACCTAACCTTAAACAATCACTCTATCCCTAACTCTAATCAAAATTTCTCTGGAATTTGGTCCAAGGCTACCTGTGTTGTCTGTGCCCACCGTCGAGGTTCTTTGCCCCACAGCGCGTGTGTGCGCCTTTCACCCTGTTTCAGTGGCCTCCAACCAATCAGAGAAGGGGTAGCGTTGATTGGCCTCGAGCACTGGCGAGGCAAGTGACAAGCCTCACGCCTCCCAGCAGAGTATCGACAAGGAGTGTGGAGCGGACAGAAGGGCGGTGTGACGAAGCGGCGGAGAGCAAGGAGGAGCGAGTCGCCTCAAGGGTTCCTATCCTCATGTCCTACCAAAGTCTCTATGGGGGTATGGCAGTGTATTCCAGGGGAGCTAACGTAGCCTCTTTTTGGGGGCACGACCGGTTTCCGTTTTATGACCATTTCTAGTAGTACATACTGACCGAATTCTTGGCCATCGTGGCCAATCATTCGTTTTCAAGAGGTTTGCTGATAGGTCCTCTAACATACCGAATGTCCCTTACACGCTAGTTGGCCGCTATGAAACTATGACGACCATTAAGCGCACACTTCATTTGGCGCTCGCTACTAACTGCACGTAATCCCTCAACAAAAGCCTTCCTTTAAAATGCGCTTCACTAGCGCACCTTTTAGAACGACCAGTTTACTGGGTAGTAGTGAACGTTCAGCCTTGATAGTGATCATCCAAAATTAGTTGGAGAGTGCACGCCATATCACATCCAGTTCTACACTCTGGTGACCAGAGCGCGGACGATAAGTAATCTTGTTTGTTGAACTAGTAAAGAGTTTGAGTCAGCGACACGTGTGGTGTAAATCCAGCGGGAAGCCAAGGGGAAGACGCATGGTCGACGCCTGGGTACTCGTCCACTGTTTTTGCATCGCGGATTAGTACGCGCAAACTTTGCTCGGTTTCGCGGTTGCCATAAGAGTTCCCTTTAAACTGCATTCTGTGCAATCTTAACTGCCCATTTCCGATTGCTCGCAATTCGGAATTTCATATTTCAAATAAATCCGAAGCACGCGATCTCGCCTAAAGATCTTGATTTGTTTGACTCGCTAGGCAATGTAAAAGCAAGTTTACAGGCAAACAGTTATTCTCCGTGACATTTACCAATTTTTGTCTTTGAGCTCTATTTTATTTCTGCTCGAGGACGGGAGAGCGAAAGATAATTACGGCACTTGTGATGGCGAATAAATTGCATGACGGTCTGAGCTTCTGACGGATACTACTATTAGTAGTATGGGCTGAAGGTGGTAACTAGTAGTTTTGGAAGGGACAGCAGAAATGCGCGCTGACGATGGATGAATGGTAAGGCGTCAGCGGGGTTGAAGTGGGCGGAAGGAAGCGTTCTCGGTGCATCATCAGCTAAGCATACATTTGTCCAAAGAACGGGAGCGTGTTGGTCCAGAGGGCGGACGCAACACGCCACACGGCGGCTCAGCGAAGCGTACCCCGTAGGCTAGCGCGACGGGTGCCATTTGACATTGAGTTAAAAATCAGTGGCAGATGGGATCACTTTGTGCGCCACCGTGTGTATTCAGTCGTGCTGCTTGGCGAATCAGGCCTCAACCACTCTGTCTGTGTGAGTTTGTCAGGGTTCAACACACGTGACTTTGTCGTATCCCACGCCAATTATCCACTTTACTAAATGACTCAACGTTCAGCTTGCAGGTAGATCTAAGCACACAACATTGTGAGGCGCCGAGGCTACAGTGACCCTCATCTGGAGTTATGTTACGACACTACGTCTTTTGACGCATTGACGACATTTGTTCATCTAACGCTACGCGGCCCTGTATGCTGCTATCACCTCGTCTGGTCACCCCCTGAAGCCGGACAGCGCTGTCAGGTTTCCAGCCTTTCACGGCTACCTCAACCAGTTAATCAGTGTTGAGGGCTGACGAGGACATTTCCACCTTCAAAGTTCTTGGATGCCTGCTCCTACGGTGCCAGACATGCGCCTCTTGTCCAACTTCCGACCTCGTCTCCGCCCAATCTATGCAGCATAAAATACCCTCATATCTGGCGTCCGAAATCCCTTCTTTCTCCTCGGGAATGAAGCTGAAGGTCATAGTTGTAAGGATTCGTCCATGGCTTTAGTTGTTGCGACAGGTCCAGCCGACTAAAAGAAACAGGCGAATTCAGACAGCATACAGTGCGTGACCGATCTCACGAAATGTTGGCCGAAATTCTGAGATTCGTTTTCAACTAGGAAGGATTAATTAGGCGCATTCGTAAGACTGATTATCTTGCGGCATAATCCTATAAAATTTCGAACTCGGCAGGATGTCAGCCTTTGAATAGACTGCTTTTCGATCTCCCGTAGAAACCTTACTCAGCACAAAATGACTACTTAAGTAGCGTGCATTTTTTTCTTATAGAAATAATAAACAAAAGTAGGTTTTCTTTCAGTCGTTTGATAGAAAATAACGTAAACATTATATTCTCTACTTCTAGAAGTAGTATACTTAGGTTTTAAAAAGTTTATAACTGTGAGATTTTTCAAGACCGCCAATGTTTGTTGACATAAAATCGTATCTGTCCGTTTACCACGGCTTCTCGTGAAACGCATGACATAGTCCGCATCCATTGCAAAATTTTATGGACTGCATATGGCATCTTTTTAAAGGCATAGGAGAATAGGTGATTTTTTACGGGGGACGCATGCACCTTGTAGACTGAAATCACTAAGCGCTAGTGCAGAGACTGATTAGGCTCCAAATTATTTGGGAATTAGAAAACCTTTTTGAAACCTAATTATACTCCTTCCTTCAATATAAAATATGAAGAAGACGGGATTCTCTATAAATTGCCTGAAAGAAAGCCTATTTTATTTATGGTTGCTATAAGATATATTTGAATTCGCAAGACCATCGAAAATCAGCGGAAAAAATGCCCGCTAATTAAGTAGTCATTTTTTACCGAGTGCGGTTTCTACTGGAGACTGAAAAGCAGTTTATTTTAAAACTGACATCCTGCCGAGTCCGAAATGTTATAAGATTATGCCGCAAGATAATCATTATTACAACCGCGACCAAGTACTCTTTCCTAATCGAAAACGAATTTCAGAATTTCAGCCAGTATTTCATGAGATCGTTCACTCATTGTTAGCTAGGTGTCAAGACAGAGTCACGAAGACTGGAAGTGAAATCGGATGCAATGGCTGACAGGATCCAAGAGCTCTTCTGCGCGGACTACACGCGACCTGACCCCCTGCACAACACGCCCGGTTTTTACGCAAAGGGGTGGGCTACACCGACTTTGCATGCTTTAGAGTACCGTAAGGGCCACACGGAGAAGGCACCACATAAGTGAGGATAATCAGCATGTGAAGTACACAGTTATACGGTACGTTGGAAAATGCAACTTCCCGTTTCTCCCGCCGCCTCTATTTTAAGATGAAGACTCACCCTTACACCTCGTTTCCGGCTATAACCCGTCAGCATATTTATCTTTATATTTTTCCGGAACATCATTCTGTCTTCTCAGTCTATTCCACATCTGATTATTACTCATCGCACCTCCCCATATTTTGTGCTCCCAGCTCATATGGAACTAACCTGCATGTCATTCACTTTCTCCACCAGTGTCTGGTAATAACGTGACCCCATGTCCACTGACTCCTTGCTCAGCCCCAGCTGAATGAGTTTCGTCCAGACTTGGGTTCTCATCTCAGCAGGGATGCCCATTCGACACATCTTCTTCAGTCTAGCCTAAAGTTTGGGGAATGGAAATAAGATGTATGAGTAAAGAAGGCAGTTGTAGGTTTTACAATGGGTTTCTTCTTCTCTTCTAGGAAAATGAACAAGTATTAGTATATAAACACATGGTTTCCATATTCCTGCTCTTAGTAGATGACAAAAATGGCGAAAAAATAGGTTCATTTGCCCAGAACTACTCAAGAAGCCAAAAACTATCTAAGGAATCGGTAGCACTCATCTTGACCTAAGCCACATTACTGTATTATCAAATGAGGCCATTGACTGTTTGGTACATCCTTGCATTACGGAACATAGCGGCCCTTTGATTTGCTGGTACATTCTGAAAATCCATTCTGGTTGCTTGGACTGCATCAAACTACTTAGTGGCAGTAAGCGTGGATCGAAAAACCCGGGTTTCTACGCGAACCGACGCAGAACCCATCAGAGATTCACAGGTCACTTTGGAGGTCGGCTTTCGGGATGCAACACAATTGAATCGGAATATCGACCACACGTCGGTCTACTTAAGCCCGGTTTTATCTGAATCGAACTGTAGGTCTGAATGGACATCCATTTTACAACCTACACGACGACCCGAACGGCAAAACAACCGCAAATACCGACGTTAAAGGGGAGGAGTCTTACTGATACATGCCCGAGTTTAGCTACTAGACGCAACCGACGAGCCTAAGCACACCGTACGCCAGAAAATCACCTCCCTACTGCTGACGAACAGGCCCACCAATAATAGGTCGACCGCAGAAATAGAAGCAATGAAGGAATTAAAAAAGGACAAAGATATAATAGTGCTTCCAGCCGACAAACAATGAGTAACCGTCATGATGAACCGCGTCAATTACAACGAAAAGGCACAAGCTCTCCTCGACGACCAACAGTCCTACAAATCCACGCCCTCCTCGCGTGCCACATCGATGATTGGCCAAATAGCCGGATTCCTGAACCGACTCAAACGCAACAGTGCGATATCGCTAGACGAAACCAACGGACACGGCAGTGGCCCGGTTTTATGGATTACCCAAAATCCACAAGCCCAATGTTCCCCTTCGACCGTTCCCCTGCCTTGAAGGGCAGCACCACTTACAATCTATCCAATTGGATGGCCCGAAAACTTAACTTTCCCTAAGAAGGCTCGAGGACCTTCATCAATTCGGCCTCCCAATTCCTGGCCGTCATCCATGGAGAAGTTGTCCGACCTGGTCGGATTATGGTGTCCTTTGACGTGGTTTCATTATTCACATCCATAACACCGGACCGGGCACGCGACATTCTTCGCAAACGACTCGAAGAGAACTACGACGAAACGAACAGACCCCTAAAAATCGACCACTTACTGCAACTTTCTGCCAACAAACCTTTTTCTCTCTCAATGGCAGAACATACTAGCAGATCAAAGGAACACCGATGGGTTCGCTAATATCCAGCCTGGTTGCAGAACTAGTCCTGCAAGAGCTTGAAAAAGTCGCCTTTAACCACTATGAACCTGCATTTTGGTGCCGGTACGTGGACGACACGTTCGTTCTAATCAAGAGGAGCAGACTGGCCGACTTTCAAGACCTGCTTAACGACATCTTCCCGGACATTCAGTTCACCAGGGAAGAAGAGAAAGCCGAACAGCTGGTCTTTCCTTGACGTTCTCGTCATACGTGCACCCAACGGCGAACTCAGCACCACGGTGTACAGAAAGGCGGCTAACACGACTCAGATTCTCAAATACCATAGTAGCCACCCAATAGCGCATAAACGCAGCTGTGTTAGGGTACTCATCCAAAGGGTACAAACTCACTGCGGTGAACCGGAGGGACGAGTACGAGAACTACGGCATTTTCGGGACCAACTGGCAAGGCACGGATACACAACCAACGGCACCCACAACGAACAAACGGAGGAAAGCCGCCAATACTATGGCACCCTACACCATACATAAAGAACGTGTCTGATGCGATGGAACGTATCGCTAGAGAGTTCGGCGTGGGTATCGCTCACCGTCCGACAGTGACTGTGCGCAACAAAATCGTGCGAGTGAAGGACCGACTAGACCTGCGAGAACAATCGGGTGTCTTTTATCAGATCCCATGTCGGGACTGCCCTCGCCACTAACCAGGACAGACCGGACGACAATTTAGCTCTCGAATAACGGAGCATGAACGAGCGGTCCGGAGAGGCGATCCGGAGGGGCGGCCCGGTGTCTCAAGTCGTCACTCACACCCTGGAGGAAAGCCGCGAATTCAACTTCGCGAGCACGCGGATGGTAGCGCGGGCCAGCAATAAGACAGGGCAAGAACTGTTGCAGGCTTGGGTGTCTGACACCAACTCTATCAACAGACACGTTGACATACTCACCTGTTATCACGTGCCTGGTTCCCCCCGGCCCAGAGGCGAGACCCAGTTTACCTGCCAAGGGTGTACGCAGTCACGCAGTCACGCCGTCGTGAGACGGCCTGGCACTCAGTCCTATCGCGAATACCAACCTCTGCACTCATATCCCCTCCCCCATTCATGGCTTGACTACAAAAACCGCTCATTTGATGCCGCATTCTCACAGTCTCTGACGATGGCCTCCCTGTAAGAGACCGAAAGCTCAGACTAATGCACCTACTATTCCAGAAATTGTTCATCTTCCATACAACCAGACAATGTAATACCGCGTACATACCTGTTTCCACCGCACTCAGAATAAATTATCTTCCAACGCCAAATTATGCTGACGAAAGTATTGACCCGCACAAGAAGTTTGCGCAGAGTGGAGATCGTACTGCCGAAAAAGGAACTAACTTCAGCTGTTGAGTGAACACAACGACGATATTCTATGTGCTGGAGTTTTCGAAAGCCGACAAGGCAACCAAACTGGCAGAGCCAATACAGAAAAGGCGGGTTTGTTGAAATTCATGCAGTGACTTGTGCATGTTTTCTTGTCAAATACATTTCTTAGAATAACTCTCACCGACTTCATAAGTGCGCGTAGATTATCTTTTTTGTCATCACAAAGGCCACCCACCGGACTCTCTTTAAGCGCGTAATTTTCTTTGTGAAAAAATAGCAAAGGACGTTAAAACGACCATTTTGACGTCCATAGCCAGTGCAACTACAGCCACAGACTGAGCTCTGGAAATTTGGAATCCGAATTAGGCCATCATCAAGTATATTTTTACGGTCAAATTACCTCCCCCACATCGTGTCTCTTGAGAACTGAGCGTTTAAATTCAAATGCTACTGATATTCGTCCGACAGGAGAGTGACTATTGCCCCCTGTCATTGAAACCCTTGCCTACCGCATACACAGACGGCGGCATGGCGTCAAGCGAATAGTTGTCAAGAGGTCGCCGATGTAGACAAGAGCCAATAAGATGGGCAATTTTGGTTTCTTTGACGTCATTGGCCAATGATGGGTTAATCTCAGACAAACGGGGGGGGGGGGTGTTCACCGGATGAGTGAATGCCAGTCTCTCTCACAGGACCTTGAATTTTGTCGATCTCATGAATGGAAGAGAATATGCGCATCCCAGGTTCTTGTTTAAAGGAAGACGAAGGCAAGATCACTGGGACAGTAGATTTATTTGCCTGAGCTTTCGAACTCGAACTTGAGTTCATCATCGGAGACTGCTTGAGTGCAGCAACTTGTGAACATTTATATCGCTGCTGCTTGCGAGCGGGGGGACAGGGGGGGAGTAGGTCCGTGGTCAAGTAAGGTTTTTGCAGCCTAGTCGATCTCAGACGTCTGGGGTGCGTGTCGAGCTCAAATTGTAAAGCATGGGAACTAGTAATCGAGGACTCAAGTTCGTCTGGACGCGAAATAGACTATAATTGTCCATTTTTGTGTGACTAGTCACTGCTTGTAACTTTTCTCCATTAATGACTAAAAGTAGGTATAAAAATCCAGACTTTCAAGGAAAACTGGTAGACGTGTGTACTCTTTCAAAGCCATCTCACCGCCCAGCCAACTATATGGCAAACTTGAAACTGTCTTTACGAAGAAGCAAGCGGATATGGAGCCGGTTAAGGAAGAGCGTAAGCAAGTTTAAGAAGGAGGCTGGAGAGGGTTAGGAATAATTTGACGTCAAGGTACCTGTTAACTCATTCATTTGTGTCATCTGAATGCAAAGGTGAGGTTGTTGGTATTATGAATATCGGCCTACCAAAAAGTCCCCTATACAGGTCTTTTATGTGGCCTATTGAAGAAATGGGGGAATTCTTCTTACCATTGAATAGTTCACTATTCGAACAGAAGGCTAGTAAGACCTAGCCCAAGACCCGTTATCGGAATCTAGTCTACTTCATTAGCGTCGTTCTGTCCACGAAAATGCCAGTTCCTGAAACGGACTATGACAATTTCGATTTGGGCCATGCGTTGGATAATCGCATATTGCATTATCGCTATAAGACGACGGGTTTGGAAATGTAGGAGAAAAAGTAGGTTTGGAGTTTTTGCCGCAATTAACGAACCGTCAGTATTGAGATAGATATGGCAGGATCAGAACTTTTTCGGATCGGCTTATTCTCAAACATACAGTCCAGCAGGCTAACAAACCTGCAGAAACGAGGATCGGTTTACAAGGTTACGGTTGCAGGGGTTATTTAATAAATAGATGTCGAGTTCATGCCATTTTCCATACTTTTTCAGCCGCTAGTGAACATGCATTATGATCAACCAGTCTGCTTGTAATAACTCATCAGGAAAACGGGCCATATTCTATGGTGGATGTGCTACTTTGTGAAAAGCTAACTGTAATTCTGGAATGTGTCTCCTGTCTGATTGTGATATTGCCTATAATGCAGTATAAATTCAAAAAAAATTACTCACGCCAGAATACCGGCCTTTTAATGACTTCCTTTTCGCTCGCCTGCAAAAACCACTCTCATGAATTAGTAGTTAAGAAGCAATGTTTTTTTGATTGACCTACGTTGCTATTAAAAAGTCAAGTATACTATATAGAAACATGTAAAAAATATTCTCTCTAGTACTCATTCAATAACATATTACGCCTGTCTTAGGTTTACTACTTAATGGGAGCATCTTTTGTGTTCTTGTATTTTTGAAACCGTGAAATGTCCATTCGCAACCATGTCCATATTCATTGCACAATTTTATAAATCCTATTTACATCTTCCTAAGAGAGTGCAGTAGTGAGTGATATTCTTCTGGCTGAATATATACAGCATGTCGCCTGGAAATGCCTTAAACTTCTCAAACAGCACCCCCCTCGGATATTATTAAGTCGCTGGACAGACGTCTACAACGGCGATGCAGAATAACGAAAGAAAACACACGGATTGAATTTCTTCAGAATTGTATAAGCAGCAAGTAGTACGCAGTGGAGTTCTACAAGATCCTCCGTCGGGGAAAATTACGTCCCACCATAAAAATCTGGACCGTCTTGCACAATCAAAAATTGAGGACTCGGTTGAGGCTGTCGACATAAACAACTCTCGTTTGGACGAAACAAAACATATTCTCGACAAGATAAGTTTCTTCTTCTGGTTACTGTCCATGAAACATGCGTGTATCATACAAAGGAAATCAAGAGACTCATACCGTTTTAAACTAAGGAAGTCATTGTGCAAAAAGTCTACGGACGATTATTTCCCTCCGAGTACAGATGAGCCTATCCTTAGTCTGTCTGACATCAAACTTAATAAGCTACAATCAGAGGCTTTATCAATAGGACCTGACTTTTGCATTCCGAACAGGAGAGTAAACCCAATTGAAATTGAGGCTCAGTTTGAAGACTTGAATTCTCAACTGTCTGACTTAGTACCCAGATCCACTGACGATGTTGGCTGGTTGAAAGCGGAATTTGTGGACATGGCTCATCAGTACCCTAAAGCTCCTATCACACAATTGACTCCATTAACCAATGAACACATAGCTGCCTTATCCGCCTTGAAACTTCATGAACAAATAATAATTTCTAAGCTTGAAAAAGGCCATGGAGTTGTTATTCTTGACCGGAAGGACTATGTGAGGAAAATGAAGTGCATCTTAAAAGATCAGAGCAAATTTCATCTAGAAGCGTCTAGAAAAGATGAAACCAAGGCATTGAAAGACTCAGTCTTGAAAAAGGTCCAAAAGTTGCTGAAAAAAAACTTGATGGATACTAAAACCGCACTAATCTTAAAATCGAGAAGCACACATATTCCCAGACTATATGGTCTTCCAAAAAACGCATAAAAAGGACACACCTTTATGACCAATTCTTTCTATGTCTAATTCACCCACATACAGACTAGTGAAATTGCTTGCCAAAGAGCTAGAACAAATTCGACAATTGTTTTCATTTACACGATAAAAGACAGTCTTCATTTCATTAAAGAAATTAAGGACCAGAACATCGCCGACAAGTGTATGATCTCTTTACACGTGGAATCCTTATTTACCAATGTACCATTGGATGAAACAATATATGCGCCCATGCATTCAAAACCCGACTCGCCCCCTAACCACTACGAAATCTGCCGGTAATTTGCACCAAAGATGTTCAACTTCTGTTTAATGGGGAACTTCACAGACAAATTGACGAAGTCACAGTGGTTAGTCCACTCGGGCCAACCCTCGCCGACGTTTTCATGGGTTACCTAGAAGAAAAGGTGTCATCAAAATTAAACATGACAACATTATACAGGAGATACGCGGATGATATATGCAGGATTATTGGAAACAAGGAAGACGCCTCCAACCTACTTTGCCTGATGAATAATCTGCATTATAAAATCAGATTTACGATGGAAATGGAGCAGTTTAACAAGTTATCCTTCCTGGACGTCCTCATGTTTAGAGAGGATGATGGTTCAATAAGAAGCTCCGTCTTCCTCAAGATTACGTGGACAGGGCTATACTTACATTTTAAAAGCTTTGCGCCAATACAATGGAAACGTAATCCAGTACATACTCTTTTTCAAAGAGCGAAAAATATCTGCTCCAGGGAGACCAAAGATACAGAAACTGCCCGAATTAAAGAAGCCTTGCTTAATCTTGGTTATCCTGCACGCTTCATTCAGAAGTACAGCAACCATTTACGGCCAACGTTGACGGAAGAGTCCGTTCCGAAGAAGCCCGTTATAATATGTCTACCTCTTAAGGGTGACAACGTCTCAAACACGATCAAGCGACGCTTGCGTTGCACTATAGAAAGAACGTACAACGCAGCAGAGCTTACCTTCATCTGTTCCACAAAAAGCCTTCCAATTAACCGGGCAAAGGATGCCTTGCCAATATACGCCACCCCAAAATGTGTCTATGAATTCACATTCACTTGCGGATGCAAGTACATTGGGCGAACGCAAAGGCAACTGGCAACCAGGGCCGCTGAGCATTTGCTTAATTGGCTTTTCAAACAGGAAAACAAAACCCCCCGTTCGTCTATAACGATACACCTGTTAGATAACGGTCATTTGTCGACCCTAAAGCATCTTTTCGAGTACTTGTCTGAGCGCATACAACTCGAACCTTGCGTTTTTTGGAAGCAGCTTACATACGGAGGGAGAAACCAGACCTGTCCAAGCAGTTAGATCACGTTATCAATCTGCAATTGCCCTGGTAATCTCACGCCTCTAGTTTCCCCTGACTGTGATTTATTGTTAACGTTTCGTTTCCCTCTTTCCCATATGATGCTTGTGTGGACGTCTAATCTGATTATTCATTGCCTTGAACACTGACCTAGTTCTTATGCACTGCCAGTTTGTACAAATTCAAACTGCTGTGCGCTTTCATTCGTTACCTATGTTATGCCGAGTCGGGCTGCAGTTGAAAGGCCGTCACGAAATTTTTTGGCCCCAATAAATTCTGCTCTACATGCTTGTTTTCAAAACGTAAGTGTGACGGCAGCAGAAGCAAAAAAATATTCGGGAGTTGGAAGAAAATTTAAAAACCTTAAGATAATGCCCCTTTTAGCGGAAAATCTGAACAAGAAGTCATTAGCTACCAAATGTGTACAAAAGATAAAATTTTGTCCATGTTTTCTATTCAATATAACTGGATTCCCATGGGCATAGAAAATTAAAAGAAAAAATTCACGATACTTAAGCAGTCGTTTATTTAAAAGGCGTGGTTTATGAAGGCGGCCGAAAGGAAACTCATTCGAAAGCCGGTATTCTGGATTGAGTGAAATATTTTAGAATTACACCGTATGATAATTAATAATATAAGTCCTATTAAGATGTCTTCTCAAGTCGGATGCATACTTTAGGATAACTGCTAACTCCTGAATAAAATAGAACATGCGCATCCCAGGTTCTTGTTTTATAGAAGACGAAGGTACGATCACTGGGACAGTAGATTTATCTGTCTGAAAGCTCAGACAAATAAATCTACTGTCCCCGTGATCGTGCCTTCGTCTTCTTTTAACTGCTAACTGTTCATGAATTAAGGAATCTACGATAATCCAGCACTTGTTATTGTGCTGCAGGTTGCGCTGCTCGAATCCGTCAGCGCCTGTACAGAAAGGCAAGGAAACATTAGCAGGATGTCCATTTCCAGCTCCACTGGTAACCTCATAAACACCAGGAGAATCGCATAGATAGTCTGCAGATTAACAGGTAGACACCGGAGGGCACCCCTACAGCGCATACTGGTAATGACAGTGTCGACAAAAGTCACATTACGGAGGCTGGTCCTGCGCAGACCCTGAGGTTGCCATGGCCAAAAGGCCAAATGACCTATCGTCCTCACTATCACTTATATCAACCTACGTACTTCCAGTGTTTCTCTAATGCATGATTATGACTAAGCCTAACCACTTCCTTCCCTTGATGTCCTCTGTGCAACCTCAACTAACCGCCCCATCCTCTGAATACTAGTCAAGCCGGATCTAACCCAGTTAGATTGCTCCTTGCATTTGGAATGTGAACAGGCAAACTAGGCATTTATGAAGTCTTTAGATGGTCAGCTGATCCCACCCTCAGCAAGGTATTGCTTCACAGATCGCTCCTGCAACGATCCGCAACATGAGCACCGTTCACCTGGAACAAAAAGATCAAGACGTTGGCCTGAAAGTTCATGCACTTCTGTAACTTCTGGAGGCGGACGATCATGTGTATTACCCCCGTTTAACCACAAGACACGTGAAAGCCTGAAGTGCAGCATTTCAAGCTAGAAAGGACCGATTTGTAACAGTGTAAAGAGTAGTTTCTTCTTAATTTCCTTAAAAATAAACTGCAAACTTGGAGTAGATATGTATATTTAAGGTCTATAGGCTCAGTCCGAAGTCTTTTTATATGAATAGTTGGGCCGAAGTCCATCAGCCAGGACGGAAAGCCGTGTAATATCCACTAGCTGCCTACGGGCAGTTAGTAATATATTTAAGGGTAAGGTGATTCCATACTTACGGCACAGGTACCCGTCAAAAGCCCGTACACGCGTGGGACTCTTAATGGCCGTTCATAATTCGTCATATTTCTGCATTAACCAATGTGGCTTGTAAAGTTAACAGTATGGATCGAATTCACTGCGTAATTTAATGACCCCTATATGATACCCCTTTAGTACCGTAAAGAAACGTATGGATTTCCGTACGCGGAAAATATATGGCTTGTAATTTGGAATCCCTAAATCCAAATGTAACGATAGAGCGGGTTAAAATTATTCGGGAATTGTACAAGTTTTTAAAACCGAATCATATCCTCCTTCGAATATAAAATTAGAAGCATACGTAATTACCTACCAAAAGAGCAAAATAATGAATATGTTTTTGCATGTTTTCCATGAAATATAATTGGTCTTTTAAGCGCATCGAAAATCAATGTGAAAGATTCATGCTACATACGTAGTCATTTTTTATAGAGTGTAGTTTGTGCATGTATCCGGTAGGAAGTTCATTCAAAAGCCGGCATTCTGAGGTAATTGAAATATTATAGAATTATTCTGCAGACTGACTAGTTCGACAACGTCACTTAATGAATGCTTTCGAAACGAATATGCATTTCAGAATTTCGGTTGACATTTCATGAGTTAGCCCATCTACTGTACAACGCAGGGTTGGAGAAGGAAATATCGATCTGCTCCCATGTCCTAGCTTCAAGTCTAACTTCAATTTTGGCATACGTCGCCGTAAGTTTTAACCCGAACTCTAACTCTCCTGCCCCTCACCCTCACCATAAACCTTACACCCCTGGGAGATAGCGCAAGGCATGTGTAGCAGATGGGGGTCCATATTCCCATGACCTACCGATAATCGACCAAACCAAGGTGACTAAAAAGCAGTGAAATCTCAACAGAGCCCCGCTCCTTATGAAGACATTTTTACTGTGCGGCCAAACTGCCAACGAAAATAGATCAGATATTTAATGCTGCACCTGGATGCAGTGCGGACCCATTGAGGAGACCACATTATTTCTGGCAGCATTTACAATTTGTGCAGTATTCATTACATTCAGACATTGTACGTAATTTTTATTTTACAGCGACTGAACAAGACAGCAATTGTGCTAAAGAGCATAATAGTAAAAACTGCAAGAAGTGTTCTAAACAACGAACAGAAAAAAAACAGGATCTGAGTTCCACTAGTGAAGTAGGTGAAATCATTACGTGTTTTTGGCAGATTTGAATACTTCATTTGACCCATCGGTGAAGAATCCGGCAACCTCGGTGGGGCTTAAACCCACGACAGCGAGAAAAAGGCTTCCTCACTGGGAACCGTGAATTTAATGCTATTCCTGTCACTTTGCTCGTCCAGCTTACCGCGATGCATGGACTTCACCAAACGTGATTAAATGCGGTTACACAGGCGATAAAGGCGTTGCCTGTCCTCAAGACTAGTCTTCGCTGTCGTGAGTTCAGACCCCACAGATGACGCCGAGTTTTTCCCAGTCGTATCATATCAGTTAAATGAATTCACTCATTCAGCTGGGTAACGTTGCCTTTTAGCACAAGCATAATAGATGCGAGTTGTCAAACCTTCCACGTTATGGATATAATACGGATAAATTGAGGAAATCGCTTAGCAGCTATATATACATGCACATATTCCGAATGTCCATCGACATGCGAGTCCCAGCAACTGAATAGAATACCTGGTTTATAAGGCCGCCTTTTCATCTTATTCAGACCCAAACCGCAACGAAAGAGAGGTAGATTCGATTATTAAAAAACGGGGGGAGTTCTAGGTTATCCAGACCTGGAGTTCGGCGTAGCTGGCCGGCGACAACTAATTAGTCACAAATGGCTATCCAGTCTCCATTGTCTTCGATGGTACCTTATTTCGGCCTATATATAATATTTTTTTCTAAAGAACCCTAAATTTTTTCATTCTATCGTCTAGGAAGTCATAAAACCTCTGCTCTACACATATATAAATATAAAAACTAATAGGATTCCATCGACATTTGGGATTCTTATTTCGACAAAACAAATGCCGGAAAAAATCACTAAATTCCCGAAAAACATTTCATTTGTCCAGTACGTGTATCTAGACCGATAATGCCATCGTAGGAAGACAGCGGTCCATTTAACCGACGTACATGCCGAAAAAAATAAGTAACAACCGGTAAAACTTTGAATGAAGTACAACCTTAAAGTCTTGTAGGTATGCGAACACACTCCTCCCCTTACCCTTCGAATTAAATGACAGTCTAGTCCTACTGATTCAGGGTTGCATTTAATTAAGAAGTATTTTTAATGAATGCGATGGGGACTGGAATGTGGATTCTGGCGCAATCTTCGTCATCAGTCGACAGTACTGGAGTCAATGAATCGGCGGCAGAATATTCGACGACTAGAAGACCTGCTTCTGAGTCTTTTTTGGCCTACAGGGGAGACATGGCGAAGAAAACTGGCCAGCGACGGCCATGGTTCTATCGGAAACGAGGCAGTATGCAGTGACAATTTCCAATCTGCTTGCAGTTTTAAGCCAGTCATGCTGGCCTGGAATTAGAAAGGCCCCGAATCCGCTATCGTTTGTCGTTTGGATTTAAATCGACAATAAAACCGGTGGTGTTACGCTCAGAAATCAGTGCAAACAACTGTACCCCAGCCGACAGAGTGCAAAAACATGTCTCAGACATCCCTGCTATGTGTCACTACACCTTGACTGGTTAGTGATGACAGCGCTATCACTTCTGCATTCAGGCGAAGGTGGAGAAAGCTAATGCCCACCGTCGTCTGCATTGGCTACACACCGCCCCACCACAGTCCTACCATAATCCCTCACAGTCTCTCCGGCAGGTAGCATTGGTCGTTGGGCGCCACATCTTTCCCCAAAACCGTCCACAATCAAAACGATTTTGTCTACTGTTTTCCTGAAGACTAAACTGACAGTATAGCAGTATTAAAGGTATTTTTCCCACGGAAAGAAAGCCCAGATAAAACAGGCGCCTCAGGAAGCCGTTACCAGCGGCCTTCTCTTGAAAAAAAACTCTTGCTACTGGCCGAAAGGAGAATGCTGCCCTAGCGACTACGCCCAAACTGCAGAAGCACACAGACACACAGTTTCACCTCTAAGAAGGAAGCCGCACATCCTCCACTCCTCAAACTACCACAAGGGGCGACTTACGTGCCATTTTTGGCTCATATGAACATTACGCATGGGCTTGTGCTTAGAAAAACCCGGCTAACAGGGAAGAGAGTTTCTTTCTGTAGCGCAGGTGGCCGGAAGAAACGTTTCACCGGTAACAAGCAACAAGCGTGAAGCAGGCAATTCCGGTAATAGGAAGATTAACAATAGAGGCACTGCTATATATATTTTTCTTTACAGAAGTCCAAACATGGAAGTGGGAGGGGGCTTGCCTCTGCATCAGTCTTACCCGCGTGTTTATTCAGACAGAACCCATGCCTTTCATGTGAGAGCTGCGTTCGCAGAAGCGTTCTCACTGCAGGATGAAATGCGGATTCCTATTTGCCTCAAAACTGCTGTAAGGCCATAGTTCCCTCGCTGTTCCATAACAGGGAGGCTATAACAGCCGCTGCGCGCACGTCGTTGTCGGCCAGCCGCGAACCAAACAACTAGGTAGGACAACTCCGTTCTTTATCATGCAGTTAGCAGATAGTTGAGTTATGCCTTCTACAGGCTTGAATCCCGGCCTCGCTCTCCGTCGCCGGCTTACTGGAACCGGACTCTGGGGACCTCTCGATTCGACAAATGGCGACAAATTCGACAATGACCAGTCCCATTTTAGCCTATTTGTTGACACTGGGTAGGTTAACAAACTTATTTGGCCTGCTCCTAATTTTTCTCTCAGCAATTAATTGACAGACTGGGATTAGAACTGAAATAAATAGGGCGTAGAATGGAACTACCGACTGCGCTGTCGCTTTATAGAAGCACTGAGGTAGGACTCTGGAATGGAAACCTTTCCGCGGCTACACGGGTGGTCTTGAGCTAAATTCCACTGAGATTAGATTTAGATTGAAGGTATATTTCCTCGAATGTAACAGAGGTCAACTGGATCACGGAGGCGGAACATTCTATTCCCCTGACTTACCCGGATATTTCAAGCCAATATATACAGTGAGTGACCGACCTCATGAAATGTTTCCCGGAATTCTGAAATGTGTTTTCGATTAAGAAGAATTACTTAGACCGAAGTGCATTTCTGATTAACATGCGACATAACCCTAAAGTATTTCGCACTCAGCAGGATGTTAGTGTTTGAATACACTTCTGTTGGACTTTCTGTGGAAACTACAATCGGTAAAAATGATTACCTATAAAGCATGCATTTCTCACACAGATTTTCGATAGTCGTCTATATTCAGTTATATTTTATGAAAAACGTGGACAAAAATATGATGCTTTCCACTCGTTTAATAGAAAATTACGTCATCTTCATATTTTTATACTCGAAGAAGGAATATAAAGTTGTTTTAAAAAAGTTTCTAATAATAATATTGTTAAGACTATGCAATGTCCATTCATACAGCATTGTACCTCTCCGTCTACCACTACTCCTCAGGAAATGCATAACATGATTCGCATCCATGTCAAAAGTTTATGGAATATATGTTGTATCTTTTTAAAGACATAGGAGAATATGTCATTTTCTTTACGCGGATTGCAGACTGAAATAATTAATCCCTAATGCAACGACTGATCAGACTCCAAATTATTCGGGGATGAGAAAACTGTTTAAAATCTAGTTATATTTCTTCTTCGAGTATCAAATATGAAAATGAAGTGATTCCCTTACAAGCGAGTGAAAGGAAGCATATTTTCGTCCCTTTTTTCAAAAAAATGCATTTGAAATCATAGGTACTCATTTCTACTGATAGTCTTTCCAGAGGAAGTCAAGCAGAAGTGCATTCAGATGCTTACACACTGCCGAGTCCGAAATGCTATAGGGTTAGGTCGCATGTTAATCGGAATTGCGACCCCATCTAAGTAATTGTTCCTAAGCGAAAACGCATTTCAGAATTTCGGCCGACATTTCATGAGGTCGGTCACGCACTGTATAAATATATATATCAGATGGCAGATGATAGAGTCTGGGAGAGGGCAGATTGATACAGTACTGTTTTGCGCTTGTTTGCCTTCATCCAGCCAGTCATACCCTCGACCACCAGTTGGGACGCGAAACACAAACATGCGCCCACACATCTGGCGTGGTTGTTTCAACACTGGGTGCTACTAGATGAGTCATAAGCGCCTTATCGAAACGAAGTGGACGTGTCGAGGCAGTGATGAATTTCGGTTCGATAAGGCGCTTATGACTCATCTGGGAGACCGCAGTGGTGAACCGACCGCTCCAGGTGTGTGGGCGCATGTTTGTGTTTCGGGTCCCAGCTGGTGGTCAGGGTTATGATTGGCTGAATTAAGGCAAACAAGCCCGAAACAGTGCTGTATCAGTTTGCCCCTCAGACTCTGTCAGCCCCCTTTGCTATCATAACTTGACCGAATTCCGTCCGGTAGGTGGTTGCCTGCTCTTGACCCCTATCACTCGTATGAAGCCTGTTGGCTTCGGGAAGCCAACGGATTGGTGTCCGCCTACTCCCGAGCATCAGATTATTCTGGCCTTATAATTCCGCAAAATTGACAACAATACTAGTTGGCTTTAAGTATTCAACACAATTTTAACGGCTGTGGACACTTGTGCTAGTTTGCGCAGAACAATGTAACAAAAGAAAGACATTGATATTCCTACAGCAACCTCTCTCTGGGATCCCATGCTGAAATACCCGGACTGAAAATACGGGTCTGAATTTTGTTTAAATTTAAAGAAAAAAAGTAAGCCTTTTTACGTACTGTGCACATGGTTAAATCTTAAAACAGTTATCCCCTTTGATATGACCGACACCTCGAAGCCACGTGATGATGTCATACAACGGGAGTAATTGCGGTCTCATTGATAAGGACAAATAAGTCACAGGATGTGGAAATTTATGAGCTGCAAAACTTACTGATCATTTTCAATGGACTGGGACGAACAACGAGAGTTTTTTCTCTGGCAAATTTCTGTTTACCTTCCAGCGCATACATTTCGACCTGGAACTAGGAGTCTCGCCTCGTTAGCGCCAAATAATGTTCATGCATACTAATAAAGGCAGATGTTGCATTTTGACCACAGTACGCTGCATTTAAACGTCGCATGGAATGTTGTTAACGACTTTTTTCATCTAAATGGCTAACCATATCCTTGAAGTATACAAACTGGTTGGGCGCTGTAGTCTTCGTTTGTGCATCACTGGTAATAAGTGATTTCTGGGGTATCTTTCAACGTGTACGGACAAATTCATAACGATACGAAAGTGTTCGCCATTTCTCCATTGGGTGCCTTGTAGGCGAAATCAACTCCCTGTTCTTTTCTCTTACCTCCTATTGTCTCATGCATCGACGTACGGTCTCTAGTACACCCAGTTCGGAGATATATTCTAAGCAGATACTTTATTTAAATACTTTCGTTGTCAAAACAGTGACTTTTGCACAATTTGGTAGGACGTTAACAGAACTCCGTTTGTTATAGGTAGGATAATTACGCTCGTATCGTGGAATATCGTCCACATTAGTTATTTCGTGGTAACCTGTAGTGTCAAGTGTCCTACCAGACTTTTTCTATAAGAGGGCATAAAGAAAGTTTGCTGTCAACCTCTTTTACGACTCTAAATGTGATGTTGACTTCCCAACAATGTAAAACATTTGCATTTGATCTCTCTTAATGATAGCAAATGTGCCATTCAGGTAATGTCCCCATAAATTGAGATTACCTAATGGCAGAGTGGTAGCTTTTATCCTTTGCTCCGCGACTTCAACAAGAAAGTAGTAGGTGGACAATAGCACTTCAACTGCTGGCAGTACTCCTGGGCGAATGGAAAGTCCGTTTTCTGACAAAGGTCCAAAAGTTTAATCAAGGCAGAATTTCAAGCGCTCTCTTGTACGCCACCTTGTTAAATCCAGTAGTATAGACGTGAAGATATAGCCAACATTAATGGACACCATTACCGTGTTTTGCAATATTTTGTCAGTTCAGCAAATGAAATTATGGATGAACCACGTGCCATGGCTTTTGGTTAGTACCAACGTTGAGACTAGGTTACAACCTTTACTGCATACTTATGGGCAGGATCTTATTTCGTAGCCGTACCTGTTAAGGTTAAATGTTAGGGGTCAGAGGTTATGGGTTGGGGTTAGGGATCAGGGTTAGCGGTTGGGGTTGGGATAAGGGGTTAGGATGGAACCTGTCAGCAGCAAGTACGCCTACGAAATAAGATCCGACCTACTAATATTGGAATTGTGTTGGCCGATGGACTTACGGGCATGCTCGTTACGTTGTGGTTTGGGGCTTTATCAAGGGCCCACGAAGGCGGTCGCATACCGACCGAGATTGCCGACAAAGACAACAGAGACTGGAACGATCGATTTTGGCTAATTACCACCCTCAGTCAGTCCTACTCATCCACAAATTTGAAGGCGCCGAGGTTGAAGTCCGCGTACTTTTGGCGATGAGGCGTTAGTACGTATAAAGCTGTAAACATTGAGCCACAGATCTTTTTCCCTATAAGCTGGGACCGGGAACATTAACTATGTTGGAAATCTGTTAACCGCTCGGGTTACGGGACCGACTTGTTCCGTTGTGCGTTAGGGTTCCCACCGGAGCCCGACAAACAGCCCGTCAGCGATTATTAATATAGGCAGATGGAGATTATTTATCACAACTAACATGACAGCGATTCAATGACTCATTTCTTAGACCATTGGGCTTACCAAAGACGAATAACCAGGATAACGCGGGTTCGAACCCCAGGTGTCCCCTAACCTGGGGTTGGTTTAAACTGACTGACGATGGCCAATAAGTCAGAAACGGCCTATCAAGTCCACTTTTCTTCGACCGCAATCTTACATGCCAGACCGCAAAAAACGGAGCTCTCAGGTACATGACCGCTAACCGGCAGGGCAGAAGGGGAGCACCCGTCGTTCGCAGTTTGTTCATCCATTCACAAATTGGCCATAATTTTAGTGGCGACCCTATGACGTCGTCGTCGTCCTCGCCCTCCTCGCCTCCGGCCAACAACACCACCACCACCAACAGCACCACTTCTGGAGGATCTCGGGAAAATAAGTCTGCTTTCAGATATTTATGGTGGCTAAGACAGACTGTCGTTCACTAGCGAGGGAAAGAAGTGAATCTCAATTCCAGCGTTTCAGAGGGTGATCTTGAACTTACCGCTTAGATATTATACTTCAACTCAAACAACGTACGAAGGGAGGATTTTATGCGGATTGCACTTCCATTTTCGATGCTTGCAACCGCCCACATCCACTGCATGCCTTACGAAGTGAGCGCGGTACCGGTGACCTAAGTGTGCATTGGTTTACAGTGCGGTGCGTATGCACAACATCTACCGCACGCTCTATTCCCTCACCGCCAGGCTCTGGCGGTAAGACAGTTTTAAAACTACCGGGGCAGATTCGGGCGCAGTAAACGGCAAATCCAAATAGCGCGTAAACGCATGCTACACGCGGCCGATATATTGGCAGCTCGAGTATCACACCAGTAAGAGTGCCATAAAGGCCACATAAAGCCGTTGCAGCCTGACTGTTGGATTTGAAATGGATCGAATTATCCTATAACCTGGCACATTTTCAAGACCTGAACCTTAGTGCGTCAGACTTGTTGTAGAGAGATGTGTTGATGTGCCAGTGACGGACTCTCTCTTCACCCTCCCATGCACCAATCAACTGTCCCGATCTGTCAACTGAACGCCTCAGGACGCCGATCAATAAATCGATAGTGCTGACTGTATGCGCACCTGTCACAATCGCGACGCTAACGTCTCAAACATCGTTACTGTTAAATTTCCCGAATGCGTTGTGGGTTGGGGCCACAGTCAGGCGGATATTAAAGACATAAATCCACTTCGCTTTTTGCCGGAGATGAACTATTTACGAAGACAGAACACCAATCATACCCTCGGCACTTGGTGGAAGTCCGTGTCAAGGATACTGCTCCACTGGAGCTTCCGAACCATCTCGTCTGAGGAGCGGAGTGTGTAGAATTGTGACAGGCGATTGCAGAGGTAGAGCAGAGCGTGGTCGGGGTTAGCGAAGCTGTGTACGAAACCATAGCAGTCCATGTGGTTCTGATTTCCCGACAATCTATGTGGGAGAGAAGGCATCAAAGGAGTTTGCAGAATGAACGTCCCTTAGATGAAATTGAATAAAACGACGCACAGGACTTACAATTTTCCTGTCGGCAAGCGTGGGTCATAGTTTCGAGAGACTTCGAGGAGTTGACAGACACGGTTCTTGTGCTGAAGTAAAGAGAATTGCAAGCGATAACTGTCAGGGTTCCGCACATTTTCGTGACCAAAAAGACGGTGGCGAGTTCATGAAACGAAAAAGCAATATAGTGAGTCACTGTCTTCAAAAGCGTGTTCTTTGAATGGCTTCCGCAGGAACAAAACGGAGATGAGTAGTTGACTTGGCAACATGGATGTGCTGTTCATTCATGCTTCCCGTTTCAGCTGGGAAACGCCCTATAGAAATGTCGATTTTAACAGCAGTCACTGCTTTATAAACATCGCCGAAAAATGAAGTAGGCTCGGAATATTAAGAAATTGTAAGTTCTTACATGTTTTGGCAGATTTTGAATAGTTCATATTGATCAAACTATGAAAAACTCGGCACCCCGGTGGGTTTCGAACACGCAAAAATAAGCGAAAGGCTTTAGCACCGCCAACGCTCTAACCACCTGCCAGACGACGTGAATTTAATCACATTTGGGTAGAGTTGCCCGCCAAACCTACTTCAATGACTGGAGTCAATCAAATCTGATAAAGTAAGTTGACTGCCCAAGCAGGATTTCCCAAGTAATGCACCTAGAATCCACCAGATGACTACCAGGCTCACGTAATTCATAAATGTTTTGGCAGATTTTGAATAATTCATATTGACCCAACTGGGCGGGTAACTTAACCTAACTGTGATTAAACTCACGTTGTCCGGCGGGGCCTCTTAGCTCATGTTGCTCATGTACTAAAGCCTTCCCCTAACCGTCGTGAGTTTGAATCCCACCGAGTTTTTTCTCAGTCGGATCAATATGAACTATTGAAAGTTGGCAAAATAGCCCAGGGAAAAAATACCGGGTACTAATGTTAAGCGGTTACAGTACAATAAGCGCAAAAAAGAGAGTCGCATTTGAGGGGAAAATTCCGTATAAAAAAGGACGTTGACAAAGGAGGCATGCCTAACTTCAACATTAACTAAAACCGTGAAGTCAGGTCGCCTGTCTTTTTAACGCCGGGGTTACCATTTGTAAAATCGCGATGATCGCGACAAGAAGACTCCTAAATCAAAAGTCAGGAGGATACACTTGGTCGGACAATCTATGGGCTCAGTGGCAGCGATTGCTATAACAGGCCAAGTGCCAGGAGGTGAAATTTTTAACCCCCGGGAGGCGAAGTGCGTGTTTACGTCTGGATTTTGAAGACCTGCAACCAATCAGTCACGTTGTGACCATACGAGGTCAAATGACGTCGGGCGCAAGCAGTGATGTGTCCAATATTCGTTAGGCCACCAAAAGGCCGCACCGATGAGCTGCCGCACTGACGACTGGGGAGCAGACTGGCATAAATCCACGCGCAATTGAAAGTGGAGGCCAAGGGGGGGGGAGGGTTAAGTTGGCAGGCTATTTTCAAACAGCAGAGGAAACCGGCTACTGGGTTCGTGCCAAATTCGGGCTAGCTGGCCAGTCTCTAAGAGCTGACATTAGTCGACTAACATGCTCGACTAACATTGACTGATTGTTGTAAATGTCGTACAGAAAAAGCAGTTTAGGACGGTCTGGCCAACTCAGAATGCCCACTAGACACAGCACAAGTCAGCTCTCATTAATATTCTGCCCTGGCTTTGAAGCTGATGGTTGGCCAGGCGTCATTCAGAGTTTTTCCCACTAGTGATTGTCGCAGGAAACCCAGTTTTTCGCCTCAAGTTACGATTCGAGGCATGCGATATCTGGCATGTTTTTATGCTCTTCTTTTCATCTGTCAGCCACATTACTTCAGCAGTCAAGTTCCTAATTTTGCATCATTCTTAACACATGCAAATTTAGGCGTTTGAAATGAATCGTGCTCTGTTTAACACTTTCAAATCTTCGTCCTCACATTGTTCTGGCTGTCCAGTGTTTCCCTTTTTTTCTGTCTCCAAATCACCAATTTAAAAGAGTTTGGAACTCTTCCTGAATGTTCATCCAGAGAAAACATTTTCGTCAAAAGCTTTCTCAAGTGGACGATGACTTTTAGGTCAATATATTTAAAATTAAAACAAAAAGCAAGGCATCCCGCCGAGCTTCTTTTTGTTACATGATTCGCCGTCCGCCTTCAACCAACTATCGCAAATTAAAGATGACAACTTTGTTCAGGCATTCGGCAATACATTTTTTGTCGTTCTTAGTCATTTGGAAGCGACGCCTGTTAACATACTTTAAAAACCCGAGCAAATACAATCCCCCAGCCCGATGCTTTGGTGCCAGACGCCCTGATCAGTTGTATTATAACAGTTTTAGGGGTAGTACGTGCAATTAAGAGAGGGACACTCGGTTGGCGTGCGAATTAAAAAAACTTGGGAAATGCCCACCGACTTACTTTGTCATTGATCTCAATCTCGGGCGACTGGGCCAGATCTATGGAACCGTCAAGTCTGTAGGTACAGCAGGTCTGCAGTAGGGATGTGTAACCTATTTCAACATCCAGAATCTCTTGCTCAAGCTTCGCCTTTTCTCTAAAGAAGAACAATATAAGGGAGAACATTAAAGTGGAGAAATACGACGGTTCAGTAGTCTTATCTGCTATCACACTACCGCCCTGTCCCCCGGTTATTTATCATTTCAGTGCTACTCGTCAGCAGTCAGTCGCAGGGGGAAAATGAAGCGTTCCGCAGCGATTAATAGTCTTTAATATCCTTGCCGGTGAAGCAGAATGCTACAACTCGGTCTTCTCCACCTACAGGTTCCCCAAAGCCCTCTCACGCTGTAGCTCGTACGCTAGGCCCGCTTTTGCCACGCACTACAATGATTTTCCAACAGAAGACGAGGTAGCGAGCATGCGTAGCTTTCGCTAAATTCTCATCGATCCAGTACAGTTAAATGGGAACGGGGCAGAAGTAAAACATTTCAGCAATAGGAAAAATCGATAAAACAGCTAATCGATGAACCAGATCACCCCTTATCTGCCGTCCGTGCTGTGAAGTTTTCAGCAACCGATTTGCCCTGAAAAAGCTAACTGGTCATCTGTACTTGGGCCCCAAATTGAAACTGTTCTTCTAAGTCTGCTTTCCCATTAGTCAATGACATTAAGCCATGGGTCTTCACTCGCCCAGGTTACCACATACGGGCGCAGGAATGCTGATCAGATCACCCCCGATTGTAGTTTTGTCTGCTGGTGCCCATTTGTCCTGTCGGATGTGTCCGTTTCTGTGGACATTAGTGATTTATTCCATCAGAACTTCACACGAATAATCCAAGTACTGTGCTTTGACATTGCCTTTGGGTTTGGATGTGACCCCTCCGTCGAAAAAACCAACACCTAATAACCTACGGAGCAAGTTTTGACACGGACGGAAGCCCACAGGTCGACTCATGGTCAACAACATAAGTACAGTGAGTTGCAGATCTCATGAAATGTTGGCCGAAGTTCGGAAATGCGTTTTCGATTTGGAAGGATGACTTAGGTAAAGTTGTAATACTGATTAGCATGCGGCATAATCCAGTAATATTTCGCTTTCCGCTTCCCAGTCTGGGCTACCAACTGCGATCTAGTCAAAATGACTACTTAAGTAGCATGCATTTTTAGCATCGATTTTCGATAGTCTTAAAAATTGAAATAATTTTTATAGAAAACATGTGCAATAATATGCTTTTTTCTACTCATTCGGCGGCAAATCAGACCGACTTTACATTTCATGCTTAAGTACAGGGTATAGTTAGGTTTTAAAAAGTTTTCCGATCCCCGAATAATATTAAGCCAGATCAGCCGTTGCATTAGTCTTTAGCGATTTCATTCTATGTGGCGTATTCTTTTCGTGTAAGGAAAATAAGTTATTCTTTTATGCCTTTAAGAAAATAGCATTCAGATTTCATGAAATTTTGCAATAAGTGCGGACATTTCATGAGGAGCAATAGGAAGCAGACATGCACGATACTGTGAGAATGCACATTGCACGGCCTTGAAAATCGTTAGATTAAAAACTTTTTTAAAACCTTAATATACCCCATCTTAAAGGGTAACGTATTAAATAGACCTTATGTGCCACCGAATAAGCAGTAGAAAGTATATTGTTGTTCATGTTTACAAAATTTATTTCAACTTATATGACTATCGATAACCAATGCCAAAAATGCATGCTACTTGATTAGTCATTTTTACCGAGTTTGGATTTTGTAAATCAAAAAGCCGACATACTGAAAAGTCCGAAATATTACTGGATTATGCCGCATGATAATCAGTATTACAACGTTACCGAAGTCATCCTTCCAAATCGAAAACGCATTTCTGAATTTCGGCCAACATTTTATGAGATCGGTCACTCACTGTAAACATGTTTTTGAAAAACTGGACACTCCCATGTCCGAGGTAGTCAGGATGCCGTGGCAACGAAAGCATAGATTAATCGGGTTGCCCGTGTCCTGGTAAGTCCTTCCACCCACAAACTACCATTTTTCAAAGGTAGACTCAAAACTGTAAAAAAAAAACGAGGACTCCGACAAACTATGTTACGAAAACCTGTCGAAATCGTCGCGTGACGTCACGATCATATCCAAATCGAGTTTTAAAGAATCAGGAGTTTCTATCTGACGTTCAGTCAATCCGTGTTATTAATCGATGGCGGAATCTACTTTACGTCTTGCCTTTTCTGTCTACGGGCGCCAATGACACCAAGGCGGCCTACTGGCGACATAGTCAGCCTTGACGTAATGCATCTTGCGAGGTGGCGTTAGATGGCAGGTCAGTCACTGTGGATTGTTATATCGGTAACCCCGGTGCGATCCGAACCCGAAACATTTTGGCTTATTCATGGCTTATATAGCAGAACGCAGGGAATGCTGAGCGTCCGCCACTCTCATCTGCTTTTGGAATGTAAAATCGAGCTAACAGTACAGAAGATTAGTCCAGGCTTGGTGGCCAAATGCAAGGCCAACCTGCGATGTGAGTCAAACACGTTTTTATGACCTTAGTTTCCCCAACTTTGAATGTACTTCTTTTGGAAAGTAAGATTCGTCGCATACTGAACGCCTAATTAAAGTGGATGAAGGAGCATCTGAGTCCTTGGACAAGCCCAGATGGGTATGCCTGGTAATTCCGGGCAAAAAGTCGGATCGGTTTGTCTCGCAATCAGGATATGGGACTTCGGGAGTTACAGACTTCGAGGGCCTAGAAAAACTGAAAATTAAGCTTGCACTATTGGTCAGCATATGACAGCTAGGCAACGACGGTTTGCTAAAACGACTACAGGAATCTTTTCAGTACATATTTACAGTGGGTTTCAGAGATGGCATTATCTCTACTCGGTGGGGCTTATCAAAACCAGTTAAAAGTAGACTCAGAATCATATAAGAGGCAGACGTGCGTGAAAGGCAATGATGCTTCAAGTGACGGTGTAAAAAGTCCGTAAGATGTAGTTAAATAGCCCGACCTGATGGGCCCAATACTGTTGGGATTGGGGCCATAGGTTAGAGTTAGGAGTTCTGTTTACGGGCTAGGGTTAGGGGTTTGGGTTGGGTTTAGGGTTGGAGTTAGGGGTTTGGGTTAATGGCTAAGGTCAGTGTATTACAGGTGGCTGGCGTTTATTTACTTCAGGTGGGGCTTCATAACCAAACCTGACCAGAAAAGCACCCGGCGTAACAGAATACCCTAACTGATTGCAATGAGACGGGGAAATCAAGCTCCAGTGCGAACGAAAGGCCCTTTTTGATAGTCATCAGCCTCATGTGAAAGACAGCCTACGCAAACGCAGTCATCTTTTGAATTGTGCTGCCATGGTTCTTTGTGTTGTTTGCCCACTAACCGAAGAAGTGAGGGTCGATATCCACGGACGATAGATGTGATGTTCGGTAGCCACTGGATTTGATGACACATCCGTCAGAGTCTCTGCTGTGTACTCTCGAGCAAGCGAGATCAGTTATTGCGGATTGGAGTACTGATTATTATGAACCACAATTTCAACTTCAGTAATTGACAGACATGATGATTTTTGGCTATAATAAAGTGCGCTCCCACAGAAATGAATAGGCAAATCGGAAAATCTTAATCGCCTACGATTGCGCCCTGCACGTGTTTAGCAGTACACCAAACGCCTAAGTGCATGAAACCGAGCTGATATTACAGAAGACTAGACTAAGCGAGGTGGCCAAAAGCAAAGTCAATCCAAGCTGTGGCTTTAACACGTTTCTATGATCTTAGTTCGGAGGAAGAAGGAGATGCGATCACTGGAACAAGAAGTCTATTGGCCTGACGTTTCAGATTCTCCCTCGAAACCATCATTAGGGACGGTTACAGGCAGAGGTACTAGAAGCACAAAGACTGCAGTATTTATCATACGTAGCTGTCGTGAGTCCACATGCGTACTATACTTAATAGATCTCGTGATCACCGCTGGGGATTGTAATTAAGGCGGTGATGGCTTGTCAGTCCGCGTCCGAGTCGTTAATTGCCGTAATTTCATCACGCGAGTTGGATGTTGATGTGATGTTTACTCGGCAATTTTGGCCCGCTGTCACCAGGATAGTTGAGCGCCCTCGCCCTCCCCATGTGACTGAATTCTTTGCTAAGAAAATGCCTCGGCACTGAATACTGTGCTGGGAGGTCATTGCGCTTTTTGGTGGATTGCGGACCTGAGAACCATGATTTGAGCCGCTCGCGGCTCACGCAATTGTCAGTCTTGTGAGTATTTCAGCCTCTTGAAACTTAAAAATATGACCGGATTCTGTGGAATGAACTGCTGCCTGAGAGTTGGCGTCTTTCCTCTTCACCGCTGCTGCGTGCTCAGCCATGCGCGTCCGGAGTAATCTCTTAATCTCTCCGCATCTGGTGCAGTCGCAGACAGAGCAACTACTGGGTTAACTCATAAAATGTCCACCAAAATTCCGAAATGCATTTTCGTTAAAAACGTAAACAGACCCTTGTTAGTTTGTTTGACAGTGGAGAGAAGGGGGTGATTAAAGGGGCTGAGGTGATTTAAGGTCACTTGGAGGTGATAAAAGGGGCTGAGTGTCACAGAGACTACTCTGTGAGCAGTGTTCATAAACTGATGATAGTCGGTTGTAGAAGCAGCCATGTCAGTAACCCATAACTTTGTAAGAACGAAATTCCTAGGTATCAGAATATTCTCCCCTCCCTTCAAATGCAGACGAGAAGAAGCTTAGTGGCTAGAGTCATGCGCTTGCTTTAAAAGTCGCAGAGCAAGTCCAGGTTAGCAGAAAACACTAGAATGAGGAAGGTATTCTGTAGAGAAGTAGCGGTCGCTAGAGACGCCAGAGCGTGTGTTGGTATTGTTAATTCATGTGTGAATAAGCGACTATCTGCGGTATTGGTTCGATTCTAGAGGTAGAGATTGCCTTGCGGTACGTGTTAATGGGGCAGTCGAGAGTCCGCGCGAGCCTATAACCACTGCTGCAAATGCATGCGATGGTGCGCCATTTTGTCGAATTGCATCTCCGGTTGACTGATCGGTTCAGATAGTGGACGAGCGTATGAGGAAGGAAAGGCAGATTAAGGGAATCCATCCGCAAGGCACACCAACACATTCCTCATTTCGAGAAAGCAGATGCGCCTTTGAACTACCACGACGTGCTACCACTTCTGCCCTGGAAGATTTTCAACCGCGAGGGTTGACTCTGCGGGTTCCCGAAGCGAAGACCAAGGCAACAAGGTCTCCCCTTCACTTCGCCTATTTGTGATATTGCCACGCAAGTGAGATACGAATCCTGAAAGGACCAGGTGCTGTGCGGCACGCATAGAGAGGCCTCTTAGCAGGGTCTTGATATCGCCTTGCGTTTGGAGCACGGCTGTTGTTAGTCAAAATCCTGGTCAAGTGTTTGTTGTGGACCGGGGTATGTGGTGGCACTCCTAGATGCAGCTTCGGCCGTGCCAGCCACCCAAGCCCTCCCCGCGCCCCCGCTCTCCTTGACTATGTCTTGACACGGGACCAGGGTGGGCAGGAGAGATTGTGGTAGATGCTGCAAAACTCTACTCTACAAACTACTTGACGTCCAAGTCGATGTGCGTGATCTCAGTCTGGAGTGGAGACACGCTGATATCGTCGGGCACGATTATTGAACTATCATCAGAGCCCGATGGGTAGGTGTGGAGAGTGCGGTTGGCGCTGTGCAACGATGCGTACCTATAAACTTATTGAGACACGAGTAGTCGCTGCGTCCATTCTCCGAATTACGCGGTATACGTCATCGCTTGCGATGGCCAAACTCTCGGACGTTGCATCGCCCGAAGTTAGGATCAATTCGCCACTAGTGTTTAAGCGATGGGTATTGTTTGTCCATGTACGCACGGCAATGACCGCCAGGACGGGTGTATATCCGAGTTGAATCCACTCCGATGACTCCAAATAAGGACGCCTGAGATCAAATGAAATGGTTTTGCAGGAGAAAAGTTCGTACTGAAACTTAGTCCAAATGCGAAAAACTCGCCGACAACGATGAGATTCAAAACTGCGACAGCAAGTGCACGGCCTGAGTACAATCAATTCTCAAACCACTTGAACTACGACGCCCCAACGGGAGCCCATAAATATAAAGGTACATGCGCAAATTACTTCAAGGTAAGGAATCGGCTAATTATCCATGCGCGATCTTCTAAGCACTCAACCTAGAATCAACCAGAAGAATACCACACTCATTTAACAAATTGGTCTTTTTTGACAGACTTGAATAATTCAGTCGGCCCAGACGTCTAAAACCCGACGGCCTCTGTGGGATTCAAACTCGTAACGGGAAGGGCAAAGCTTAAGTACGGCCATCTCATTAACCGCCTGAACTACGAGACCGCATCTGAGGCCGCGATTTTAATGGGATATCTATTTGTGACATTTCGAGGCCGGGTGATGAAGCCTGCCTAGAGGGGAAGCGCAGAGAGACTAGAAATAATTTTTGTGATTAAACGGGTCTTACTACTCTTAGCGTTGAAAGACATTTGTAAGGGGTGAAAATAACAAACAGGGCAGTTCTATATAATCAATTGTAAAAGGAATTGAACCGGTAAAGGGTGCCAAAGGCGAAATTCCTGCTTCCTACCTCTGAAGCCGCTGCACATTCTCTGTTTCCGTATTCAGAATCGCCTGAAGACGGAGGAGCTCAGCTTTCAGGAACAAGTTCTCGTCGCCAAGACTGCTTCGACGAGCATCGCTGTCGGAACTGAAAGGCACACGAGTAATGCATGCGTTGACAAACAGCAGAACAACACCGAGGTGCAAAATAGGCCGAACATGTTTTCGATAATTCGTGCCCATACACATAGCAGGCAGTAAAATTATACTTTCGAAAAAAAACCTATGTAACAGGACAAAAAATTGGCGCCTGCGGGTAAGTCAGAGTCCAGTCTAAGTTTTAGCCCAGACCAATAGCAGATGAGCAAATCTCTCCAGTAACCGATGGGGTGCGTTTTAATACAGTTTTTGACCACCATTTAAGATGAGAAGGCCACTTACGGTGGGCAGTTGGAAAGAAAGGGAAGAAGAAAAAAGAAACGTCACAGCTAAATCAATAATTTTATTCGACTCAAGATTCAGATGAACACTCCAAACTATAGGTAGAGTAACAGGAGTAATGGCCATTTCTAGCCCCAGGTGTTCCATATTTAAGGGTTGGGCATGAGTGGCTGACGACCGCTAAGAGGCCAGAAATGCCCATTCCAGTCTCCCTTGTCGTTGCCGGTAAGGCCATTCATGCGCCATTGTGTGGCAGCTGGTCAGGGTCGAAAAAGAAAGCCCGCAAGGCACAACGGACCGAGTGAGTTCCGTATGAACGATCGGTGAGCGCCCCCTAACACTGTATATTCCCGATCGAAAACTGACAAGGCAACGGGCTCGTGGCCCGGTGAGTAGAGGCGTTGACTTCTAAACCAACAGGTCGCGAGTTCGAGGCTCGGGTGTTCCACACTTCGGGCTTGGGCATGGCTGGCTGACGACGGCTAATAAGCCAGAAATGGCCATTCCAGTCTCCCTTGTCTTTGTCGGTCATACCATTCTGCCTATATATCATGCGCCGCTGTGCGGCTGCTGGTGGGGCTCGAAAGAGCGCTCGCAAGGTAAAGGGGGCGACCTAGTTGCGTAAAAACGATCGGTTAGCGCCCCCTCCCACCGTCTTGTATTTCCGATGGAAACCGACAGGAAAACGGACGCGTGTCCCAGTGGTTAGAGGCGTTGTTCTACGTCCCTATTTATATCCTTCAGCGTTGGCGTGAATGCTTGTCAGTGTTAACAGTCGTTCTGGATTTGCCGCAACGATTTACCAGTTACGACGGCAATGATTAGTTATATTTTTTGGTAAATTCGATGTACCGCATTTAGCCTAAGGCATTGCCTGAGCTATCCAAAGTCCTTGGGGTATTAGGGGGGAGTGATTGAGGCAAAAAAACATGCTCATTTTTTAGAGAGGAGCGGGGAATAGAGACTACATCAACCTCTGGAATCTGTCTCTCTTTTCTGCCAACAGACAAAGTAATTATCCCAGTGATGAAGGCCAACCTAGGCATTTTTTGGGATCGGCTTATATACTGAGGTCTAATTCTGCGGGAATTGACTTATTCAAATCCGTCTTTAATGCATGCCATCTAAAGTGGCAGATCCTTCTAAGATTGTTCGTCTGTAAGCCCTATAATTCAAACCGTGTGCTGAATTAAGATGACAGCTTGAATGTGCAAAAGTAGTACGCAGCTGTTAGAACAATGATTATAGATAAGCGCAGTAGGTGGGCTAACTCATAAAATGATAAACGAAATTCCAAAAGGCGTTTTCGATTGGAAAAGATTAATAAAGCAGGGTTGCGAAACTAGTCCGCCTGTAACATAATTATATCATATTTCAGTTACGTCATGATGCCGGATTTCAAACGAACTTCCTTCCGGCTGCATGCAAAAGGCACACAATGTAAAAAACGACAACTACAAAGCATGAATTTTTCTCGTTGATTTTCTATGCGCCTAAAAGTCCAATTATATTTCATGGAAAACATGCGTAAATATACTCATTCATTCGCTCATTTGGTGGATAATTACGTCTTTCTCTAATTTTATACTCGAAGGAAGGACATAATCCAGTTTTAAAAACCTTTCCTATTCCCGAATAATTTTGAACCCGCTCTACCGTCACACTTGGATTCAGGGTTTCCCAACTACAAGCCGTATATTTTCCGCATAAGGAAAGCCACACATTTCTCTACGGCAATGAAGGGAGACCATATAGGGTTCATAAAATTAAGCAGTGGATTTGAGCAATATTATTTACCTTACAGGCCACATTGGTAAATGCAGAGACATGACGTTTTATGAACGATCATTTCACGGTATTTAAAAGTCTCACAATTAGAAAATTTTTAAAACTAGATTATGTCCCCTCTTCGTGTATACAGTTAGAAGGCGTAATTGTCTACCGAATGATTGAAAGAATGAATATTTCTATGCATATTTTATCGAAAATCAATGAGAAAATTTCATGCCATTTATGTAGCCATTTTTTACATTGTGCGTTTTGCATGCGGCCGGAAAGAAGTTCATTCAAAAGCCGGCATTCCGAGGTAAATGATATATTATGAAATTATACTGCGGATGGATTAGTTTTACGACCCTACTTAATTAATCTTTTCGAAACGGAAACCCATTTCGGAATTGTGCTTGACATTTCATGAGTTAGCCCAACTACTGTATATTGAAACGTCCTCATTAATAAAAAAAACTTGTCTTCGTGGCTTGAGAACAGCCGGCACTTCAACCATACGATCAAACGGGCGTCGACCGAAGGCCTCGAGCATTTTGCATTTTTGGATAGCTCACCTGCCTAGTATACTACGACAGTTCAACTGCAGTAAGCTGCGACGTCCTCTAGGGGCCCGACTGGGTGAGCAAATGGATGGTGGATTGTTTGTAAAATCTTTTACAATGGGTATGATTGCGAAACATGTGCCGCACTCATCTGGCTCCGGTGGAGAGATACTTTCAAAGCGACCGAAGATGTCAAAACTAAACATACCGTCTACAGTTGCCACGTACAGCCGAAGTCACACTGTGCGTAGCAGGCTTTCACGTGGGCAATTCAGAACTCGCATATGAGAGGGTATTGTACAGGACAAACTAGGAGACCGTCATTGAGTTTCAGCTAAGCTTCCTAGGTTCCATAAGATCATAACAGAAAAGTGGCCGTTGAGTCACTTCGCCACAGTCCTTTGGAAGTGAATGGAATACTTCAAGTCACTAGAAGCGAAGAGCCGAGTCCCAGGAAGTAGTCTTGAAGAAGGAGACACGATCGCCGGGACAAGAGCTTTATTAGCCTGACGTTTCGGATTCCTACTCGAATCCATCATCAGAGGCAAAAGAGCAGAAACGGGTGGTTGTTGCACAAGGGGCTGCGGTATTTATAGGATGCAGCAGCCATGCTACCGCATACCTATGACCGTTCACGGCTTCCCCCTTCATCCGGGATTGTCACACTTGGTGTGATCATTCAAGTCACGTCAGGTGGGGACCCATTAAATCTGCTAGATTTCACAAGAGATTGGTGACATTTAATCTTGGCTTGGATCTGCTATCCGCAGTCCCCGCCTTCAGGCTAGCTCGATTAGCATAGCTTTAAGTGCTATCGATCGCTGGCGACTGGACAGGAGATCGGGAATTCTCCAGATGGCTGCCTGATCATATGTACTTATGCATAAATTGGAAATCTTAAAGTACAGCTCATGATTGGCAGGGTTTGATCATCTCTAAAATTTAAATTTGACAAATCTATCGCTTTCTTGCTTGTTCCTAATTTAAGTACGAGATTGCTCAATCCACCACTTCGAATTTGATAGATGGGACAGGCTTGGTAGGACCAAATTTCTAGGATTTACTATTCACCCTAATTTGCTGAAATATTTTTCAAACGAATCCAAAAATAGCTTGTTTAATTTCCCCAAATTTTAAAGTTCTTTCTAGACTCTGAGTGGCGCGCGTATGCACACACTGTAGGCAAAATATTTCCGAGCAATTATTTATCAGCATTCGGAGGTGTGGAGACGAAAAACCGCAAATGTTAACAAACTTATACTGGACGGTATGGCCACGGACACAGGAGACATGTTCACCAAGGAAGTCACGTGACGAGAAGTCGTGGAAGACCTAGGAGTTTTAGAGATTACGGCACGACTGGAAGTGGTTATTCACTACTTGCGAACTTCAGCGCTCTATCGCATTAATTGGAGGAAGATGACAGTTTTCGGGCTTTAACATGTTGGTGCTATAATGTGTCATTCCAAGAACCATTGATTCTCTTTAACTAGGCACCAAATTAGGCAAGACTTGCCCATTTAGAAATGCTCAGACTTGTCCTCCGACGAAGCCGTCCTAATACCTTCTCGAGGGTATAGAAATTGCTATCTTCACTAGTTCCAAACTCCTTCCCTTCCCACTACCATCTCATTCTAACAGCCACAGTGCTAAGGGATTCGTCTTCTGGAGGACATCTCATAGGCCACCTCAGATTTCGAGAAGGCCGATTGGATGCAAAACGAAGCGGCTGGAGTCCAGTCCATTCCACCAGTCGCCACCATCCAACAGCATCAGGGAAGTGATCGCAATTTTTTGGCGCACAAAAGGGAGAGGTCAACTGCCCTGCGTATCAGAATTGTTTTGATGTTCTGCGACATCTTTGTTTTTTCATCTTCATCATATTGTCCTTACCATATGCCCTCCTTTATGTATCATTTCTGTGTGTCAGGGATTCGAGCGAGGAATGAAATGGGTGTCAAGAAGCTCGTCCAATCCTATATGTATGGATGAGCCACGAAGTTTCAACTTTGAAACACCACAGCAAGTCCACGCCAGGCACGCTTCCGGGATCTGCAACTCCCTTCAGTCCCCAGACGCTTTGAAGCTATCCAACGCCTTCTTTTGTTTTTAAACTGCCATGACCAGTTGGCAAGTTGGCGTGAGACCATTTTCATGCTGGAACTGAAGATGGTGACTCTTATAGCGGGAAAACACAGTCATTCTTTTGCCATATTTGTTGTTCTTTTTGACGACAGCCATCTCATAGCCATGTCCGGTGTCCTTGTTCAAGTTCTCGTTGCCTCGAGGTTATCCATGCGTAGTGACTTGCAGCCACTTGATTCCGATGCACATGCGTCCACAGAACGGCACCTCGACCAATGCGACACGAGCCATTTGAACATTAATCCTTGACAAGTCAGCTCTTACCGACTGGACATCAGCTCAGCTTCTCCACTGTCTCATCAGGACTCTAAGGCGTGACGGCACACAATCAACGCCAGTCACTATCACCGCCTCAAAGTACAGCTCAGGGTTCTGTGTGCGATAAACCCCTCATTCTAGTGATTTCTGTTTTTTCCTCCAATACGCTATAATGTCTGATGGTTGAAGCGTTCTGAGTACACTCTCAGGGCTTCCAGTGAGTGACCGATCTCATGAAATGTTGACTAAAATTTTAAAGTGAATTTTCAAGGAGGCAGAACTAATTACAGTAGGCTGGCTTGCTCATGAAATGTCAACCGAAATTCTGAAACGCCCTATTGCATTGGAAAGATTAATTACGTACAGTTGGAAAACTAATGATTGTGCAGTAAAATTTTATAATACTTCGGTCATCTTAGGATACCGGTTTTTGAACAAACTTCTTTTCGGCTGAATGCAAAAACAATACCCTGAAACAAATGAATACTTAAGATGCGTGCATTTTCTCACTGATCTTCGATATCCTTACAATTTCCATGATATTTCATAGAAATCATGCATAAAAATATTCATTATTTTGCTCATTCGGTGTACAATTACGTCTTCTTCCCATATACTTTAGGCGTGATTGTAATACTGATTACCTTGCGACATAATCCTTCAATATTTTGTACTTGGTAGGATTTCAGCTTTTAACTACACTGTTTTTCAATCTCCCGTAGGAACTGTACTCGGTAATAACGATCACCTGATTAGAATGCATTTTCCACTGATTTTCGATTATCTTGCAAGAGACCGCGGACAAAAATATAATTTCTTTCAGTCGGTTGATATAGAATCACAAAATCTTTATATTACATAATCGAAGAAGGCGTATGACTAGGTTTTTAAAAGTTTTCTTATTTCCGAATATTTTGGAGCTTTATCAGTAGTTTCACTAGCGTTTAGTGATTTCAGTCTACAAGGTGCATGCGTTCCACATAAAATAATTTGCATATTCTTCACAGCCTTTAAAAAGATATCATATGAAATCCTTAAAAATTTTGTGATAGATGCGGACTATGTTGTACATTCCATCAGGAGCTGTGGATAATGGACAGTTATGATGCTATATGAAAGGACATTGCGCGGTCTTAAAGTATCTCATAAAAAGAAACTTTTTAAAACCTTATAAACCGCCTTCAGAGAGTATAAAATATAAAGATCATGTGATTTTATATCAACCGACTGAAAGAAAGCATATCATTGTCCGTGTTTTCTGTAACATATATTTGAATTTGCAAGATCATCAAAAATCAGTGGAAAAAATCATACTAATCAAGTAATCGTTTTTTACCAAGTACGGTTCCTATGTAAGATGAGAAAACAGTGTATTCAAAAGCTGACATCCTGCCAAGTCTGAAATATTAAAGGGTTGTGTCGCAAGATAATTAGTATTACAACCGCACCTAAGTACTTCTTCCTAACCGAAAAAGCATTTCAGTATTTCAGTCAGCAATTCATGAAATCGGTCATTTACTATAAATGGTAGAGTTCCTCCAGCCATCATAACTGGCGCGGATACCCGTTTCGAGTCAGTGTTATCCAGCCCTCCTCATCTCCTTATCTTCAACCAGAATACGCACAACAGGTTAGTGCCCGCTTGTAAAATAATTTACAAGGAATTGTCAACTTTCATTCTCGGAAATGTTTCGCATCCTCGTGAGTCTTCAGCCAGTCGCCTAGACACTTAGGGGGAAGGACGTTATTTTGCTCCAAGGCCGACAGACAGACTATCGCAGACGGCGACTTTTCGGGCATACAGCCCATAGAGTAAATGGATAATGGTGCGGCCGTCATGTTTGCTGATGTAGGTAACGGTGCTGTTAAGACAATGAAATGGATATCGAGCGCCCAGAAATGGAGTATTTGTCTGAAGAGGCGGTTTTTATGATTGGCGTTGTCCACTTTGCTGCCCACGAAGGTCGACGATAAATAGTGCTCCAAAACACCAGCATTCTGCTAAAGGGACTGCAAAACTAGACATGGAAACTTTCAGAGGTCTGACTATCTAGACGACCGCGAATTTGGTGCTGTCAGAAGACTATTAAAACGCGCTTCAGAAGGCACTTTCAATATTTTCTCATGAACTCTTCGGAGCGATTTTCGGTCTCTTCGCAGGACCTCATTTGGGTTGCGGAATACCGGCATGGACAACGTGGATAAGGAAAGATGTTGACCTCCTCGAGCAGGTTTCAGAAAGGCAACAAAGGTAGTTCGACGGTTTTAGAAACCTGACGTAGAGGGATTGGTTGAAGGAGCTTGAATTATTTCCCTTATCTGACTGGCAGTTTAGGAGTAATTCGCTCCAAACCTGTCGAATTACCCACGCCATGCTTGCCTATTGAGGTTAAAGGACTAAAGTGAGTTTGCATACACAATTACGCGGTCATTCCAAGAAAGTCAGAAGCGAACGCAGACTACTACACCCCAGAATATTTTTCGGCAACAGTAGGGTGTAGAACTCCCAAATAACTTGGGTTAGCCTATTGACCGTGCCATATACATTGAATGATGATAATGGAGGTATAACGGGTGAGACAAAACACACACAGAAGGCAAGAAGACACAGAAAATAGACAAATATCTGCCGAAAGTCCTATCATGCACTGTCATTTGGCAGAGAACGTACGCGCGATAATTAATAACTAGGCAAAAAGCAAGTTTAAAAAAATATAAGACTTTTAATAAAGCGCTTCTTTTAAGTTTACATTTAGTTAGGAAGAGAAGAAAATTTCAAAAAATCGGAAAGATGAACAATAAGTGATGCTTACAGTCACCCAGATTTCTAGAGCTACCATCTGCTTGTGGATCCTACACCATTTCATTGCCTAACTTTCTTCAGCTAACGAAAAGTCTGAATGTAGAGCTCGGTAACAAGTGAGACTTTGACGGTCGGAAACATTTTCGTGCTTAGAGAAGGGCTAGATCGCATGATCATTGACACGAGTAGTCTTCAGCGAAATAACGGTTAACAGTTACGGTTGGTGGACTAACTCATGGAATGTCCACCGAAATTTTTGAAATGTGCTTTCGTTTTGAAAAAAAATCTATTAGGAAGGGTTGTAAAACTAGTCAGACGGCAACATAATTCTATAATTTTTCAGTTACCTCAGGATGCCGGCTTTCAAGTGAATTTCCTTTCGGCTGCATGCAAACACATAACTCTGTAAAACACGACTACTAAAGAAACCTGAATTTTTCTCATTGGTTTTGGATACCCCTAAAACAGGCATTAAAATATTCATTCTTTTGCTCGTTCCATAGAAAATTCAAAGAAGTGTATTATTCGGTTTTTAGAAACTTTTTCAATTCCCAAATAATTTTCAAACCACTTCGTCGTCAGACTTGGATTCAGGGTTACAAAACTACCGGCCGTATATTTTCCGCGTACAGAAAACCACGTTCCTCCACGGTTATAAAGGGATACCATATAGGGTTCATAAAATTTTGCAGTGGGTTTGATAAAAATTGTTAACTTTACAAGCCACATTGGTGAATGCAGAAACACAGGATTTATGAACAGCCATATTAGAGTATCAAAAGTTACTCAATTTGAAACTTTTTAAAATCCGAATTATATTCCTCTGCCAAGTATCACCTTAGAAAAAGACGTATATTTCTACCGAATGAGCAAAAATGAATATTTTGATGCATGTTTTCCATGAAATATAATTGCACTTTTAGGGTCATCGGGCATCACTGAGAAAAATTCACGCTACGTTTGTAGTCATTTTTACAGTTAGGAGTTTCGGAATGCAACCGGAAGGAAGTTGATTCGAAAGCCGGAATACTGAGGTAAATGAAATATTGTAGAATTATATCACGGGCTAACTAGTTTTGCAACGTTACTGAATAAACCTTTTGGAAACAAAAATGCATTTCGGAATTTCGGTTGACATTTCTTGAGTTAGCCCACCTAGTGTAGGTTTTCAAAGCATCTAGAGTTCTGCACTTTCTCCTTACTGAATGATCTTAAACATAATAAAAAATTTTTAAAATGTAGCGAATGCAACGTATTCTAAATGCATGCAATTTCATGCTAAACAGAAATATGTGAAATAAATTTACATTAATAGGGTCGCCAAAGGCTCTGCCTGTAACCCTGTAAACGACAGTCGGACAGTCGCTTCCGGCGATGTCTGCTCTGCTGCTGCTGCACAGCAGAATCTACAGTGAATGACCGATCTCATGAAATGTTGGCCGAAATTGTGAATTGCGTTTTCGATTAGGAAGGATAACTAGGGCGCGGTTGTAATACTAATTATCCTATGGCATAATCCTATATTATTTCGCACTGCGGTTTTCGAAATGTTTTCTAATTCCCGAATACTTTGAAGCCTTATCAGCCATCGCATTGGCGCTTAGTGATTTTGGTTTGCAAGGTGCATGCGTTCCGCGTAAAGAAAATTACATATTTCTCTAGTCTTTCAAAAGATACAATACAAAGTACACAAAATTTTGTAAGAGATGCGGACCATTTGGTAAATTTCATGATGTGCAGTGGTAAACGGAGAGGTACGATGCTGTATGAATGGACATTACACGGTCTTAAAAATCTCATGACTAGATATCATTTTTAGGCGACTGCAAGAATGCATATTTATGATCGTGCATTCTATAAAATAAGTTTTAATTTGCGAGACCATCGAAAAACAGTGTGAAAAATGCATGCTACTTACAGTAGATGCGCTAACTTAGAAAATGTCAGCCAAAATTTTAAAATGCATTCTCGTTTCGAAAAGATACACTAAGCAGTGTTGTAAAACTAATCATGATGCAGCATAAATTTATAATGATCCAGTTACCTCAGGGTGTCGGTTTTTGAAAGAACTTATTTTCGGCTGCATGCAGGATCTATGCTTTGCACAAATAACTACTAAAGTAGCGTGCATTTTTCTCATTGATTTTCGATACCCTTGAAAATTCAATAAGTTTACATGGAAATCAGGCATAAAATATTCATTCTTTTACTTATTCGGTAGAAAATCACGCCTTCTTCCAATTTTTTACTCAAAAGAAAAGTATAATTCGGTTTTAAAAAGTTTCTAATTGTGAGATTTGTTAATTCCGTCAAATGGCCGTTCATGAAACGCCATGTATCTGCATTTATGAATATGGCTTGTAAAGTTAACAATATTGCTGAAATCAACTGCTTAATTGTATGAACCTCATATGGTCTCCTCTTAGTGCCTTAGAGGAATGCATGGTTTTCCGTACACGGAAAATATGCAGATTTTAGTTTTGAAACCCTGAATGCAAGTGTAACAGCAGGTCAGGTTCAAAATTAGCCGGGATTTAGAAAAGTTTTTTAAAAACTAAATTAAACTTTTATTTTGAGTATGAAATTGGAAGTAGACGTAATTTTCTGCCGAATAAGTAAAAGAATGAATATTTTTATGCCTGCTTTCCATGAAATTTAATTGAATTTTTAAGGGCATCGAAATTCAATTAGAAAATTGCATACTACTTAAGCAGTCATTTTTTGCAGATTTTGTATGCAGCTGAACATAAGTTCCTTCGAAAGCAGACACCCTAAGGTGACTTGATCATTACAGATTTATGCTGCATCGTGAGCAGTTTTGCAACACTACTTAATTTATCTTTTCGAAACGAGAACGCATTTCGAAATTTTGGTTGATATTTAATGAGTTAGCACATCTACGGAAAGTAGCAATTTTCTTGCCAAGTGCACTTTCTTTAGGAGGTTAAAAAGCAGTGTATTCGAAATCAGACATCCTTCCAATTCTAAAATATTATAGGATTATGATGCAAAATAGTCAATATTACAACTGCGTTTAAGTAGTCCCTCCTAATCGAAAACGCATTTCAGAATTTTAGCCAACATTTCATCAGATCGGTCACGCACTGTACTACACTCTCTCATCATCAAAGGGAGGAGTGGGCGCATGTGGCTAGCACTGTGAAAACCCGCACCACCACAATTTCCCGTTCACAACCTACACTGAGCAGTATGTTGCACAACCAGAACAAAGGAGGGGGTGATTGGGATCCCATTTTCCGCGGCCTAAGCCTGTATTTGGGCCTGCGACCACACCTGCGATATTGTTATTTGTTCTAGGTGGTGCGCATTCTCAATAATGTCTGCTGGATCCCGATCCAACCCCTACGTTGGCTCAGAACTTCTACCACGTGGCTCGTCTTAAGAGTGGGACATATATGTTTTAATGGCAAACACGTGCTTTGGGAAACGTGGAAAATTTTTCTAAGCAAATGTTCGATGCTGGTTTCCCAGGTCGTCGACTTAAGTAAATATGCAAAAAACAATTACAGAGAGTAACCTACCTAGTGAAATGTCTGCCGAAATTCTGAACTTTGTTTTCGAAATAACTACACACTTTTTTCGTGCATAAAATGCAAAGGTAATGTTATTATCTACCAAATGAGTAGAATTAAGCTTACTTTTGTGCACGTTTTCTATAAAATATATTTAACTCTATTAGATCCTCGAAACTACGTAGGAAAAATGCATGCTACGTAAGAAGTCATTTTTTCACTGAGTGCGGTTTCTGAAGGAGGGCGAGATGGAGCGCATCCAAAAGCTGACATCTTGGCGAGTCCAAAATGCTAAAGGATTATGCCGCAAGCTAATCAGTATTACAACCCCACCTAAGTAATCCTTATTAATCAAAAACGAATTTCAGAATTTTGCCAGCATTTCATGAGATCGGTCACGCACTGTAACACACCCAACGTGCTGAAAAATCAATATTCATTTGGTCTTTGTACCCGCAATCGGCTACCGTGTGCGTCATTCTGTATTGATTGGCTCTCTTCTCTTTTTCTTTTGCCTGTGACTGTTGTACATGACATCTAGCTCAGTTTGTTCATTGATGCACGACTCACTGGAGTGCACGGCTTCAAGGAAATTTCGGTCTTCTTGGAGGGCCAAGTTCCGACTATGCAATTTTTGATATCTTTGAAAGTGTGCCCAGTATCGAGGGTGTTCGTGGCCATTTGAGAAAGGTGGTCCTGCCTCTAAACTGACAGTGCAACTAGCACTATATGCAGAACGAGGTTACAGACAAAAAAATGAGGTAGACCAGATTGACCATTTCCGGCTTATTTGCCGTCGTCAGCCAGCTATACCCAACCCCAGGCTTGCTGCCCCTTAATGTGTAGACCGGCTATGCCCAACTGAGTACATTTACTGGGATTCAAACCTCACCTTTCCTTATGTCTGTCGGCCTCCGTACAGAGCGGACTCTCCCACGCAGAGTCCCTTGAACCGGCCATCCGTCGAAATAGAGCTTCACGGAAAAAGGCCTCCGTTAGCTCGAGGGTTTGAAAACTAGGAAAAAGGGGAAGAACAGGCGCTGATGTTATTAAACGTAAATATTAAAAGAGTGCCATCCTAGAAAATTGTTTCTTAGCGAATAATACATAAATGCTTCTGTCATCCCGGAGTTGACTTTTCGGAGCACTTTCCTACGCGAGTTGAAAAACTACCCTCCTCCGGAGTGCTCCCAGTAGTTATGTACAGGCGCGTGTTAGCTGCTCG